GAATTAAGGTGGTATTGCTGCCATCTAATGAATGATGATAGTATTGCAGCCATCTAGTGAATGAAGGTGGTATTTCAGCCATCTAATGAATGAAGATACGAGAGTTGAATGAAAAGTAATACCTCCACCTTTGTAACTCCTTAACAGATGGCAGTACTGGTATGCGGCAGGTATTGGCTTGTTCAGTAGACTCTCCTCTACAGTTTCATTTTGGCAGGAAGCCTTAGCATTGAACGGTTGTGTTGTTAAAGTGCAAAGTATGGAACCCTGCACAGACGGTCGGTCAATGCGACTTTAGCAACGTGCTGTCATTGAATTCTTGACAGCAGAAGGTGTCACCCCAAAGGAGATTCATCAGAGAATGCAAGCTGTTTATGGTGATTGTGTTGATGTGAGTACCGTGCATCATTGGACTAGTAAGTTTAAAGATGTAAAAAAAATTAAAGATGTTGAGGTGGGTTGCATGACAAACAAAGAGTTGGACATCTTGTGACAGCAACCACCAAGTTTCACAACCAAAAGGTTGACAGATTGATTCAGGACGATTGTCGTATCACTCAGTGAGAAATTTCTAGCATAATCGGCGTTTTACAAGAACGTGTGGGTCTTTGCTTTGCTTGGCTATCAGAAGATCTATGCACAATGGTTTGCGGCAACAGAGTGTCAACTTCTATGACGGCTTCAGAAAACTTGTTCATCGTTGGCAGAAATGTATCCAATTGTCTGGAAAAGTGGAAAAGTGAATAGTGATAGTTAAAGAGCACGTTCTAAGGATTATTTCTGCATTTTATTTATTGAAATATTGCCATTCAAATCCAAGTAACGAAGGTGGAGGCATTACTTTTCGTTCAACCCTCGTAGTATTGCAGCCATCTAGTGAATGAAGATGGTATTGCAGCCATCTAATGAATGAAGATAGTATTACAGCCATCTAGTGAATGAAGATAATATTGCAGCCATCTAGTGCATGAAGGCGGTATTTCAGTCTTCCAACATACAGACACATTTGAAGGTATTACATATAGCTTGTGCATATTAAAAATCAGTGCACATTAAAAATCAAATCGTACCTAGTTGCACATCCCTGGGATCCCCTTGGAATGCATACTTCAGCCATTGTTGCTTATGTTTCATGGTCTCATAGGGTGATGGCTAAGGCAGGAATAATCTTGAACATTAAAGGTGAGGACCTGTGTCTTTGCCATCTGTCACATCATCTAAAACAGCGTTTCTCAACCTGGGGGTCGGGATCCCTGAGGGGGTCATGAGGGGTCACCAAAAACCATCAGAAAACACATATTTCTGATGGTCTTTGGAACACAGTGCTCTCTGGAGGTAGGTGAACTACAAATTCCTTAAATCACTGTCAATTCCTCCCAAATCCCTGCAGTATTTTCTGTTGGTTATGGGGGCTCTGTGTGGGAAGTTTGGCCCAACTCTATCATTGGTGGGGTTCAAGGGGCTCTTTGATTGTAGGTGAACTATAAATCACAGCAGCAACAATTCCCAAATGTCAAGGCCTATTTTTCCCAAACTCCACCAGTATTTGCAGGTGGGCATATTGAGTGTTTGTACCGAGTTTGGTTCAGATCCGTCATTGTTTGAGTGGATGTAGGTGAACTACAACTCCAAAACTCAAGGTCAATGCCCACAAAAACCTTCCAGTATTTTCTGTTGGTCATGGGAGTTCTGTGGGCCAAGTGTGGTTCAATTCCGTCATTGGCGGAGTTCAGAATGCTCTTTGATTGTAGGTGAACTATAAATCCCAACAACTACAACTCCCAAATAACAAAATCAATTTGCCCTCAACCCCACCAGTATTCAAATTTGGGTGTATTTGGTATTTATGTCAAATTTGGTCCAATGAATGAAAATACACCCAGGATATCAGATATTTACATTACGATTCATAACAGTAGCAAAATTACAGATATGAAGTAGCAATGAAAATAATTTTATGGTTGGGGTTCACCACAACATGAAGAACTGTACTAAGGGGTTGCGGCATTAGGAAGGTTGAGAAGTACTGATCTAACACATTATGAGAGGAATCAAGATATTTTGGAAAATATTTTGCCAATGGATCTCACAGCCATTTTATTGGAATACACTTTGTTATTCAGAAAGAAGGGAAAATAAACAATATCTTGGCTGTTTCAGCCAAGTTAACAGCTGCAAGTTACCATAAATCTTGTAACACACCCACAATTCAGATGTTGAGAGGTTTAAGAGTTTAATTATAGTTTCTTAACTCTAAACAAGCAGACAAAGAGGACTGTTTAAGATATGGGTTGTGGGATGAAACAGATGCAAATACGGCCAATCCAGCCGATGGACCAAATGGAATATTGGCAGTGTAATTTGGCTTATGTTAATTCATTGTTGCTGTTGTGTGAGCCTTAACATCATTGCCAACCTGTGGTGACCCAAAGGCAAATCTATCATGGGTTTTTCTTGTTCTGAAAGGTTTGCCATTGCTTTCCTCTGAGGCTGAGAGAGTGGGACTTGCCCTAAGAGCATCCAATGGGTTTCATGGTTGAACAAGGGTTTGAATCCACGTCTCCAGAGATCAAACCACTATAGTATGCTGGCTAAATTCATTCCTAACCATTTCTGAATTTATTCCTGAATGGTTTTAACTGAATGGACATCATGTGGCACACTAGATGTTGCTGGAGTGCAATGCCCAGCGTCCATAATAATAACAATAACAATAATAGAGTTATTATTAATAATAATAACAACAGAGTTCTGGGGCACAATACTCCTTACCTTTGTTAAAAAACAAAGTATGGATCGTCAATCCCAGGTGATAACAGAATTGAAGAAACAACTGGAGAAGCTGACACGATACAAGGTGTGCTGTCGCACGCTGGGCCTGAAATAATGTCTGTTTACAGGACGTGCCTGCTGTATGCCCAACAGGACACCGGGGTGCCTCAGCTGAAAGGCCCCTTAGATTTCCCAACACAAAGTTCTATTGAGGCTCAAAATAAGTTCAACAAAGTTCTTTATTTGGGCTTAAATCTTCAAACAAATGAATTAAATGCTTTATAACCTTGGAAAACCGGTAGCTTCCTCCACCTGCTATCAAGGGCAGGGAACTGGTGGTAAACTTTTCCTTTCTTCCTTAGGGAAATCTTCTGACCCCTCCCTGGGCAATCTTTCTTTACCTTCCTGGTGTGAGGCCCCTACTCCCGGCTCCAAGCTACTTTATGGATAGCCCGAGTGGTCCCTTACCAGGCAAGATTTGCTGTAGATCTGCCAAGCTGAAAGGTGTCCCTTAACATCTACTCCACGAAGGCTGTAGGAACTGTCCTGTTGCCCCAGCAAAGGTTGGCTGTATTCCCCCAGCAAAAGCTGTGGAACGATTCATTTACTCCCCCAGCAGAGCTGTGAGAAGTGAAGCATTTTTGCAGGTGGGAAAGAGAAACCCACACGTCCTGCTGTTAGGCGTCAAACAGTGAGACTGAACAAAGGTCCTCCTTTGCCTCCAAAACCCTGGGGAAAAGGGCGGGTCTAAAGACTCTAACGATGATTGCCAGGTTGCTGGCCCTATGACTGCAACTTGGGGAAGCTACCTGATTGCAAAAGGCATGGCTTAAATAAATTCATACAAACTAGCAGTGCAAGGAAAAGAATGTATTGTCGCAGGCTTTCATGGCTGGAATCACTCGGTTCTTGTGGGTTTTTTCGGGCTATATGGCCATGTTCTAGAGGCATTTTTCCTGACGTTTCGCCTGCATCTATGGCAAGCATCCTCAGAGGTAGTGAGGTCACCTCACAGGAAAAATGCCTCTAGAACATGGCCATATAGCCCGAAAAAACCCCACAAGAACCAAGAAAAAGAAATTCAAATCTCCTAGCACTGCTGTGTCAGCACACAAGGATTTAAAGATCGAACTACAAAGACTCTGGCCAGTTGTTTATTCGTTCAGTTGCTTCTGACTCTTGGTGACCTCATGGACCAGCTCCCTGTCGGCCGTCACCACCCCCAACTCCTTCAAGGTCAATCTAGTCACTTCAAGGATAACATCCATCCATCTTGCCCTTGGTCGGCCCCTCTTCCTTTTTCCTTCCATTTCCCCCACCATCATTATGTTCTCCAAGCTTTCCTGTCTTCTCATGATGTGGCCAAAGTACTTCATCTTTGCCTCTCATCTCCTTCCCTCCAGTGAGCAGTCGGGCTTTACTTCCTGAAGTATGGACTGGTTTGATCTTCTTGTGGTCCAAGGCACTCTCAGGATTTTCCTCCAGCACCGCAAGTTCAAAAGCGTCTATCTCGCATCCATAGGATACTAAAGACTCTGGCACAAGTCAGTAAAGGTGGTCACAGTGGTGATTGACACATTGGGTGGAGTGCCTAAAGACCTTGGCCTGCACTTAAACACAATAGGCATTGACCAAATTACCATCTGTCAGCTCCAAAAGGATCTGCACGCATTATTCACCAAACCATCACACAGTCCTAGACACTTGGAAAGTGTCCGACGTGTGATCCAATACAACAGCCAGCATAGTGACCTTTAGTGCTGTGTACTAATCTTGTGTTTAAAATAATAATAATAATTTATTACCCACCACTCCTTGCAGCTCAAGGTACAATTGGGTTAAAACTGAGAGATAAAACACAACACTATTAAACTGCATATAATACAATATACACAAAATAATAGCATGTCATAGAATCATAGAGTTGGACGAGACCACATGGGCCATCTAGTCCAACCCCCTGCCTTGCAGGAAAATCACAATCAAAGTCACCAGCCTTGTCAATGGAGAGAAATGCTGGAAGATGCAGTCTGTAACAACATCTGGATATTTGATATGATAATTTCCTTCCTGGGTTGTCAGATGGTGATATGAATAAATGGATTGAGTTTAAAAGAATATTTTAAAAACCTAAACGAAAACAGCTGTGGCAGAAAAAGCGTAAATTGCAATAGAGAGGAGCAGACCTCCTTGCTTGCAACGTGAGCCCTTCCAAGGATATCCGGAGCCAGCAGGGAAAGGGGGAGAAGAAATGCCATTTTCAGGACAAACAGAAATGATTGGCCCAAGCCTTGGGAGAAGTGCAAATGAGCCAATTTTTTTTTCCTGGGTCACAGCTATTCCTGATAATGCGGTACATGTATGGAAATGGCATGGAATGCAAGAGGGGAGGGATAAAGGGGCTGAAAAACCCAAGTGCAAGGAAAGGAGGCGAGAGAAGGAAGGGAGAGGCACATTGAGAGAAGGACTTGTGCTCCTCCAGCCTCCTCTGTCCAAAATGCAAGCCCTCTGGGTGGCTGTCTTTGTCCTCCTCTGCCAAGCAGCCTGGTCCCCTCTGGTCGATGGAGCCCCCCAAACAGCCAGCCCCAAAATGCGGCACAAGAAGCCCAGCAGCACTTTGGCCCCTTCCAGCCAAGGGACAGCAAAGCCCAAAGTGGCCTCCACCACCACAGCATCCACTTCCAGGATCAAGCAGGTGAAGGGCACTGCCAGCCCCAGGACCAGCTCCCCAGCCAATTTCAGGACCACAACTGTGGCATCCTTTGGCCGAAAAGGCTTGGAAGAGCCCCTGACCACCAGCAGTGCCAAGAGGATGCAGCTCTCCACTGCAAAGCCAACTGACAGCAAAGGTACCCCTTTGGCACAGGAGCATCAACTCCTACATATGTGCAACTGATTTGGGTTTTCCTAGCAATATGCACAGCATGTATTGTGAATTTTCATTATTACTAGCTGTTCCCTGCCACGTGTTGCTGTGGCCCAGTCTGTGTATATGTGTTTTGTGTGTATATACGAGTGTATATGTGTGCGTATATATTTGTGTTGGAGCCCCCAGTGGCGCAGTGGGTTAAAGCACTGAGATCGAAAGGTTGCAGGTTCGATTCCGGGGAGCGGCGTGAGCTTCCGCTGTCAGCCCTAGCTTCTGCCAACCTAGCAGTTCGAAAACATGCAAATGTGAGTAGATCAATAGGTACCGCTCCGGCGGGAAGGTAACGGCGCTTCATGCAGTCATGCCGGCCACATGACCTTGCAGGTGTCTATGGACAACGCTGGCTCTTCGGCTTAGAAATGGAGATGAGCACCACACCCCAGAGTCAGACATGACTGGACTTAATGTCAGGGGACTACCTTTACCTATATATTTGTGTATGTTCTATCACGCACTGGGCCTGTAACAGCTGTACTTTTCTATAGGACGTATACTTTAAACCCAGTGGGAAGCCAGGGCGCCTCAAAGAGAGGTTTTCAGGGATTTTTCTGAAGTAATGGTCTTTAGAGTCTTTAATGATACAACAAAGTCTTTATTATGGAACAAACAACAAATCTTCAATGGTTCAAACAACACTTCAAGGCTTTCTTAGTCTAGTCCTCAATGGACTGGTACCTGACTTTAATTAACTGAACTTTCTCTGTAGGAAAAATCCTATTTAACCTCTCCCAGGCTGTTTACTATCTATGCCTCATCGGTGTGGGTCCTACTACCAATTCCAAATGTGTCTGGGTATCAAGTAGACCTACCAGCCGAGGCTTGAAAGATAGCACGCAGCTACAGAATAAACAAAAACTGATAGCAAAAATAACTTTGTAGTCAAAAGGGTCCAGTCCAATGGTCAAATGCCGAGAGTTCAATCAACAAAGTCCAGGGATCAAGAGTCTATACTGTAGTCAAAAGCCAGTCCAAAGGTTCAAGTTTCCAGGATTCCAAGATTACAGGAGACAGGTCAGGATACCGAAAAATCCAACAGACCTGGGGGAAAAACCAGCAGCATCCACCACCAAAATACAACAGATACTTTTCTCCCAAAAATCAGTCCCAAGGTTAGCTCCTTAAATTCAGTAACACCCAGCTGCAAACTATCCCTGCATGTCTCCACCCTTAATTGCTTTTACCTGTAAACTGTTACTTACAAACTACTCAGCCCTTTAGAACCAAGACTTACATTAAACCTTCCATCACCAACTGCCAGGTCTACCACCACCAACCACCATCAACTATGGAACATATGACAGACATCAATAGAGTTCTGTACAGTAGACTCTCAGCCCCCTTCTACACAGCCATATAATCCAGGTTATCAAAGCAGATAATCCACATTATCTACTTTGAACTGGATTACATGGGTCTAGATATTCCAGTTCAAAGCAGATAATCTGGATCTTGCAAGGTCGTGTAGAAGGGACCTCAGTTAACCGACACTCATGGGGATTACTAGATGCCAGATAAATGTAGTTTCTGATTGCTATTAAAATTAGACCTAATCTTTTATTATATTACTATATCATACCATGACTTGATGTAAATATTAAAATACAGGAATAGAGAGAAAATAGAGACAAATAAAAGACAAACTTATCTTAATGTAGCACCACTTTACTGTACTGTACATGCATTTTAATTTTTATTTATATTATTATTATTATTATTATTATTATTATTATTATTATTATTATTGCCAAGAGTTCTGGTTCTTTGAGTTCCAGTTAATTAAGAGTCTTCTTTATTATTTGCAGTTTTGCATGTCCCCACAAAGTCCAGAAATATTTCCCCCGCAGATACAGGATCATACTGCATTTCAGAAAATGGAAAGGAAAATAGACACAAAGCTCATTAAGACCCAGATACGATTGTCAAGGAGGCAGAGCATAACTTTATGCCCATAGAATGGCAAGACAACTGCGCAAAGCCTTGTGACTGGTAAATTGTGATATGGGTAACCTAACCAAATGTGCAAATGTGTGTGGTGTGTAATGCATGCACAATGTGCATCATAAACCAGGAGCCTCAATGCATGGCACACAATATCAGCATATGTGCAATGCGCAATGCGCACTCAACTCTGCTGGCAATATAGTGAACTGAATAGAGCTATGTCCAACTTCTTCTATAGGAGAACTTTCACAAGCATAAGACACCAGCAACTGTTTTGTGGAACGTCTCAATCACAACAACAACTTGTTCCAAGATAGGCACTCTATTTCCAAAGAAACTGCCCAAACTTTATTAAACCACCTTCCTCTTTTTTGGCCAAATATTTCACTTCATCTTTATGCAAGGAGCCCTTTGTTGCATCCTTGGAAATATCCTTGAAATACCTTTTTTTCTGGTGGCTTGAGCCTTAAATTTCTTTTTCCAGTGGGGGAAAAATGGTGCAGTTTGCAGAGCTCCCTTTTCTAAGAAGCAAAAAGAAAATCTGAGCTACAATCCCAAATCCCTCCACATCGCAACAGTGCTGCACAGCCCCCATGCAGTATGGCAACACAATTCAAAGGCTGGACAATGTTGTGCAACATGAAGCCACAATGCACAACACACATGGCATGACTCAGTTTCAGCTGCTGTCAGCAAAATATCACTCTTACACTGTGTCTAATGTGTGGCACATCTTATGCACTAACAAAAAGCCAGTGACTCACCCATAACAGAAAGATGCATGGAAGGCAGTTACATCTGAAAGGAGAGCCAAAAATGAAAAATAAGAAAACTCTACATGTTGCCAAATTTTGCAAGGAAAGTCTGCTGATCAGCAAACTGAGCCAGTTTTAGACTTTTAGGTTTCTTTGCAGAGAAATTAGGACACCAGTGCTGTCTTTATTTTTTTCCCAAAGGTGCAGGGAAACATTTATTTATGGTAGAAGAAAGATTTCCTTTGTCTAAAAAATTAAGAAACCTGTGAGAGATGTAGCATGTGTGAATGACTGGTTGAGCATCAGACAGACTAAGTCCCCTTCTACACTTCTATATAATGCAGATTATCAAAGCAGATGTTCCATGCTATCTACTTTTAACTGGTTTTTTTTTTTTTGTCATGTCAGGAGCGACCTGAGAAACTGCAAGTCGCTTCTGGTGTGAGAGAATTGGCCATCTGCAAGGACGTTGCCCAGGGGACACCTGGATGATTTGATGTTTTATCATCCTTGTGGGAGGCTTCTCTCATGTCCCCACATGTGGAGCTGGAGCTGATAGAGGGAGCTCATCCGCCTCTCCCCGGATTCGAACCTGCAACCTGTCGGTCTTCAGTCCTGCCGGCACAGGGGTTTAACCCACTGTGCCACCGGGGGCTTTTTAACTGGATTATATGAGACTACACTGCCATACAATCTAGTTCAAAGAAGATAATCTGGATTTTATGTGGCAGTGTAGAAGGGGCCGTAGAGTGCATCTACACTGTAGAATTAATGCAGTTTGATACCATTTTAATTGCCATGGTTCAATGCTATGGAATCCTGGGAGTTGTAGCTGTATAAGGTCTTTGGTCTTCTCTCCCAAAGAGTACTGGTGCCCTCACCGAAGTATAACTCCCAGAAGTGTAGAACTGTGTGTGTAGATCTACACTTTAACTCTTCTGTTCCACATTCAGCATCCTCTTGCTGGCTCCCACACCACGCCTGGAGATCCAAATTCACACAGTGTTGCTTTGCTTTTCGGTTCCCTGCTTAGTCCAGCGGTGGAGGGAAGCCGGCTGGCGTGGATGGAGCTGAGCCAAAGCAACACAAAGCAGCCACTGTTCCACGGATGGGGGCTCCCACGTCCTGCCCCACAGCAGGTTGCTGGCCTGCTGTGAGCCGGTTTGGAGGGGAGTGTGAATTCTGCCCAGGAAGATGCCATTTCCTCTGCTAGCATCCTGAGAGAAGATGCTAATGAAGATTTAGAATAATAGAAAATAGAGTTGGAACAGACTACATGGGCCATCTACTCCAACCCCCTTCTGCAATCAAAGCACCCCCAACACATGGCCACCCAGCCTCAGTTTCAAAGCGTCTAAGGAAGGAGCTTCCACCATACCCCAAAGCAGAGAGTTCCACTGCTGAACAGCTCTCCTTACAGTCAGGAAGTTCTTCCTCATGTTCAGGTGGAATCTCCTCTCCTGTCATTTGAACCCATAGCTTCATTGAGTCCTAGTCTCCAGAACAGCAGAAAAAAGCCTGCTCTCTCTTCCTTTTGACATCCTTTCACTTATTTATCTATGACTCTAATGTCTCCTCTCAACCTTCTCCTCTGCAGGTTAAGCAGACTCAGTTCTTTAAGACACTCCTCAGAGGGATTCATGGTCTTAAGACATTTGATCATTTTAGTTGCCCTCCTCTGGACACTTTCCAGCTTAGAGTCAATCTCTCTCTTAAACTGTGGGGCTCAGAATTGGACACTGTGATTCAAGGTAAAGAGGTCTGACCAACGTCAAATAGAGTGGCACCATGACTTCCCTCAATCTGGACACGACACCTTTTGATGCAACCCAAAATCCCATTGGCTTTTCAACTGCTGCTTCCCACTCTTGGCTCATGCTCAACTTGTTCTCCACAAAGACTCCAAGATCTTTCTCACATGGACTGTTGTCAAGTCAGGCATCACCCATCCTATATCTTTGCATTTCATTTTTTTCTGCCTAAGTTAAGCATCATACATTAGTCCTTGTTGAAATTTATTTTCTTAGTTTCGGCCAATCAGCTCTCTAAATTGTTGAGGTCATTTTGAATTCTGCTCCTGTCCTCTGGAGCATTAGCTCTCCCTCCCCATTTGGTCCCATCTGCAAACTTGATATGCATGTCCTTTAAACCTTCATCCAAGTCGTTAATAAAGACGTTGAAGATAACTTGGACCAGGACCGAATCCTCTTTATGGCACCCAAATAGTCACTTCTTTCCAGAATGAACTGGAACCATTGAAGCACCCTTTGGGTTCAGTCACTTAACCAATTACAGATCCACCTATTAGTAGCATTGTCTAGACCATGTTTGGCTAGTTTGCTTGCAAGAAGGTCATGGGGGACTTTGTGCTGTCGCACGCTGGGCCTATGACAATGTCTGTTTACAAGATGTGCCTTCTGTATGCCCAACGGGATGCCGGGGTGCCTCAGCTAAAGGATCCCACAGGTTTCCCAACACAAAGTTCTGTAGAGGCACAGAATAAGTCCAACAAAGTTCTTTCTTAAGGCTTAAATCTTCGAACAAATGAATAAAATGCCATATAATCTTGAAAAACTGGTAGCTTTCTCGATCTGCCAACAAGGGACAGGCAACTGCATGATAAACCGTTCCTTTCCTCTTTAGGGAAACCTTCCGACCCCTCCTTGAGCAATCTTCTGGCGTGAGGCCCCAACTCCCGGCTCCAAGTTGCATTATGGATAACCCGAGTGGTCCCTTACCAGGCAATGGTTGTTGCAGATCTGCCAAGCTGGTGTCCTTTTAGTTTCTCCACGAAGGCTGTGGAACTGTAACTTTACTCTCCAGCAAAGCTGTAGAGGTTTTCCTTTTCCCCCCACAAAATTTATTTATTTATTTATTATTTATTTACTCCTTTTGTATACCGCCTATATCAGCCATACAAGGCGACTCTAAGCGGTTTACAGTAAAAAAGTGCAACATTAAACAATGCATGTGACAGACATCCACAAACAATACACATAACGTCATCACGCCTCGAATAAAATCAGATCCAAATCTCATAGTCATTTTACCATTCCTTGTTCAGTATGCCGTCTTTCTGAGTCAGATGTTAATTGCATGCTTATCCGAACGCCTGTTCGAAGAGCCACGTCTTCACCCGCCTTCTAAACGCCAGTAGCGATGGGGCCTGTCTGATCTCCGTTGGTAGGGCATTCCATAGCCGAGGGGCCACCACCGAGAAGGCCCTGTCTCTCGTCCCCGCCAGCCGCACTTGTGATGCTGGCGGGACCGAGAGCAGGGCCTCCCCGGACGATCTTAGTGTCCTCGCCGGTTCATAGGCGGAGATGCGTTCGGAGAGGTAAGTGGGGCCGGAACCGTTTAGGGCTTTATAGGCTAAAGCCAGCACCTTGAATTGTGCTCGGTAGCAAATTGGCAGCCAGTGGAGCTGGCTCAACAGCGGAGTGGTGTGCTCCCTGAGCGCCGCTCCCGTTAGCAACCTGGCTGCCGAGCGCTGGACCATCTGAAGCTTCCGGGCAGTCTTCAAGGGCAACCCCACGTAGAGCGCGTTGCAGTAATCTATGCGGGATGTGACAAGAGCGTGGACTACCGTGGCCAAGTCCGACTTCCCAAGATACGGGCGCAGCTGGCGCACGAGCCGAAGCTGTGCAAATGCTCCTCTGGAAACCGCTGAAACTTGGGGTTCCAAGCTTAGCGAAGAATCCAGAGTCACACCCAAGCTGCAAACCTGTGTCTTCAGGGGGAGTGCGACCCCGTCCAACACAGGCTGTAACCCTATACCCTGTTCGGCCTTCCGACTGACCAGGAGTACCTCTGTCTTGTCTGGATTGAGTTTCAATTTGTTCGCCCTCATCCAGTCCGACACAGCGGCCAAGCACCGGTTCAGGACCTGGACAGCCTCCTTAGTAGTAGGTGGAAAGGAGTGACAGAGTTGGACATCATCTGCGTACAGATAACACCGCACCCCGAAACTCCGGATGATCTCTCCCAGCGGCTTCATGTAGATGTTAAACAACATGGGGGACAGTATTGAACCCTGCGGGACCCCACAAGTCAATGGTTGTGAGGACGAGCAGGTGTCCCCCAGTAACACCTTCTGGGTACGATCCTCTAGGAAGGACCTGAGCCACTGTAGAACAGTGCCCCCCAGGCCCATTCCCACGAGGCGTCCCAGAAGGATACCGTGGTCGACGGTATCGAAGGCCGCTGAGAGATCCAGCAGAACTAACAGAGACACACTCCCCCTGTCAAGCTCACGCCGGAGATCATCGACCAAGGCGACCAAGGCTGTCTCGGTACCATGCCCCGGCCTAAAGCCAGACTGTGCCGGATCCAGATAATCCGTGTCTACCAAGAGTGCATGGAGTTGTGAGGCCACCACACGTTCCAGGACTTTGCCCAAAAAGGGGAGATTGGAAACGGGCCGATAGTTGACGAATTGAGTGGGGTCCAGTGATGGTTTTTTCAACAGCGGTTTTATAACAGCTTGTTTTAAGCTGGCTGGAATTATGCCTTCCCGAAGGGAGGCATTAACCACCACCTTTACCCACTCGGCCAATCCCCCTCTGGCCTCCTTTAGAAGCCAGGATGGGCAGGGGTCTAGGATGCATGTGGTTGCCCTCATCCCTCCCAACACCTTGTCCACATCCTCAGGTGTCACAAATTGAAACGAATCCAACAAACTCGGACAGACAGGTGTTCTCGTCACATCCTCAGAGACTGCCGTTAACATGGTGTCTAGGCCTGAACGGATCAAAGCGACTTTGTCCGCAAAGAACCGAGCAAATGCTTCACAGCGGGCTGTCGAGTTGCCAGGGCTCCCATCCACAATGGTGGGTTTTAATAGGCCTCTGACAACTCGAAACAGCTCCGCCGGACGGTTCTTTGCGGACGCAATATTGGCCGCAAAGAAGGATTTCTTTGCAGCTTTTATTGCCACGGCATATGCCCTTAATAGGGCAACAAACCGTGTTCGGTTTGACTCGCTCGGGTCCGAACGCCACACACGCTCTAGTCTCCTCTTCTTTCGCTTCATTGCTGCCAGCTCCTCGGTAAACCAAGGGGCTGGTTTAGCTCGGCTACTCGAGAGGGGACGTTCCGGAGCGATCGTGTCTATAGCCCTGGTCATCTCCCTATTCCAGAGAGTTACCAAGGCCTCAACAGGATCACCAACCGAAGCGGCAGGAAACTCCCCAAGAGCCGTCAGGAATCCATCCGGATCCATAAGCCTCCTGGGGCGGACCATCTTAATGGGTCCCCCACCTCTGCAGAGGTTCGGTGGTGCGGTAAGTCTAAAGCTGATCAGATGGTGGTCGGTCCATGGCAACGGAGAGATAGATAACTCCTCAACCCCGCCACCTTGCTCCCATCCCTGCCAGAAAACCAAATCTAATGTGTGTCCAGCACTGTGGGTGGGGCCAGTTACTTGTTGGGACAGCCCCATGGTTGCCATGGAAGACATGAAGTCCTGAGCCGCTCCCACTAAGGTAGTCTCGGCGTGTACATTGAAGTCCCCCAGCACAAGAAGCTGTGAGACCTTTCCTATTTTCCCCAGCAAAGCTGTAAGAATAAAGCTTTTTACAGGTGGGACAGAGAAAGCCCACACATCCTGCTGTAAGGCTCCAAACTGTGAGACTGAACTAAAAGTCCCCTTTTCCCTCCAAAACCTGGGGAAAGGGGCGGATCTAAAGGCTCTAACGATGATTGATAGGTTGTTGGCCCTATGATTGCAACCTGGAGAAAGCTACCCTTGCAAAATGCAAGGCCCAAATGAATTTGAAACGAACTAACATTGCAAGAAAAGAAATTCATATCTCCTGGCACAGCCGTGCCAGCACAGACTTTGTCTTGAATATTATAACAAGTTACTGCTTTCTTAGGCTGGAGAATTCATACAGTTTGGTACCACTTTAACTGCTAGAACTCAATACTATGGAATCACTGGAGTTGTAAGTTTTTCAACGCTTTTCATCTTCTCTGCCAAATAATGTTGGTGCATCTCCAAACTACAATTTCCACAATTCCATAGCATTGAGCCATGACAGTCAAAGTGCATCCATTATATAGTATAGATGATGATGATGATTTATTTATTTATTTGTTACCCACCTCTCCTTGCAGCTATGCAATCCCGGGAGCTGTAGTTTTACAAGGCCCTTAGCCTTCTCTGCAAGAGTGCTGGTGCCTCGTCAAACTACAACTCACAGGATTCCATAGCATTGAGCTATAGATGGAACCTTAGAGCAGAAACTCATTCGATTATTTTCTAATTTCCTGTTGATCACAATTAAGAGTGCATCTAGACTGTCGATCGAAAGGCGTTAACTGCCTCCTCTCTTTGGTTTGTTAGCACTGTATGCCATGCTTGGATGCCCAAAGAGAGGAAGCAGTAAAAGCACTCCCAACTTGCAAATGTGCAGGGGGGAAGCATGCACTGCAGATGGGGATGCTGTTCAGTAACTAGGCATTCAAGCATGGCATCCAAAGCTAACAAGTCTGTTGCTGAACCACATCTCCATCCACAATACATCCACAATACAGGGGGTATAAGTGAATGAAATAATAATAATAATTCCCCTCCACATACTTATATATACACACTTTTTGTGGGTGCTTTGTGGTCCAGCTCCCTCTCCAATGTTTGCTCTTGCTCTACCTGCTGCAAATGCCCTGATACTTTTGTGGTTTTTGTCTCCTTCCAGCTCCGAAAAAATCCGTCCGGGTTAAAGTCATCAAGAAAAAAGTCCTGAAGAAGAAAACCAAACCTTCCCTCCAGGAACGGATGGCCAAAGAGGCATCAAGTATGTACTGAGCCCCCAACCCCCCACCCCTTTCAGGAATCAGGTCAGCTGCAAATTCATCAACAGCGTCATTGCCCATATAGGAGCCATCCATTTCTTTTTGTACTACATCATCCCATAACATTTGGTTTAGGAGGTGAGAATGCAGCATGGAGGGAATAATTCACCAGGAACAAAGCCAATGTCATGTAATGGCTTGCAAGTAACTGGAGCAATAGTTCCCTCTGGAGTTTAGTCTGAACTTGAAAGGAGCTGTTGAAGTCTCCTCATGGGTAGGAAATTGAGGACTGAAGAACATTTCTATTGAGTAGCAGAGTCCTTTTGGGGGGGGGGGGGAACTACTTTTCTTGCTCCCCAGCCCTTAGCTGCACCTCTCATTGTCGGGGTGGCAGAACATACACAAAGTGCACCATGCATTGTGCATGCAGTTAGAGTTACACCTAGGATGCATCTATAGCAGTGTTTCTCAACCTTCCTAATGCCGCGATCCCTTAATACAGTTCCTCATGCTGTGGTGACCCCCAACCATAACCCGAACATTATGAGTCGCCATGTAAATAATGATCTGCAGGATGTATTTTCATTCACTGGAGCAAATTTGGCACAAATACCTGGTATGCCCAAATTTGAATACTGGTGGGGTTGGCGGGGATTGATTTTGTCATTTGGGAGTTGTAGTTGCTGGGATTTATAGTTCAACTACAATCAAAGAGGATTCTGAACCCCAGCAACAATGGAATTGAACCAAAGTTGGCACAGAGAACTCCCATGATCAACAGAAAATACTGGAAGGGTTTGGTGGGCATTGACCTTGAGTTTGGGAGTTGTAGTTCGCCTACATCTAGAGAGCACTGTGGGCTCAAACAATGATGGATCTGGACCAAACTTGGCACGGATACTCAATATGTCCAAATGTGAACACTGATGGGGTTTGGGGAAAATAGACTTTAACATTTGGGAGTTGTAGATATTGGGATTTATAGTTCACCTACAATCAAGGAGTGTTCTGAACCCCACCAATGATAGAATTGGACCAAACTTCCCACACAGAACCCCCATGACCAACAGAAAATACTGTGTTTTCTGATGGTCTTTGGCGACCCCTCTGACACCCCTTCGCGACCCCCTCAGGGGTCCTGACTCCCAGGTTGAGAAACACTGGTCTATAGAATGAATGTAGTTTGACTCCATTTTAACCACCATGGCTCAATGCTATGAAATCCTGGGAGTTGTAGTTTTGCAAGATTTGCAACCTTTTCTGCCCAAGATTGCTGGTTCCTCACCAAACTACAACTCCCATGATTCGAAAGCATTGAGCCATGGCAGTTCAAAATACATTCATGCCACTCTTAGTGTAGTATTATGATGCCAACTTAGAGAGCTTCATGAAGGCATTGGCAAAAAATAGAGACCTGGGGACCCTTCATGCCTCAGAGTTATAGCTCTGTGATGCCACTCAGTTCTCATTGGGTGCATCTACACTGTAGGATTAATGCAGCTCGACCCCATGACTCAATGCTATTGGATAGTGGGAGCTGTAGATTGGAGAAGTACCAGCACTCTTTTGCAGAGAAGGCTAAAGACCTCGTCAAATTTCCATAACAGTATAGAATGAAGCAATGGCCATTTTTATTTATTTATCATGTCAGGAGCAACCACACAGTTGTATTACTTTTTTTTAACAAAACAAACAAATGGGCAAAACACAAAGTTAGCAAGCTTGGTAGTTGATTAAATGTCCTTTGACCAGTAGCTGGCCTCTTGGAGTGCCTCTGGTGTTGGCGCAAGAAGGTCCTCCATGGTGCATGTGGCAGGGCTCAGGTGGCATTGCAGCAGGTGGTCAGTGGTTTGCTCTTCTCCACAGTTGTGGTGTCAAATTGCACTAAATTGACAGTGTAGATCAGGCATGGCCAAACTTCAGCCCTTCGGGTGTTTTGGACTTCAACTCCCACAATTCCTACCTGCTGAAGTCCAAAACACCTGGAGGGCTGAAGTTTGCTCATGCCTAGTGTAGATGAACCCCCATGTCCTTTCATCCTCAAAGGATTGTGGATTTGAAGTACATACTGGGCACCAATTCAAGAGGCTCTTAGTGCTGTGAATTTCCACCTGGACCTCTTTCTTTCTTACACTGCTGCACTTGGCTTGTGTGAATGGTGCCTTTCTCTGTCCACCCCTCGCCCCCATTTCCAGCCGGTCAGCAGGAGACCTTTTGGCCTGACGGAGGGCACAAGGAGGAGCTGTCCTGCCAACTTCGGGTCTGGCAACAGTGCCAGGAGCACAAGCAAACACAACCCTCCGAGTGCCCCGTTAAACCTTAAAAGCCCAGAGAGAAATAACAAGCAACCGCTTTCCAAGAATAACCCAAGGAAGTTCGAGGAAAGACTTCCAGGAGCTTGGAAATGTAAAGCTCCCTTTGTGTTAAAAAAAAAAAAAAAAGAGGACAAGGAGAGCATCGCAATATTAGCCTGTCTTAATGCAAAGTCTGTTTTTGCACAGAGGTACACAGAAGGGGGGCAGGAGGGCAAAGGAGGCCAGTTGAGTTTGAGACCTTGAAAAAGTCCATTTGGGTTGGACTGTAACTTCCATGGTTCTCCATCTAGCACAGTGGTTCTCAACCTGGGGTCCCCAGATGTTTTTGGCCTTCAACTCCCAGAAATCAGCTGGTAAACTGGCTGGGATTTCTGGGAGTTGTAACATCTGGGGACCCCAGGTTGAGAACCACTGATCTAGCACATCAAACAATGGACTTTTTCCAAACTTGTGGTGTTGTATGAACCCCATATTTGCAATCTTTTAAAAGCTCGTGTGTGTGTGTGTGTGTGTGTGTGTGTGTGTGTGTGTGTGTGTGTGTGTGTGTTGAAGATGAAAACAAAGAGGTTGTTCAAGTTAGTGTTGTATTCTCTGTCCACTCAAATTGTTCATGTTGTCATTTATTTATTTGTTTCTTATCTTTCTGTTTCCCTCATATACCTTCTCTCTCTCTTTTCTTTCTTTCTTTTCTTCCTTCTTCCCTTGCTTTTCTTCATATACCTTCCTCCCCTTTCTTTCTCACTTTTCCTTTCTCTTCCCTTCTCGTTCTCTCTTCCTTTGTCCCTCCTTTCTCTTTTCTTTTCCTCCCTTCCCCTTATACCATTTCCCCTTTCTTTCTCTTCCCTCCTTCCTTCCTTTTTCTTTCTTCTCGTACTTCCTTCCTTCATTTCTTTCCCTTCTTCTTCTCCTTCCCTCCTTCCTTTCATACATGTGTCACCTGTCAGAGCAAAGCGACTTCACTCCCTTTCTTTCCCAGTGAGGGCCACTTCACCTAGCAACAACCAATTCTTCACCTAGCCATAGCCAATCCACTTTGCCCTCCTTTGTTTCCCTCCTCACTGGGCCTGAAATGGCTGGTTCTTCCAGTTCGCATCCCTCAATTATTTTAAGTTAGACCATGAAAGCTCTGTGTGCCAAATTTGGTCTACATCCATCAAGCCACAAAGTTGCCTTTGAGATACAAACAAACAAATCTGCCTATCTACGTATGTACTTTGATTTTTTTTTATTGAGATGGATTTTGTTTATTTGGAGTATTTATGTTCTGCTCTTTGGCCGCAAAGGCTCTCATGTCAACTCATGCCATGTGTCTTCCTGTCCACTTCAATTTATGGTGACCTTATCCCAGGATTTTCATGGTTCCTTCAGTGAAGTTTTCCCTTGCCTTCTTCTGAGGCTGAGAGGATGTGACCCTCTGGATTTCATGGCTGAGTGGGGATTTGAACCCTGGCTTCCCAATCCAACAACCAAAGGCTGTCTCTGCAACAGGGACAGAATTCAGCACATTTTTCAGATCTTTTAAAGCCCAGAGTGGAATCACCATCGCACTGACCTAGAAGTTTCCTGTCCCATCTATGACCCTATAGCGTATGTATATATATATATATATATATCAAGATGCTTCTGTGCTGTGAAAGCAATAATGCAAAGTCAAGGTGTCGCACGGGATGGTGGCCCATTGAAGTTGGCTCTCTAAGCAGTGTGGAACATTTGGATGCAGAATAACTTTTCTTGGCATCAGAGCTATGGCAACCAATGAGGGACAAAGCTCTGGAAATATTTAATTGTACAGATTGGAAAAACACAAGAATGTGTTCCCACAGCTCACACATACAAAAAAATTAGAGTTGGAAGGGGCCTCAAATGTCATCTAGTCCAACGGCCTATTATGTAGGAATACAAAACCCTAGGACACCCCCAATGATGCCCATCTAACCCCTGTTTGAAGACCTCACAAGAAGGAGAAACAACAGCACTCCGAAGCAGTTTATTTCACCATCTTGCAGTGAAGAAGCGCTGGAATCTCATTTCTTGTAATCTGAGAAGCTGCTTCCACTTTATTCCCCAAATGTTCTGCAAGATTCCTCTCACATCTGTTGTGCGGGAAAGGATTAGGAGGCCCCCAAAGAGACGTCTTTCCACCAGCTTCATCTCAGAAGTGTGGTTGAACTTCTCATGCCTTTCTTTGCCCAGGATTCCTCCTTTTGGAGCCCTGACTCAGATGAGACTCATGAGACAAAACAGTTGTGCGGTTTCCACATACTATAACAATTGAAAACACACACATAAGGGTTTGCAGTTCAAGTCTCTTTTACTTTCCTTATAGAGTATTGTTGCTGTTAACTACAGCCAATTTTGACTTGTGGTGACGCCATGAATGAGGGACCTCCAAGTCACCCTGTTATTAACAGTCCTGTTCAGGTCTTGCAAAGGGAAATAGTGATGGATTTCCTCATTGAGTCCCATTCATTTGGAAAGTGGTCCACTTTTCCAATCACCTTCTACCTTTCCAAGCATTATTCCCTTTTCTAGTGAGTTCTGTCTCCTCATAATAAACTTTGAGCATTCCTTATCTGAAATGCTTGGGATGAGAAATGTTTCATATTTTGGATATCATTGTTATTATTTGGATTTTGTAATATTTGCATCTATCTTCCATCTTCCTAGATGCAAATATTACAAAATCCAAATAATGACAATGAAAGGAAGATAGATGCTTTTGAACTGTGGTGTTGGAGGAAAGTGCTGAGAGTGCCTTGGACTGCGAGAAGATCCAACCAGTCCATACCTCAGGAAATAAAGCCCAACTGCTCACTGGAAGGAAGGATAGTAGAGGCCAAGATGAAGTCCTTTGGCCACAGCATGAGAAGAAAGGAAAGCTTAGAGAAGAGAATGATGCTGGGGAAAATGGAAGAAAAAGAAAGAGGGGCCGACCAAGGGCAAGATGGATGGATGGTATCCTTGAAGTTCCTGGCTTGACCTTGAAGGAGCTGCTGGTGGTGGCGGCCGACAGGGAGCTCTGGCGTGGTCTGGTCCATGAAGACACGAAGAGTTGGAAACGACTGAACGAATGAATAACAACAACAACAATATCTGCATATACATTATGAGATATCTTGATGTAGTCTATTGTTCAACATATGTTTGCAATATGATATCTAGTGCCTCTTGCTTTCCTGTCCTCAGCTTGGACATCTGGCTTCTTTATCAGCAAAATCTTTATTCAAAACAAACATTATGCACATGTGAATTCAACAGCCAGGTCAGGTAAGCTTTGCATAAGTAAACAAAAACATTTTGAATCTTCTAGTGAAAACATCTGGGTTGTTTAGAGTGCTGCAAAGTTTTTCATGATCTATTTAGTTGGAACTGTTCTTTTTCAGATGCTTGAAGCAGCTTTATTGGTAAGCCATGTGGTCTCGGTGATCTATATCTCGAAACGCAACTTCAATTTCTGAAATTATATGTATGTCTTCAAATGGTTATCCTTTGAATCAGTCTATCATCGGGATTGTGGCGCAGGGATTGTGGCGCAGCTGGCTGAGTGTCAGCTGCATTAAGATCACTCTGACCAAAAGGTCATGAGTTCGAAGCCAGCCCGGGCTGGAGTGGGTGTCCAGCCATTGTGTAGCCCGTTGTCGACCTTTGCAACCCGAAAGACAGTTGCATCTGTCAAGTAGGAAAATAAGGTACCACCTTGTGTGGGAGGCAAAATTTAACTAATTTATGAGGCCATAAAGAAAAAAAGACTCCGGGGAATGTGGAATGCGGAAGAACTTCATCGGTGTCATTGATGGACGATGAAAAGCAGCAGCTCCCCTCGCGGCCAGAAAAAAGTTAAATAGCCTTGGTGCATTTGTCTGTTAAATGTTGTTTGTCAAACTGGCATTGAATGTTTGCCATATATGTGTTTACTGTAATCCGCCCTGAGTCCCCTGCGGGGTGAGAAGGGCGGAATATAAGAACTGTAAATAAATAAATAATAAAATAAATAAATTAGGTTCTTGTGGGTTTTTTCGGGCTATAGAGCCATGTTCTAGAGGCATTTCTCCTGACGTTTCGCCTGCATCTATGGCAAGCATCCTCAGAAGTTGTGAGGTCTGTTGGAAGTAGGAAAAATGGGTTTATCATCTTCTCGTTTATTTTATACTAGCTGTTCCCTGCCACGTGTTGATGTGGCCCAGTCTGTATATATGTGTTTTGTGTGTGTATATATATATATGTGTGTGTGTATATAAATTTGTGTATATATGTGTGCTGGCGTATATATGTGTGTGTGTGTGTGTGTGCATTATTGTGTGTGTATATATATGTGTGCATATATTTGTGTATTTGTGTGTTTATATGTGTGCATGCATATTGTGTATATGTGTGTGCTTGTCTATATGCATATTTGTGTGTATATATGTATGTATGTGGATATGTATATGAATGTGCATGTGGATATGTATATATTTATGTGTGCATGTATATGTGCATGTGTATATGTATATATGTGTGTGTGTTTGTGCATACATATACGTGTGTGTGTGAATGTGTGCATATGTAAATGAGTGTATGTGTATATGTATATATGGTGTATTTTGGGGTTTTTAAGTTTGTTCTACTGGGGTTTTGTGTGTGTGTGTTTATGGATGATGGACACTCATTGGTCTGATAAGTGTCTTGTGTCCAAATTTCGTGTCAATTCGTCCAGTGGTTTTTGAGTTCTGTTAATCCCACAAGCGAACATTACATTTTTATTTATATAGATAGTTCTTCAGTCTGTTGTTTCCATTCACTTTTTTTCTACTTGGTTATGAACTGTATTCCCATTCTGGAAGTAGAGCATCCCTACTCTGGATTTAAACTTCCCCTTGATTTCTTGGATCTTGTAAAAGAGATTTCTTGTTCTTCCTTTCTTGTCCCTATTTCTATGCATTATAGTTGTTCTCTTTGTCCCTGCAGACAAGTTGTGTTTAGGACTCTGACCTTATTCCTCTCACATTACAACTTGTAATTAATTTAATTCAGGACTGAAAAAGGATCTGCAGTTGGGAACCCATCAGGAGAGCAACTCTTCCTAATCTAAACCCACTGCCAAATGATTTCTTTTGTTTAAAAAGGATTGCTCTGTAAGGAAGGCCTCGTATCTAGTTGTGGTCAGAGTTTGCAAAACTTTATTTAGGGGATTGTCATTCCCAAAAGGAACTTTTCCAAGCTCTGGGCTGGTATTATGAGAGAGAAAACAGCTGTAAGCCTGAAGATATCTTATATGTTTTTGCATTGAACATTGGTGCCATCATATATATGCCGTATGCCAAGCCTTAAGGAGAGAATACATTCTCTGAATAGAGACTGTTGTGTCGTGTATTTGGTTTTAAAGCATCAAGGTTGCCAGCTTTTTAATTGCCAAGGGCTTCTGTGCCTTTAAAAGCAGCCTGACACACTATAATTTTCCTGGCATGGGAGAGATGAGAAGCCAAAACCCTCCTTGGCTAAATTACTGTATCTATTGAGCTTTTAAACATCCAGGAGGACTGGAGCCATTGGAAGCTTTGCTCTCAACCACAGAAATTCAATCCAGCCAATTTTTGTACACTCTTTTCAGCTGACTAATATTCTTTTTCATTGTAGAACAGTTTTCTATGTACAGTTGGCAAAATCGGACTACAACCATGGAAGATTGCAGGCCCCTGGGAGTTATAGTCCAAAAGCATAGCTATATTCCGCTCTCCATGTCTGTGGGTTTATCTTTTGCAGATTTGATTATTTGTGTGTTTGTTTAATATGACCTTCTCTAAGAATTTCTAGGTCTTCTGACATGACACTATGCTTTGAAGAGATCCCAAAGGCCATGCAGAAAAACACAATTAAAGCACCCCTGACAGATGGCTATCCAGCCTCTGTTTCAATATGAATGTGAAGATATTAGTGAAGAATCTCCACTGTAGAATGAATGCAGCTTGGTACCACTATAGTGGCTCAATGCCATGGAAGTTGTAGGTTCACAACCTCTTTAGCTTTCTCTGCTAGAGTTCTGGTGCCTCACCAAATTTAAGCTCCCATGTTTCCATAGCATTGAGCCATGGTGGTTAAAGTGGTGTCAGACTGCATTCTTTCTGCAGTGTAGACACGGATCAGCTAACCCAAGGAAGAATGGAGAGAATTTGAGTGCTCTATTGGGTTCATTTTGCTGTCTATCCCACTTACCCATTGTCTTCTTTAATCCAGAATGTCCTCCACTTGGACTGGAGTCTCTGAGGGTTCGGGATTCACAGCTGCGTGCCTCCAGCTCTAAGAGAGAAGGACTCGGTCCCCACCGCGGACGCCTCAACATCCAGGTGAAGCTGATCACAGTCGTGATATTGCGTTCCAGGGGTGCATCTACAGTGTAGAATTAGTGCAGTTTGGCCCCCTGCTTAAATTGCCATGGCTCAATGCAATGGGACCCTGGGAGTTGTTGTTTTGCAAGGTTCATCACCTTCTTCTGGTGCCTCACCAAATTACAACTCCTGGGATTGCATAGCATCAAGCCATGGTAGCCAAAGCTCAATTGCACTGATTCCTTCCTCCTGTCGTTTTGCTTTTCTCCAGTCTGGCATCCATGATGACGATTTGTATGACGGAGGCTGGTGCGCCGGACACAAGGACAAGAAGCAATGGCTGGAGATTGATGCAAGGCGACTGACACGCTTCACCGGCATCATCACACAAGGGCTGAACTCCATCTGGACGTAAGTGCCAGGACGTAAATGACTCCCAATGGGGAATCCACTCTGGGTTTTAGTCATAACTTTAAAGGGTCTATCTAATGGGGGTATTTTGTCTCTTGGGTTAACTACCTTGTTCAAATCCTCCCGAATCAATTGTTGAGTGATTTCACCTGAACATGAAATGTGGGTCCAGTACCTGGCGTACTTCACTACTCCCAAAAGACCAGATCAAAACACCAACTGGGTTTGAAGGCGACGAACAGAAGTTTTCTTCATCTCTGTCCATTTGTATTTAATTATGAGAGGGGTCAATTTCTCAATAACAAAATCTTGCTAATGAAACTGCACAATAGGATCACCAGAAGTTGGAAATGAAGGTGCACAGTGTCAACATTCCCAATTGTTCAAACTTTCTTTCTTCTACCAGGTACAGCTGGGTAACCTCATACAAGGTACAGTTCAGCAATGACACCCATCGCTGGCTGCCTTGCAAGAACGGGAGCGAAGAGGTGGTGAGTCCATGGGGCACTTTAGGCATAAACATTACAATTCCCTTGCAGCCATATACTAGATCAGGCCTGAGCAAACTTGGACCCTCCAGGTGTTTTGGACTTCAACTTCGACAATTCCTAACAGCCGGTAGGAGTTTTTTTTAAGTTTGTAGTTTTCCCACTTTCACAAAGGTCCTTTGTCCCTAACCCGCATTGAATGTGTAGGGTTAATAGTATAGAATTGCTGTTAATAATAATAATAATAATAATAATAATAATAATAATAATAATAATAATAATAATAACTTTATTTGTACCCCGGTGAGGCTTACATGAGGCCAAGCCCACAGCACATCAATCAACAAAGGCAATAACAAATAATCAATACAACAATTAAAATAAAATAAAACTCAAAAACAAAAATACACAATAAACAATAACAATAGTAACATACAGCATTTAAAAACCTATGACTGGGCCAAATGTAATAAGTGCTGGACATGAGCAAGGAGGTGAACTAGGATAGGGTTTTCAGAGAAAAATGAGGGCGCGCAGACAATCCTAAATTAATATTAAAGTGCATTTGAGGACATAATTGCTAAGAGTTTTCCTTAGTCTGGGAAGGCACACTGGAACAACCACGTTTTCAGGCTCCTCCTAAAGACTGCCAGCATTGGGGCGTGTCTGATGTCCTTAGGGAGTGAATTCCAGAGTTGAGGGGCTACCACCGAGAAGGCCCTCTCTCTTGTCCCCACCAATCATGCCTGTGAAGGAGCTGGGAGCGTGAGCAGGGCCTCTCCAGATGATCGGAGAGATTGTGTGGGTTCGTACACAGTAATGTGGTTGTACACAGTAATACAGTGGTCCCTTATCGCGGGTGTTATGTTCCAGGACCATTCACAATAAGTGAAATTCCGCAAAGTAGGGACGCCCCCTCCCCTTCCCTCCTCACCCTCTTTACTTTCCCCTTCCTCCTCCTCGTTGCAAAGAGTTCTACTTCCCTCCTCGCCCTCTTTACCTTCCCTTTCCTCCTCCTCGTTGCTACCTGGTCCTCTTGCCGCCGCTTGGGCCCCACAATGTCTCTGCTGTCTCCTCAATTATGGGGCCCAAGCAATGGCAAGAGGCCCAGGGGGTGACGAGGAGGAGGAATAGGAAGGCAAAGAGAGCGAAGGGGCGGCTCTACTTCCCTCCTCGCCCTCTTTACCTTCCCCTTCCTCCTCCTTGCTGCCACCTGGCTTCTTGCCACTGCTTGGGCTCTGCAATGCCTCCTCAATCATGAGGCGCAAGTGGCAGCAAGATGTGGAGACTGCAAAGAAGAGGAGGAAGAAGAAGGCAAAGAGGGTGAGGAAGGAAGAAGAGCTGCCCCTGAAGGGAAGAGGAAGCTTTGGCAAGAGGCCAAGGTGGCGACAAGGTGCCTCTCTCGCTCTCTTTCACTCAGTGTTCTCTTTCACTCGCGAAACAGCGAGTCCGCGATAAGCGAACCACGAAGTAGTGAGGGACTACTGTATTACCTTCATTTCCAACTAAGATATCCTACAGCATTACTTCAACAGGATTCTGAGATTCCAGGGTTCAAATCCCCACACAGCAATAGAAACCCTCAGTCGCCTCCTTTCAACTTAGAGAAAAGCAACTCTTGCTCCCAAAAGATTCAAAAAGGGTCACTACATATTGGAAATGACTTCCAAGCATACAACAACAGCAATTTTGACATTTCTTTGGAAGCTGTGGGTATAGAAACTTGTTCAAAATGTGTTTGCAATTAAAGTTGACATTCTCACAATCCCAGATTCTGTATAAATGGCCAATCTTATATAATCTAAAAAACTATTACATTGGGAGCCAGAATTTAAAAAAACATAGCATCCTTCTATTCCTCTTTCCCACTCAACCGGGCTGCTATTCCTCACTTAATAATAATATAAAAAATCACAGGAACATTGCAGTTAAGGTGGATCTTGGCACTTCCAGGATAGGATCAGCGACCCAAGGTGCCGTAGAGCTGTGCCAAGCCAACCAAAGAGAAATCAACAACTGCCATGCCATTCCTGCCAAGGGAAATTCATTGCCTTCTGCCACTCAAAAGATCTGATTTCCTTTCCCCTGTATTATCCTTAATAGCCCTGGGGGGAAAATGGGTTCTTGCCATGCACATCCTGGCAAACAAACCTTTTGCATGTATTGTCGAAGGCTTTCATGGCCGGAATCACTGGGTTGTTGTAGGTTTTTTCGGGCTATATGGCCATGGTCTAGAGGTATTCTCCTGACGTTTCACCTGCATCTATGGCAAGCATCCTCAGAGGTAGTGAGGTCTGCTGGAACTAAGAAAAAAAGGGTTTATATATCTGTGGAATGACCAGGGTGAGACAAAGGACTCTTGTCTGCTGGAACTAGGTGTGAATGTTTCAACTGACCACCTTGATTAGCCTGGCACTGCCTGGCAGTGCCTGGAGCAATCTTTTGTTGAGAGGTGATTAGATGTCCTTGTTTGTTTCCTCTCTGTTGTTGTGCTGTTCTAATTTTAGAGTTTTTTAATACTGGTAGCCATATTTTGTTCATTTTCATGGTTTCCACCAAAGGCAGCACACAAACACGAATCAAGGAACACGAAAGGCACTGCAGACTACTTCAACCAGAGAAGTCAGCCGTAGCAGAGCACCTGATGAGCCAACCTGGACACAGCATATTATTTGAGAACACAGAAATGCTGGATCACTCCAACAACCACCATGTCAGACTACACAGAGAAGCCATTGAAATCCACAAGCATGTGGATAATTTCAACAGAAAGGAGGAAACCATGAAAATGAACAAAATGGGGGGGACGCGCTTAGGGCGGCTTACAGCTGGCAACGATTCTATGCCCCTATATACACATAATAAAACACAATAATTACATATAAATAAAACATTAAATCAATTCAATTTAAAACTGTTTAAAACATTACAGCCTGGTGGCCTAATCTAAGCCGAATTCTGTGACCAGAGACTCTATCAGAAACTTGTCCATAGTCCATTTCTGTCACGTTGCCAGGGCTCTGCCTTATTTTGGTAGAGATGAACCAAACTCCCAGTTTTATCAAACAGTTTAATTAAAACAGCACGTACTTGCTGGCTCTTTCAATAGCCCAAAATATAAAACATAAAGATAGCACTCAGCCACAAAATAAACAAAAACTGATAGCAAAAGCTACACCATAGTCAAAGGGTCCAGTCAAGTGCCGAGAGTTCAATAAACAAAGTCCAGGGATCAAGAGTCTATACCGTAGTCAAAAGCCAGTCCAAAGGTCCAAGGTTCCAGGATTCCAAGATTACAGAAGACAGGTCAGGATACTGAAAATCCAACAGACCTGGGGGGGAAACCAGCAGCATCCACCACCAAAAATATAACAGTACTTTTCTCCCCAAGATCAATCCCAAGGCTAACTCCTTATATCCGGAAACATCCAGCTGCAACCTATCTCTTGCATACCTCCACCCTTAATTGCTTTCACCCATGAACTCTTACTTACAGATTACACAACCCTTTAGAACCAAGACTTACATTTACCTTTCCATCACCAACTGTCAGGTCTGCCACCATCAATCACCATCAACTATGGGACATGATACATGACATTTTCCATAGCGAATTGTCATCATTACCATTGTCATTGTCAGCATGTTACCCAAAGGCCTAGGCACACAACCATGTTTTTAACTTCTTTCTGTAGGAAAGGAGAGATGTGGATAACCTAATTTTGCTGAGGAGCAAATTCCACAGGCGGGGAGCCGCCACCAAGAAGGTCCTGACCCCTGTCCCTGCCAAAAGCGTTTGCGGTAGGCAGGGATGAGAGCAGGGCCTCCCCAGAAGATCTTAAACTTTGAGGTGGGATGTAGAGGGAGATACATTCAGACAGATATTCCCACAATAATCCTGCAAGTTAGGTCAAACTGAGAGCCTCACCCAGCGAGTTTCATAATGTGTTGGAAACTGGTACTAGAATCTCCTAGCCCAAAATCATAACCATTACATCACAGAATTGGACTTGATTTTTTATATACTCCTTGGCTTGCTTTGGTCTGATTTCCTCTCTTCTCTTGCTGCAGATATTCCCTGGAAATAAGGACCCGGAGACTCCAGTCCTCAACCCATTCCCTGTCCCGGTGGTGGCTCGATACCTTCGCATCAACCCTCAAACCTGGTTTGAGAATGGGACCATCTGCCTAAGGATGGAGGTCCTGGGCTGCACCGTGCCAGGTGGGCCCTTGGAGCAGAGCCTTGGCTCAAACCGAGTAGGGCCTTTACATACAGGCTGTCCCCGAGTTACAAACATCTGGCTTGCAAACAACTCCTAGTTAAGAACAGGGACGAGACGACAGGAAGTAAAAGAAATCTACCCCTCAAAAGGGAAATAATGATAGAGTTATTATCTTGGGGGAAAGGGGTCTCCACTGAAGCTTTATCCCCAATCCTTGTCACATTTTTCTCTCTTCTTTCCAGACCCAAACAACATCTATTTGTGGAATGACTTGCCAGTTACCAATGATAAACTGGATTTTAGACATCACAACTACAAAGACATGAGAAAGGTGCGTGACTTTGCGCAGGTTTTGAAAAAGGGCAAGGAAGTCCCCAAATTTCACCCAATTTTCCCTGACTGCATCTACATTGTAGGCACAATGCAGTTTGACCCCACTCTAACTGCCATAGCTCAGTGGTATAGAATCAGGGGAATTGTAGTTTCACAAGACCTTTAGCCTTCTTTGTCAGAGTATTTGTGCCCCACCAAACTACAACTCCCAGGATTTGATAGTATGTGCTACAACAGTTAAAGGAGCATCCAACTGCACTAATTTGACAGTGTTGTCCCTTTCTTCTTCTGGAATGCAACAACAGAAGTTTATTATTTATTTATTATTTATGTAAAACTTTTATATCCCTATCTTCTCACCTCCGTAGAGGGACTCAGACCGGCTTACAGCAAGGATTTAATGCTACTAATACAAGTGAATACATCATACAACAATACAAGATTAAAATGCATATAGATAAAATAACATATATACCAAATCGCCAAGGTAAAATCATGTTCAACTCAGTCCGCATATGTGGTCACTCACTTTGGTCTGTAATCAGTCTCAACCATTATTCTGGGAATGTTTCATTCCATAACCAGGATTTCACTAGCCCCCTGAAAGACAAGAGGGAGGGGGCAGATCTAATCTCACTCGGGAGAGAGTTCCATAGCCGAGGGGCCACCACAGAGAAGACCCTGTCTCTCATCCCCACCAAATGCGCTTGCGAAGGTGGTGGGACTGAGAGCAGGGCCTCTCCGGAAGATCTTAATGTCCTTGATGGTTCATAGGGGAGAATTATTTCTAATGTTAGGCTGGAATCTGAAATTTAGGATTCCCACACCTCAGTGTCTTCTTATCCTGAGCCTTGGATTTTCTTCTTCGTTCCTCAGAGCAAGAGGGAGAATCTCAGGGCAAGTGTGCTGCTTTGAAAAGTGTACTAGTTCCTGTGTGTCTGTTTTCTTAGATCTGTTGTTTAAATTGCATGCTGTCTGCTACTGTGGTTGACACCATAATGTAATATAACATCAGCAGGAAGATTATCAAGGGTCTTTTCAAAGTCCCAGGTTTAGATACTGAAATGTCCGGGCCTTGGACATACCTGACTGAGCAACATGTAAAATGAATGTTGACCCACCTGGCAGAGATTGTGGATATGGTACACATGCAGCCACTGAGGCCCCATCTACAGTCCCATATGATCCGGTTTCAGACTCCAGATTATCTTCTTTGAACTGGATGATATGGCAGTGTAGATCCAGCCTGAATGACATTTCCTCTCCTGCAGCTAATGAAGAAAGTGAACGACGCGTGCCCCAACATCACACGGGTTTACAGCATCGGGAAGAGCTACCAGGGCCTGAAAATGTATGTCATGGAGATTTCAGATAACCCCGGGCACCACGAAGTCGGTGAGTGACATCAGGCAGACCCATTTGGGTCAGGTCCAAAGAAACAATGGCTTTTTGTTAGAAGATGAAACATATGGTGCATCTACACTGTAGAATTAATGTGGTTTGAGGTCACATTAAGTGCCATCCCTCAATGCTATGGAATCACAGGTGTGGTTTTACACAGTCTTCAGCTTTCCCTGCTAAAGAGTGCTGTTATCTCACCAAACTACAACTCCCAGGGTTCCATAGCCTTGAGCCATGGCATTGAAGTGGCATCAAACTGCATTCTTTCTACATTGTAGAGATGCCCATTGACTGCTATACTAAAAATGTAGATAGTCAGTCAGTCATTTAGAATGCACTTCCTTCTGTGGTTTGTAAGCATACTGTAAGCAAACAATTTTTTTCCAGCAGAATGTTTTTAAGAATGAGTCACTGGGTGCCATATAGTGTTATTATTTTTAAAGTTTTTAAAATGATTTTATGTGATGTAATGCTTTTAACACTGTGAGCTGCTTTGAGTCTCATATGCTGCTCCATTTACACTGCTGTATAATGCAGTTTAACAGTTTAAAACTGCATTATATGACAATGTAGATGGGGCTTGCACTAAATTGCATTTTATGTTCAGCCCCCTCAACCATCACTTATTGAGACTGATTCTCAGGGCCCCACCAACACTGCTATATAATGCAGTTTGAAATTGCTTTATAGTTAACGTGGATTCATATGATGCAGCTTAACTGCATTGAACTACATTACATGCATCTATGGCAGTGGTTCTCAACCTGTGGGTCCCCAGGTGATTTGGCCTACAACTCCCAGAAATCCCAGCCAGTTTACCAGCTGTTAGGATTTCTGGGAGTTGAAGGCCAAAACATCTGGGGACCCACAAGCTGAGAACCACTGGTCTATGGTGACCATATAATGCAGTGTAGATGGGACCTGAGAGAGGACAGTGGGGAATAATAACACTATGTAACAAGATTTGAAAAAAATCTGTTCCTGGTTTGAAAGTGTTGTTTCCTGTTTAATTGTGTGGTCCTTACTTTAAAAGTAGTTGCTCTACTCCAGAAACTTTGTTTTTGTGGCTGTTACAAACTAGGTTGAATAGGTTGAGACTCTATGAGATACTCACTGAAAAACTATAACAATATATGCTATAACAGGATGTCCCTCCTGTAAAGACAACGTTTTGGCAGTTTATTAAACTTTTCCTTGTTTTTATGATAGGAGCAATTAGGAAATGACATTTATAACCTGGGAACAAAAATCGTGTTGCATAATATAATAATAGTAGTAGTAGTAGTAGTAGTAGTAGTAGTAGTAGTAGTAATAGTAATAATAATGCCAAAATGAGTGGCAAAGAATGCCTTAGATAGGACATGCTATTAGTTAGAAAGTTCCAACAGACCTCACTACCTCTGAGGATGCTTGCCATAGATGCAGGTGAAACGTCAGGAGAGAATGCCTCTAGACCATGGCCATATAGCCCAAAAAAACCTACAACAACCCAGTTAGAAAGTTTGCCAATTTGGAGGCTCTATGGGTGGTAGTCTCCTAAAAAAGCTTTTCCCAGCTCTGGTAACCACAGTACTGCAAGGACCGTCATGAGCTTTGTTATTTATACTTTTGAAAAGTTAAATAAGGGGCCAATGGGACTTTGGCCATGTTGAGGGTTTCGCATTCTTACAGGAGAACCGGAGTTCCGCTATGTGGCTGGCATGCATGGGAATGAGGTCCTGGGTCGGGAGCTCGTGCTCAACCTCATGGAGTATCTCTGCCATGAATACAAGCAAGGCAACCCTCGCATCCGGAGGCTGGTCACCGAGACCCGGATCCACCTTCTGCCTTCTATGAATCCGGATGGATACGAAACCGCCTACAAGCTGGTGGGTGGAATGGCGTAATGGGGAAGGGTTGTTGGGGGAAAAAAATTTTCTGGCTCCTGTGGGTTCTGATTATCTGTCCCAATCAAAGTAGACCCAACATATTAATGATGAATAATTTCTTTGTGAGTTGAATTCTATGAGTATCCCTTATACGAAATAGTTGGGACCAGGGATGCATCTACACCAGGCACGGGCAAATGTTGGCCCTCCAGGTGTTTTGGACTGCAACTCCCACAATTCCTCACAACCTATTGGCTGTGAGGACTTGTGGGAGTTGCAGTCCAAAACACCTGGAGAGCCAAAGTTTGCCCATACCTGCTTTAGCATATTTTGGTCCCACACACGATTGTGGATTGAGGAGACCAAGGAATGGGGCTGACCATCAGTTAGGACCCTGCTTTGCACTTTACCCACTCCCCCAGTTCTATGTTACTTCATTGCACTAGCCTTGACCCAGTCCTCTCATAGTGTCTAGGCCCATCTGAAATTCTGGCCGCTGGTAGTCCAAATTTTGTCTAATGGAAGAGTATTGGAACTTGCTTTTAAATGTATATGACTGTTTTTAATAGTATTATGTTTATGTTTTTTAATGGTTATTCTGTATATTTTGTTGGCAATTGAATGTTTTGCGTGTTGGAAACCACCCTGAGTCCCCTCGAGGATATAGAGCAGTATACAAATAATAATAATAATAATAATAATAATAATAATAATAATAATAATAGTAATAATAATAATGCAATGACCTGTTCATTTGTGTCCTTTTCCCCCCTTCCACGGGCAGGGCTCTGAGCTCTCTGGCTGGGCCATGGGCCGGTGGACATATGAAGGTTTTGACCTCAACCACAACTTTGCAGACCTCAACACCGCCTTGTGGGATGCAGAGGACAATGACATGGTGCCCCACGAGTTCCCCAACCACTACATCCCCATCCCAGAATACTACACATTTCCGAATGCCACGGTGAGCCCAGCATTCCCTAGCATTGAGACATGGTGTCAAACTGCATTAATTCTACAGTGTGGGTGCACCCTTAGGCCTCTTCTACACTGCCATATAATCCAGATTATCAAAGCAGGTGATCCATATTACCTGCTTTGAACTGGATTATATGAATCTACACTGCCATATAATCCAATTCAAAGCAGATAATCTGGATTTTATATGACAGTGTAGAAGGGGTCTTACTCATATATTACACAATGAAACCATCAAAGTGGTGCAAAAAAAAACCTGTTCAATTTTTGCAGGGCTGTGGATTGATCCTTTGTTTGTTTTGCTCATGACACCTGGCTTGAAAACAGTTCATGTGAAAGGGATGTACCCTACCATATAAAATCCAGAGTATCTGCTTTGAATTGGATTATATGGCAGTGTAGACTCATATAATCCAGTTCAAGCAGGCAATATGGATTATCTTCTTTGATCATGTGGATTACATAGGAGCCCCCGATGGCGCAGTGGGTTAAACCCCTGGACTGAAGACCGACAGGTTGCAGGTTCGAATCCGGGGAGAGGCGGATGAGCTCCCTCTACCAGCTCCAGCTCCTCATGCAGGGACATGAGAGAAGCCGCTCACAAGGATGACAAAACATCAAATCATCCGGGCGTCCCCTGGGCAATGTGCTTGCAGACGGCCAATTCTCTCACACCAGAAGTGACTTGCAGATTCTCAAGTCTTTCCTGACACGACAAAAAAAAAATCTGGATTACATGGCAGTGTAGAAGGGGCCTTAGTAGACTATAAACTGAACATGAGCCATCAGTGGCCCCTTCTACACAGCCAGATATTCCAGGTTATCAAAGCAGAAAATCCACATTCTCTGATTTGAAGGGACAAAAGTTGCACATGCCTGCCTTATTGCTTTTCCATTTGCACAGGTCGCCCCAGAGACTCGGGCGGTCATAAACTGGATGCAGCGCTACCCGTTCATGCTGAGTGCCAACCTGCATGGCGGAGAGCTGGTGGTGACGTACCCCTTCGACATGACACGCACCTACTGGAAGGCCCAGGAGCTCACGCCCACGGCCGACGATGCCGTCTTCCGCTGGCTGGCCACCGTTTATGCCACCTCCAACCTGGTCATGGTGGAAGATGACCGACGGCTCTGCCACCACGAGGACTTCATGAGGGAAGGCAACATCATCAACGGGGCCAACTGGCACACCGTTCCCGGAAGTAAGTAAGGTCGACTCCTTTCTAGGTTCAAGTCGGAACTATCTAAGGTGCTGAACCCTTACAAAAAATTGGGTGTCTCGGATGGGCTCTTTTAAAAGTTTGGACTGAAAGCTGGAGCAGATTTAGAAACTCACATTGACACCCGACCTGCTTTTGCATGATCTCAGGTCCCAGCAACATTATGTCTGAGGTTTAATCAGCCTTTCTAAAGGTCATTTTACCAACATTCATTCTTTCTAGGTTCAAACCTGAGCTATCCAAGGTGCTGAACCTTTAAAATGAATAGACCGGTGGTTCTCAATCTTCCTAATGCCGCGACCCCTTAATACAGTTCCTCATGCTGTGGTGACCCCCAACCATAACCCTAACATTATGAATCGCCATGTAAATAATGATCTGCAGGATGTATTTTCATTCACTGGAGCAAATTTGGCACAAATACCCGGTATGCCCAAATTTGAATACTGGTGGGGTTGGCGGGGGGATTGATTTTGCCATTTGGGAGTTGTAGTTGCTGGGATTTATAGTTAACCTGTAAATAAAGAGCATTCTGAACTCCACCAACAATGAAATTGAACCAAAGTTGGCACACAGAACTCCCATGACCAACAGAAAATACTGGAAGGGTTTGGTGGGCATTGACCTTGAGTTTGGGAGTTGAAGTTCGCCTATATCCAGAGAGCACTCTAGACTCCAACAATGATGGATCTGGACCAAACTTGGCACAAATACTCAATATGTTCAAATGTGAAAACTCATGGGGTTTTGGGGAAATAGACCTTGAGATTTGGGAGTTGTACTTGCTGGGATTTATAGTTCACCTACAATCAAGGAGCGTTCTGAACACCAACAATGATAGAATTTGGCCAAACTTCTCACACAAAGACCCCCATGACCAACAGAAAATACTGTGTTTTCTGATGGTCTTTGGAGACCCCTCTGACACCCCTTCGCGACCCCTCCAGGGGTCCCGACCCCCAGGTTGAGAAACACTGGAATAGAGCACCTTGGATGTATCAGGCAGATAATGCTGTCCTTTGGTCATTGCTGTCCTTATCATCCAGTGATGATGAGGCTTCGAGTCACATGGATTCATCTGCATTACAAGCACGCACTGTTGCTTTTGCTGCTGTTTTTTTAATAGTTGCTCATTTTTACTCAGGTTTTTTTTTTTTTTTGTATTTTAGCACTTGATTGGTCTGCTTTGGGGAATGTCCATGGGGATATCATTGTGTATAACTACATGGATATCCCTTTGTGCATTAATACCATAGTGTAGATGCACCCCCAGTTACCAGTAAGATTCCAACTCACTGCTGAAGGTATCTAGTGTGGTTAAATCACCACTTGCTCTGAGTGTTTCTTTGTTCTCCTGCCTCAGGTATGAACGACTTCAGCTATCTTCACACAAACTGCTTTGAGATCACAATCGAGTTATCTTGCGACAAGTTCCCCCACGAGTCAGAGCTGCCCCAGGAATGGGAAAACAACAAGGAATCCTTACTGTTGTACATGGAACAGGTAGGAAGAAGTGGGGTGGGTGCCAGCCACCTTGGCACAGTTTGCTAAAATCAAGGGGTTACGGTTTAACCACCCTTGTTCTGAAATGTCCAGGCTTGTGAACCACTCAGTTATTTGTTGTGCACCCGATCTATTGTGACCTAAAGACAAAACCATCCCAGTTTTGTTTTTGCAAGGGTTGTTCAGCTTTTGCCTTTGTCTTCCTCTGAAGCTGAGAGAATGGAGATGCATCTACTCCATAGAATTAATGTACTTTGTCAGCACCTTAAGTGCTGGAGTCCCCAGTGGCACAGTGGGTTAAACCCTGTGCCGGCAGGACTGAAGACCGACAGGTCGCAGGTTTGACTCCAGGGAGAGCACGGATGAGCTCCCTCTATCAGTTCCAGGTCCTCATGCCGGGACATGAGAGAAGCTTCCCACAAGGATGATAAAAATATCAAATCATCGGAGTGTCCCCTGGGCAACGTCCTTGCAGACGGCCAATTCTTTCACACCAGAAGCGACTTGCAGTTTCTCAAGTCGCTCCTGACACAACAACAAAAAAAATACCCTTAAGTGCTGTGGCTCAGTGCTATGGGATCTTGGAAGTTGTAGTTTGGTGAAGCACCAGTGCTCTTTGGCAGCGAAGGCTTTGTAAAAGTACAACTCCCATGAATCTATAGCATGGTGACATGGTAGTTAAGGTACTGTCAAATTGTATTGCTTTTATAGTGTAGATCAGTGGTTCTCAACCTTCCTAATGTCGTGACCCCTTAATACAGTCCCTCATGTTGTGGTGACCCCCAACCATAACATTGTTTTTGTTGCTACTTCATAACAGTCATTTTACTACTGTTATAAATCATAATGTAAATATCAGATATGCAAGATGTATTTTCATTCACTGGACCAAACTGGGCACAAATACCCAATGCAACCACATGTAAATGCTAGTGGGGTTGGGGAGGACTGATTTTGTAATTTGGGAGTTGTAGTTGCTGGGATTTATAGTTCACCTGTAATCAAAGAGCATTCTGAACTCCACCAGCGAAGGATTTGAAACTAATTTGCCACACAGAACTCCCATGATCAACGGAAAACACTGGAAGGGTTTGGTGGGCATTGACCTTGAGTTTGGGAGTTGTAGTTCACCTATATCCAGAGAGCACTGTGGACTCATGCAATGGTGGATCTGGACCAAACTTGGCACAAATACTCAATATGTGCAAATGTGAATACTGGTGGAGTCTGGGGAAAATAGACCTTGACTTTTGGGAGTTGTAGTTGCTGGGATTTATAGTTCACTATAATCAAAGAACATTCTGAACTCCACCAACGACAGAATTGGCTCAAACTTCCCACATGGAATCCCCATGGCCATCAGAAAATACTATGTTTTCTGATGGTCTTTGGCGACCCCTCTGACACTCCTTCGCGACCCCCTAAGGGGTCCCGACCCCCAGGTTGAGAAACACTGGTGTAGATGAATCCAATGACTTGACCAAGTGGGTCAAGGCTGAGCAGAGATTTAAACCTTGTCTCTCCAGAGTCATCGTCCTATGTTTACACCACTGCCGGACTCCAAACCAACAAGTAGACCACATTTTTCTTGCAACACCAAAATGATGGCGTCTAATACATGCATCCTGGAATATTAAATCGTCTTTCATATAAGCACTCTTTAACATGGATTTTATTTGGCGTTTTTGCAAAGCCTCTGGGGCCTTGCTCAGGTCCCGTCCCCCATCCCTCCCGGGAGTGTTGTGCCCAGGGGCGGCCCGTCCATTACGCGAAGTAAGCGGCCGCAAAACACTTTTTTTGGCCAGGGGCGCAGAGGCACCTCTGTAAATGCCCCTCGACCAGGGCCGGCTGAACCGTTAGGCAAAGTAAGCATTTGTGGGTGGCGCCACTCGGCGCTGTTCTGCCAGCCGGGCACCGGAGTCTCCTTAGGCCACGCCTCCTCCTGCAGGCCCCATGCGCCCTCAACAGCGCCAAACAGAAGCAGAAGCTACTGGAAGTGTGCACGTAATAAGAGAGAGCCAGGGAAGGGAAGAGAGAGGAGAGAAAGAGCCTAGCTGTGTGCCTCCTTGCACCTGAAGGGCTTCCCTCTCACCTAGTGGGCAGGGCCTGCGCTTCTCCATTAGCAGGCTGTGCCTCGCCCCCCCCCCCCCTGCTTGACTCTCCTGCGCGTGTGTCGAGGCCTCCTGGCGCCATGCGGCTGCCTTCCCTTCCTGCGTGCATGCTCCCAAGGCCTCTTCTCCCACTTGCTCTTCTTGGGCCCTCCAGCCAGGAAGGGAAGGCAGCCGCAAAGAGCCTGGAGGCCTCGCCGCACATGCAGGCGAAAGAGACAAGCACGGAGGGTCCTGGGAGAGAGAGAGAGAGAGAGGATTGAGGGGCGGAGGCACAGCCTTCTAATGGAGAAGTGCATGCCCCGCCCACTAGGCGAGAGGGAAGTTTTCCACGTGCAAGGAGGCAGGCAGCCAGGCTCTTTCTCTTTTATTTATTTATTTATTTTATTTACTTTGCTTATATACCGCTGTATCTCAAGCCCGAAGGCGACTCACGGCGGTTCACAAACAGTAAAAACAGTAGAAACAGCAGTGGTTCCATACAACATATAACAATTGACTTAACACATTATCCATAAATTACCAATAAGCAAGTTACAATGCACAATTATTACAAAAAACAACCGTACCCAATCTTCTCATCATCCAAGCGTAGTCCAGGTTCGTCGTCCCTTGTTCCATTCCTATGTTCCATTACCAGATTGCACTAAATTACTCAAACGCCTGCACAAACATCCAGGTTTTCACCTTTTTGCGGAATACCATTAGAGATGGTGCTAGTCTAATGTCCGTAGGAAGGGCGTTCCACAGCCGAGGAGCCACCACCGAGAAGGCCCTATCTCTCGTCCCCGCCAGCCGAGCTTGAGAAGCAGGCGGGATCGAGAGCAGGGTCTCCCCGTAAGATCTCAAAGTCCTGGTGGGTTCATAGGCAGAGATGCGGTCGGATAGGTAGCTTGGGCCGAAACCCTTTCTCTTTTCCTTCCCTTCCCTGCCTCTCTTTCTTAAGCTCACACTCCCATTCTCCCTACTCTGGAAGAGCACAGGGCCTCTTCTCTCAGGCCTCTCAGGCAGCTGTGCCTGGGCCCCTCTCAGAGCAGCAAGGAGGCCTCTTCAAAAAACGGAAGGGATTGAAGGTACTGCAAATGTCATCTTTTATACATGCCTCCCCCAAACCCCTCCAGTATTTGGTCATGAAAGTCCTGTATGCCAAGTTTGGTTCAATTCTATTGTTGGTGGAGCTCAGAATATTTTTTGGTGCTTGGTAAACTGCAATTCCCAAATATCAGGGTCTATTTTTCCAAAACCCCTCTCCAGTATTTTCTGTTAGTCATGGAAGTCCTGTATGCCAAGTTTGGTTCAATTCTATTATTGGTGGAGCTCAGAATGCTCTTTGGTGCTTGGTGAAGCATTCTCACCTGATGTTTCACCCACATCTATGGCAGGCATCCTCAAGAGGCTGTGAGGTCTGTTTGTAACTAGGCAAGTGGGGTTTGTATATCTGTGGAATGTCCAGGGTGGAAAAAAGAACTCATGTCTGCTTGAGGTAAGTGTGAATGTTGCAATTGGTCATCTTGATGAGCATTTAATGGCCTTGCAGCTTCGAAGCCGAGCTAGTTGCTGCCCAGAAATCCTTTGTTGGGAGCTGTCAACTGGCCCTGATTGCTTCATGTCAGGAATTCCCTGTTTTTTTTAGTGTTGCTCTTTATTTACTGTTCTGATTTTAGAGGGTTATTTTAGAGGGTACTGGTAGCCAGATTTTGTTCCTCTGAGGTTGCCTGCCATAGATGTGGGGAAAATGTCAGGAGAGAATGCTTCTGTAACATGGCCATACAGCCCAGAAAACTCACAGCAACTCAGTGATTCTGGCCATGAAAGCCTTCCACAACACATTATTATGTTTATTTATACCCTGCATTTTCTCTCCCCAAGAAGACTCAAGTTGGCTTAGATTAAAAACATTTCAGTACAGTTTAAAATCCACAAATATGCAAACATTAAAATGGAATTAAATATCATTGGTATTTTAAAAATTCAGTTAAAATCCATAAAAAACATATCCAAAACTAAAAACTGCAGCAGACCCTGACTTGATCTTTAAAACCTTTTAAAGCCTGCATTAGATTACCAAATGTAATGTCCCTTTATACACACTGCTTTATATTAATTTCCCCAGTATTCCTTTATCTGATTTGTCATCAACACACTTTATGGACTGCAAAAATATGATCCTGTGTGATTCCTTTCCATTGCTGGCTGAATAGTTTAAATTTGGATAATATTTTGACTTTGGTATTTTAGCAATTACATTTTGCAGCAGCGTCTTTTGGGTTGCTAACCCTTGTCCTTGAGTCCTTCCATCAGTTCCAGGGCTCAATCCCAACTGCTGGTGGACGAGACACTATGGAGCTCTATATTTATATTTCCACAGTACAAAGTGGCAAAATCAAAGACTGCTTTGGGATTTTTAAAAAAATGTTTTAAAACCATGGATGGTTGAAGCAGTGGTTGCAGAACACCAACTGTGTAACACTGTCACTGTACGAGTAAAGCGACAACAAAATGCTCCCCTGCCCTTAGGTGTATAATTTAATTAAAACATGACAGAAAGGCAAAGGGATGCCAGTGTGGGAAGGGATGAAGGGCCTGTCCAGACAGGCCCTATATCCCAGGATGTGATTGCAGGTTTTCTGTTTATCGTGGATTATCTGGCAGTGTGGACTCATGATCCAGTTTAAAGCTGAAAACCTGGGATCAGATCCAGGGATATAGGGCCTGTCTGGAAGGGCTCCATAGCTTCACATGCCACCTATTTCTCCAAGGCCAAAGTAGTGGCAGTTGGATGGAGGGAGGGCTCTTCATCTGCTTCTGGGTCAAGCACACGCAAGAGCAAACCAGCCCTCCAGGTGTTTCGGACTTCAACTCCCACAATACCTAACAGCCGGTCTAGCAGTTTGTAATGTAATACAGGTTGAGTATCCCTGATCCAAAGTGCTTTGAACTAGAAGTGTATAAACCACTTTGAGTCCCCCTGAGGGTGAGAAAAGTGGTATACAAATACTGTAAATAAATAAATAAAATGTTTGGGATCATGGGATAGCTGTTTACGTACACAATGACACATTTCAAAGATAGCACCCAAGATAAAACACAAAAGAGGCATGCACGAGGCCTCTTTTCCCACGTGCCCGGCAACGCCGCTGCGCATCCCTCTCCCGGCATTAGGAAATGTGCGCCCTGCATCCCCTCCTTCTCCATGCACTTCCTAACGCTGGGAGAAGGATGCACATTGGCGTTGTTGTCTCCCTTGGCCTGCAAGGAGGAGAAGAGGAGGACAACGTGCGCGCTTGTGAGGGAAGGATGGAGGGAGAGCATGCTCCCTGCATGAGGGCTCTTTCTCCGTGCGCCTTGCAATGCCAGCGCGGGTCCCTCTCCCGGAGTTGCAAAGCGTGTGGGGGAAGAGAATGCAAAGTGCATACCCAGGAGCCGATGGAGCACAGGGCCTCTTCTCCTGTATGAAGAAGGGCAGCATTGCAAGTGCCTCTCCAGGCAGCTGTGCCATCACCCCTCTCAGGGCGGCAAGGAGGCCTCTTCATGAACGGAAGCGACTGAAGGTACTGCAAATCTAAATTATTGTACATGCTTCCCCAAAACCCCTCCAGTATCAGAGTCTATTTTCCCCAAATCCCTCCAGTATTTTATGTTGGAACTACATCAACACTGACAAAGAAACAAGAAGAAATACTATTTACCCACAAGCATTAAGAAATTACATATATTAGAAACCAACTTTCTTATTACTTTCTTTTCAAGATCATTAGACTGGATCACAGCAACGCGTGGCAGGGGATGGCTAGTGTGTGTGTGTGTGTGTGTATGTATGTATGGATGGATGGATGGCATGGGCCAACTTCAGCCCTTCATGTGTTTTGGACTTCAATTCCCACAATTCCAAACAGCCAGTAGGAAGTCCCAAATACCTGGAGGGCCAAAATTTGTCCATGCCCCCATATATATATATATATATATATATATATATATATATATATATATAGTGATTGGTTTTGGGGAGGGGGGTGCCAAAATACTGTTTGCTTACCATTGAAAATTACCTAGGGCCGCCTCTGGTTGTGCCTTATATTTCCCTTACTAGTCCTTTCCAATGGATGCACTAACCTACCATGTCCTTACAGACCCGCAGGGGCATTAAGGGGATAGTTCGGGACAAAGACACCGAAGAAGGCATTGCAGACGCCATCATTTCCGTCGATGGTATCAACCATGACATAAGGACAGGTAACGTTTACAAGATCCAACTCTCCCCTTTGAGTTGTATTAAACTTTGGCAGGAAAAAAATGAAATGTAGAAATATAAAATGGGATTTAGGGGGCCACAAGCTGAACAGAAGCCAACAGTGTGGAATTCATTCTTTAAAAACAAAAGTGTTAGAACACCAAATCAGCTTCCCCTACTAAGATTACAGTATTATGCAAATCTAATGCACACCCTAATTTTGGGCAAGTAATTTAGCCAAAAAAAGATAAGGATTATTTTTGAGTAAAAACAGTGTATTTCAGCATAGTTCCTCTTGTTGCCTTAGGGCAACTCTTTGGCCTTTCCTCTTCCCAAAGCCTGTGGACATTGAATTGCCCCATATTGTCAAAGCAATATTCCAATGCTGCTTTTCTTTCCTTCACAGCTTTTGATGGTGACTACTGGCGCCTGCTGAACCCCGGGGAGTACGAGGTGACAGCTGCGGCTGAGGGCTACCACTCGGTGACCCACAGTTGCCGCGTCTCTTACGAGGACCACCCCACTGTCTGCGACTTCCGCCTGACCAAGACGCCCAAGCAGCGGCTGCGGGAGATCCTCTCCAAAGGCGGGAAGGTCCCCAAGGACTTGGTCTTGCGCCTCCGCCAGCTGAGGCTGCGCAAGCTGCGCTCCCAGAAGCGGGACCAGTGAGGAAGAGGGCCTGCCTCTGAATCCAGAACTGTCCCTTTCCAAAATCATTCCAGGACCAGAATCACAAAAGTGCAACTCGATGCCACCATCTCTTATCACAGCAGCAGCCTCTTTCCTCAACCTGAGCAGACATGATCAACAAATAATCATGTGCAATTTCTGCATTTGGGGAAAACCAACCCTGGGCAATTGCGTATGGGGAGATTTATGTTCTCTTTACCTCTGTCCCTTTTCCCAGGCAATTGTCAAGTAGAAGCTGGTGGGTACTGGAGGATATCACTTCATAGTAAGGAAATGCAGCTGGCCTGGACTCCAAGGGGAAACAAACCATCGATAACCAAACCCTAATTATTTTTCACTCAAAGGTGATTAGATGGTATGAAGTGGTGACACAGAACTGTGCAAGTCAAATGTTCACTTGCACAGCGCAAGTAAAATGTTCACTTGCACAGCACAAGTAGAATGTTAGCTTGCACAGCGCAAGTAGAATCTTTGCTTGCACAACACAAGTAGAATCTTTGCTTGCGCAACACAAGTAGAATCTTCGCTTGCACAACACAAGTAGAATCTTCGCTTGCACAGCGCAAGTAGAATCTTTGCTTGCACAACACAAGTAGAATCTTCACTTGCGCAGCACAAGTAGAATCTTCGCTTTCACAGCGCAAGTATAATCTTCGCTTACACAGCGCAAGTGGAATCTTTGCCTGCACAGTGCAAGTAGAAAGTTTGCTTGCACAGCGCAAGTAGAATCTTTGCTTGCACAACGCAAGTAGAATCTTCCCTTGCACAGTGCAAGTACAATCTTCGCTTGCACAGCGCAAGTAGAATCTTTGCTTGCACAACACAAGTACAATCTTCGCTTGCACAGCGCAAGTAGAATCTTTGCTTGCACAACACAAGTAGAATCGTCCCTTGCACAGCGCCAGTAGAATCTTCGCTTGCACAGCGCAAGTACAATCTTCACTTGCACAGCGCAAGTAGAATCTTTGCTTGCACAGCGCAAGTACAATCTTTGCTTGCACAACACAAGTACAATCTTCGCTTGCACAGCGCAAGTGGAATCTTTGCCTGCACAGCGCAAGTAAAAAGTTTGCTTGCACAGCGCAAGTAGAATCTTCGCCTGTACAGCGCAAGTAGAATGTTTGCTTGCACAGCGCAAGTAGAATGTTCATTTGCACTGTGTAATTGGAATGTTATCTTGCTGAAGGTTAAACATTGGTGCTTGTCCCTTTAATAGGTGTCTAAATCAGTGCCTTTCAAGTGTGGTTTTCTCCTCTTCTAGGAAAAGCCACATCTACCAATAGAACTGCTAAAGGGACAGGAATTATCTTGAGTACCAACATCCCAAGCAAAGACAGAAACCCCATAAACCTTTGCTTGAGGAAATTCTTATTTCAGAGTCCAGTGTATTCTGTGGTGAAAAGTCAGAAGGGAGGCCCAAAGGTCTACCAGTCAAACCCCATTTTTCCACATACACCATCTAAGCCAGTGGTTCTCAACCTGGGGTCCCCAGATGTTTTGGCCTTCAACTCCCAGAAATCCTAACAGCTGGTAAACTGGCTGGGATTTCTGGGAGTTGTAGGTCAAAACACCTGGGGAGCCACAGGTTGAGAGCCACTGGTCTAAGCGTTCCTAATCAACCATAAATAGCATAATTGCACATTCTTAATTCAGGAAATCCAATGTCTAGAACAATGTGAGTCTCCCTTTGAAAAATTCATCTTTCCCTACTCAGATACCATTTAGATTACATTAGATTGCAGTTCTCATCATCCCTGAGCAAGTTGTGTTTACCATTACTGGAAAACTCTTTGGAGACAGTTTTAAATCAGATCCCACTATGGCCCCATCTACACTGTCATATAAAATCCAGATTATCTGGGTTATATGGCAGACTCATATAATCCAGTTCAAAGCAGATAATCTGGATTTTATATGGCAGTGTAGGTGGAGCTTAAGTCTTAAGTCATGAACTGTATGCTAGTGCATTTCTCTGCTAAAACTAAGATGGTGGTATCCCATTCCAAAAGGGGTGTCTACACTGTAGAAATAATGCGGTTTGACACAACTTTTGTGACATAGCTCAATGCTACAGAATTCTGGGAGTTGTATTTTTGCAAGATCAGAGGGCTGCTGCCTCCCCAAATTACAGCTCCTAAAATCCCATATCATTGAGCCATGGCAATTGAAGAGGCATCAAACTGCATGAGTGTACATGCAGCCAAAATGCTGGAAGCTTATGGTTGAGTGTAAACCATGTTTTCCACATATTCTCTCCAGTACATTGTATTATATCTTTCAATATAAGCAAGAGCGGTGGTTGTGGTGGTGATGAGAATCAGAGCCTGGAAAGGTTGCTTTGCCAACTCTGGATCATGGGCATGCATGGAAACCAATGGCATCTCCCCTCCTGCTGGGCGGGCCCTGATCGGAAGGTGCCATGGATTAAAGTTTTAGGAGAAGAGGAAGATGCAACTGTTTTTGTAAATAAATTTAAATGCTGGCATTGCAGTGCCCTTGCTAGCCAAGGGGCATTTAGACCGAGTCTTTCTGAATAAATATTGTTCGATATTTAACCTTCCAAAATGCCCTTGTGTAAATTTGGCTTATTTCTCACACATCTTTTCCCTGGAATTGGTTCATTCCAAATTAGACAGTTTGAGGTCGAATTTAAACTAGGACCACGGTTAAAGAGGGCCTATGCCCGGTGAGCATACCTCTGAGGATGCTTGCCATAGATGCAGGCGAAACGTCAGGAGAGAATGCCTCTAGAACATGGCCATATAGCCCAAAAAAACCTACAACAACCCAGTGATTCCGGCCATGAAAGCCTTCAACAAAACAGTGGTAAAGTTTCTGTTTATTTGCATTTACAACCTCCAACACAGGCATATATACACTCCACTTACTTCATTGCAAACAGAACCTTTGAAGGTGACTTTAGCCACAGATACAGGTGAAACTTCAGGAGAGAATGCTTCTGGAATGGATGGCGAAAGACAGAAACGTGCCAAGAGGAAGGCGCATCAAGCCAACCCCAACCGAGACCGCCTTCCACCTGGAAATCAATGCCCTCACTGCAGGAGAACATGCAGGTCAAGAATAGGGCTCCACAGTCCTACAGACCCACCAGTACTGTGTTGTCGCACGCTGGGCCTGTGCATATGACTGTAGACAGGACATAAATTCTGTGTGCCCAACGGGACGCCGGGGCTGCCTCAGATTAAAGGCCCTTGGACCTCCCCAAAACAAAATTCTGTAGAGACTTAAAGTAAGTCCAACAAAGTTCTTTATTGATGAAAACAAACAGGTACTTTAAAGCTTTCTTAACAGTCTATTGCAGTGTTTCTCAACCTGGGGGTCGGGACCCCCGGAGGGGTCGCAAGGGGATGTCAGAGGGGTCATCAAAGACCATCAGAAAACACAGTATTTTCTGTTGGTCAAGGGGTTTCTGTGTGGGAAGTTTGGCCCAATTCTGTTGTTGGTGGGGTTCAGAATGCTCTTTGATTGTAGGTGAACTATACATCTCAGCAACTACAACTCCCAAATGCCAAGGTCTATTTCCCCCAAACTCCACCAGTGTTCATATTTGGACATATTGAGTATTTGTGCCAAGTTTGGTCCAGATCCATCATTGTTTGAGTCCACAGTGCTCTCTGGATGCAGGTGAACTACAACTCCAAAACTCAAGGTCAATGCCCACCAAACTCTTCTAGTATTTTCCATTGGTCATGTGAGTTCTTTGTGCCAAGTTTGGTTCAATTCCATCGTTGGTGGAGTTCAGAATTCTCTTTGATTGTAGGTAAACTATAAATCCCAGCAACTACAACTCCCAAATGACAAAATCAATTCCCCCCAACTCCTCCAGTATTCAAACCTGGGTGTATCGGGTATTTGTGCCAAATTAGGTCCAGTTAAGGAAAATACATCCTCCATATCAGATATTCGCATTATGATTCAGAACAGTTGCAAAATTACAGTGATAAAGTAGCAATAAAAATAATGTTATGGTTAGGGGTCACCACAACACGAGGAACTGTATTAAGGGGTCAAGGAATTAGGAAGGTTGAGAAACACTGGTCTATTGGCTCTTGCAATCTTGTTCACTGGGAACAGGCATCATCTTCATAACTTTATACTAACTAATGGGGAAATCCTTAACTTCTAATCTGGGCAGTCCGTCTTTGCCTCTGTTGGCGTGGAGTCCCTGCACCCAGTACCAACTGCATCTGGCTTCCGCGAGCGACCCTTACCAAGCAGAGCTTTGTAGACTTCCAGGGGAAAAGAAGGAGTTCAGGTTTAGGTGATGGCTGGCTGAAGTCCCTCAGCGAAAGGAGCTGTAAGGATACAAAATCCTCAGCCAAGCTGTGGGCCTTAATCCCCGGCCAAGCTGTAGGGCTGTATAACACCGGCCAAGCCATAGAAGACGAAGCTTTCTACAGGAGCTCTTGGTTTCATGTCCTGTGAAAGGCTTCTCTGTGTGGACTGACTCAAAAAAGGCTCCTATTCCCTCCAAAACTCAAAAAGGGGCAGGACCAGGGAACCTAACGATAATTGACAGGTGGCTTGCCCTATGATTGCAAACTATAACAGGAAGCCAGCCTGCTGCAAAATCCCAAGCCTGGGATTGCAAACAAACATTTAATGCAAAGCAAACAGAATTGGAGCTCCTGGTACAGCTGTACCAGCACAAGTACACTGATCTTGGAAGACTATCCTGCTCGGATAACGAGGGATCGCCTAAGTGAAATGTTCGACAATACCTAGCCTATCCCCAAATATTTAATTGCAATGGCCCAATGCAATGCAATCATTGGAGTTGCAGTTTTGCAAAGCCTTCAATCCTTTCTACCTGTAGTTAATGCCTTATCCCAGTTAAAGGTGTGTCTACATTGCACAATTAATGCAGTTTGATACCACTTTAACTGCCTATTGTATCCCAGGAGCTCTAATTTGGTGAGGCACCACCACTGTTTGGGGAATGAGGCTAAAGACCCTGGAAAACTACAGATCCCAGGATTCCATATCTTTGAGAGCCATGGAAATCAAAGTGGTATCAAACTGTGTTAATTTTACAGTGTAGATAGAAGCACTCTTTGACATTGGTCCCAATAATGCAGACTGAACTGAATTAATGCAGACTGAACTTTTATACAATCCAGTTCAATGTAATTCAGTGACTGAAGGTTCCCCTGAAGGTTAGCCTATGGTAGCCACGCCCCTTTTCCCAAAGCCACGCCCCTTCTGTATCAGGCCACGCCCACTCGGCTTTAGCCAATGCTCCCGCTTTCAGCTTCTATGTGGTGTTGCCGCCGGCTTAACACCATAAGGGGAAACAGTTTTTATGTTGTGTTAAAAATGCACACACTTGTTTGTGCCATTTTTGTGTCAACTCCTATGTTTTAACTCAATTTTTGGCTTTTTAGACCTTTTGGACTTCATTTCCCAGAATCCCTAACCGTTGGCTTTACCAGCTGAGGCTTCTGGGAATTGGAGTCCAAATCGGAGTAGAAAGGCGCATGCGCAAAAAGCACTTTGACTCGCCCTCGCAGTCGGCGGCTGCTCCAAAGGCGCATGCGCAAAAAGGACTTTGACTCGCCCTCCGAGGAGGGCGAGTCAAAGTCCTTTTCGCGCATGCGCCTTTGGAGCAGCCGCCGACTGGAGAGATGAAGCTCCTCCCCCTAGTCACGTGGTAGCGGGAGAGGCCGCGCGGGCAGCTAAAGCGCCGGAAGTGACGCAGCTGGGAGCCTGCGGAGAGTGGCTCATTTGGTTCCGGCGGGTGGAGGAAGAGGAGGCGACGCTGAGGTGAGTTGCTTAAGGCGTTATAACGTTGGGGACAGGCTTTTTATGGGAAGGAAGGCCGGGCTGCCTCGTTAGAGAACGAATAGGCCCAATAATATGGATAATATGGCATTGGAAGCGATGCCGACCCAAAATATTCGGCTGCCTGAGGCGGAGCAGCAGTAAAATGGCCTCTAAGCCAAGGACATCTAATCACCTCTCGACAAAAGATTGCCCCAGGCACTGCCAGGCCATCAAACAGTAATCAAGGTGGTCAGTTGAAACATTCACACCTAGCTCCAGCAGACAAGAGTCCTTTGACCCACCCTGGTCATTCCACAGATATACAAACCCTTTTTCCTAGTTCCAACAGACCTCACTACCTCTGAGGATGCTTGCCATAGATGCAGGCGAAACGTCAGGAGAGAATGCCTCTAGAACATGGCCATATAGCCCAAAAAAACCTACAACAACCCACTTTTTCCTACAATAAACCTACAATAACCTACAATAATCAGACTGGAAAAAATCAACTTATATCCCCATACCAAAAAAGGGAAATGCGAAAGACTGCTCAAACTTCCGTACAGTGGCCCTTATTTCTCATGCCAGTAAGGTAATGCTCAAGATCCTGCAAGGAAGACTCCAGCAATACATGGAGCGAGAGTTGCCAGATGTTCAAGCTGGGTTAGAAAAGGTAGAGGAACGAGAGACCAAATTGCCAATATCCGCTGGATAATGGAGAAAGGCAGGGAGTTTCAGAAAAACATCTACTTCTGCTTCATTGACTATTCTAAAGCCTTTGACTGTGTGGATCATAATAAATTGTGGCAAGTTCTTAGTGGGATGGGCATCCCAAGCCACCTTGTCTCTCTCCTGAGGAATCTGTACAAGGACCAAGTAGCAACAGTCAGAACTGACCACGGAACAACAGACTGGTTCAAGATTGGGAAAGGCGTACGGCAAGGCTGCATCCTCTCACCCAACCTTTTTAACTTGTATGCAGAACACATCATGCGATGTGCGGGGCTGGATGAATGCAAAGCTGGGGTGAAAATTGCTGGAAGAAACATTAACAACCTCAGATATTCAGATGACACCACTCTGATGGCCGAAAGCGAGGAGGAGCTGAGGAGCCTTCTAATCAAGGTGAAAGAAGAAAGCGCAAAAGCCGGGTTGCAGCTAAACGTCAAAAAAACCAAGATTATGGCAACAAGAATGATTGACAACTGAAAAATAGAGGGAGAAACCGTGGAGGCCGTGACAGACTTTGTATTTCTAGGTGCAAAGATTACTGCAGATGCAGACTGTAGCCAGGAAATCAGAAGACGCTTACTTCTTGGGAGGAGAGCAATGTCCAATCTCGATAAAATAGTAAAGAGTAGAGACATCAGACTGGCAACAAAGATCCGCCTAGTCAAAGCCATTGTATTCCCTGTAGTAACCTACGGATGTGAGAGCTGGACCTTAGGGAAGGCTGAGCGAAGGAAGATCGATGCTTTTGAGCTGTGGTGTTGGAGGAAAGTTCTGAGAGTGCCTTGGACTGCGAGAAGATCCAACCAGTCCATCCTCCAGGAAATAAAGCCCGACTGCTCACTGGAGGGAAAGATACTAGAGACACAGTTGAAGTACTTTGGCCACATCATGAGGAGACAGGAAAGCCTAGAGAAGACAATTATGCTGGGGAAAGTGGAAGGCAAAAGGAAGAGGGGCCGACCAAGGGCAAGATGGATGGATGGCATCCTTGAAGGAACTGCTTGAAGGAGCTGGGGGTGGTGACGGCCGACAGGGAGCGCTGGCGTGGGCTGGTCCATGAGGTCATGAAGAGTCGGAGACGACTGAACGAATGAACAACAACAACAACAATATGGAAAACCCATTTTCCTAGTTCCAACAGACCTCACTACCTCTGAGGATGCTTGCCAGAGATGCAGGTGAAACGTCAGGAGAGAATGCCTCTAGAACATGGCCATATAGCCCGAAAAAACCTACAACAACCCTATCCTGATTTTGTTCATTTTTCAGACAGGAAACAGTCAGGGCTGCAACAATAATCTTTCTGTGGCATTTAGCATTGAGTAGCTTTGCAGCTTCAAAGCCTGGCTGCTTTCTGCCTGGGGGAATTTTTTGTTAGTAGGTGGTTGCTGGTCCTGTTAGTTTCCTTTATGGAATTCCCGTTTTCTGAGTGTTGTTCTTTGTTTGCTGTCCTGATTTTGTTAAAGGCTTTCATGGCCGGGATCCAACAGACAAGAGTTCTTTGTCCCACCCTGGTCTTTCCACAGGTATATAAACCCTTTTCCCTAGTTCCAACAGACCTCACTACCTCTGAGGAAGTTTGCCATAGATGCAGGCGAAACGTCAGGAGAGAATGCCTCTAGAACATGGCCATGTAGCCCCAAAAAACCTACAACAACCTTATCCTGATTTTGTTCATTTTCCAGACAGGAAGCAATCAGGGCCAAACCCAAAGTGGCTTCTTTTCGAGTGGGATATTTGTGAGGCAGTTATGGCTGCTTGTTGCCCCTTCCTTTAAAACTATATCCCATATCACTTTACATTATATTACTATATTATATATCTCTTTACATTATATTTCTAAACTAACCGCCTCCTGTCACACTTAGCTGTGGCCCAGTCTGTGTTTTGTATATGTGTTTATATATATTTGTGTATATGTGCATATATGTGTGTTTGTGTATATATCTGGTTTTGAGCATGCGTTGTAATGTATTTTTTGTTTTTTGGCTTTTAAAGTCTCTTCTGCTGTGTTTTTCTGTGTTTTTATGAGTGATGGTCACTCGTTGGCCTGATAGGTGTGTCTTGTGTCCAAATTTGGTGTCAATTTGTCCAGTGGTTTTTGAGTTATGTTAATCCCACAAACAAACATTACATTTTTATTTATATACTAGCCGTCCCCTGACACGCGTTGCTGTGGCCCACATGGGGGTTCTGTGTGGGAAGTTTGGCCCAGTTCCATCGTTGGTGGGGTTCAGAATTTTCTTTGATTGTAGGTGAACTATAAATCCCAGCAACTACAACTCCCAAATGACAAAATCAAATTTTTGAGTGAAGGACATACATTGGTTTGTTAGGTGTCTTGTGTCCAAATTTGGTATCAATTCGTCCAGCAGTTTTTGAGTTATATTGATCCCACAAACTAACATTACTTTGATATATATATATGTATATATATATACACACACACACACATACATACACACACACATTCATACACTAGCCGTCCCCTGCCATGCATTGCTGTGGCCCAGTCTGGGTTTTGTATATGTGTTTGTATATATTTGTGTGTGTGTGTATGTAGTTTTGCGCATGCATTGTAAGTTTTTTGTTTTGTTTTTTGGCTTTTAAAGTCTCTTCACCAGTGTTTTTCTGTGTTTTTATGACTGATGTTCACTCATTGGCCTGATAAGTGTATTGTGTCCAAATTCAGTGTCAATTTGTCCAGTGGTTTTTGAGTTATATTAGTCCCACAAACTGGGCGAATTGACACCAGATTTGGACACAAGACACCTAACAGGCCAACAAGTGGCCATCATTCATAAAAGCACCAAAAACTCAGCGGAAGAGACTTTAAAAGCCAAGAAATAAAAAATACATTACAATGCATGCACAAAACTACAAATACACAAATATATACACACACAAAACACATATACACAGACTGGGCTACAGCAACGTGTGGCAGGGGACGGCTAGTGCAATATATAAATATAAATAATATGCCATTGGGTTAATTGAAAATAATGCTTTCATTTTGTTTTTAGGTGGAACTTGATTATATCGCCTTCTTGATTAGAAACACTTAATGGTGTGAATTGTATTGCAATTTGGAAACCTGGAAACACAGTTGGTAAGTGGCAAGGATGGAGTTTCCTCAGCAAAGATTTTGCGGATAATTTCTGTTATTTGTTCCTCCCTCCTTTCTTCAAACACTGGCACTTGAAGTGGCTCACCACAACATATATATGTGTATGTGTATGTTTAAAAATATACAAATGTACTTTAAAATATGTACTCGTCTGTTTCAGTCTAAAAAAATTATATTGTATGAAGAGGACTGGAGTCTATGAAGTCTTATGTTAGAAATCTATTTTACTTAGTCTCAAAGATGTCATGGAATGCCTTTCTAAATTTTTTCATAGTTAAAACACAGTATGTTTATAATATTAAAACATTATAATATTAAATTATATTATAATATTAAAAGCAGCTAAACATTCTATTTATAAAATTAAGAATAATCTAAACAAGACATGGGCAAAGTTCAGCCCTCCAGGTGTTTAGGACTTCAACTCTCACAATTTCTAACAGCCAGTAGGCTGTTAGGAATTGTGGGAGTTGGAGTCCAAAACACCTGGAGGGCCGAACTTTGCCCATGCCTGACCTAAACAGTTGATTCTATAATCATCATATATTTATTTATATCCCACTTTCTTCTCTTAATGGGACTCAAAAGTAGCTCACAATATTAAAATTCTGCAAATTTCCATTCAACATATGTCATATAAACACTGAAATAGAATTCAGCATAGAAATACTTAAAAAATGACCTAAAGCCATTAAAAACTGTAAAAATGATGCAAACGTTATACAGTATCCCCGGCACATTCTTTTAAAAAATCTTCTTTAAAAGCCTGTCTGAAAAGAAATAGATTGTACTATTTAATAGATGGTACTATAAAACCAATGAGCAGGCACATGTGATACTGAGTGGCAAGTAACTTCATTTGCTGTGTTAATAGCTAACTGCTTGAAATCTTTGAAGTTTAAGCAGTAGTGAAACAAAGCTTATAGAAAGTAAAAAAAGAATGTTGGTATTGATCTCTTTCCTGGAATGGCAATGTGGTGGCCTTGTGCCACATCACTAACTGTGCACCTACTTGGCAGAATTAATGCAGTTTGATACCACTTTAATTGTCATGGGTTAGTGCTATGGAATCCTGAAAGTTGTAGTTGGTGGGGCACCAGCACAGAAGGCTGAAGACCTTGTAAAACTACAGCTACTATAATTCCATGACATCAATCCATGAAAGTTAAATTGGTGTCAAACTGCCTTAGTTCTACAGTGTATATGCACCCTGTGATAGAAGGGCAGCAACATTAATGTGTTCTTGTGTTGCTGAACCACTCCTGTACATGGCAGTTTCACAGACGTTGTGCAGAACATGGTCTTACTTATATGCAATAGCATAGTGTCCCTTATATAAAATGGAAAACCTTTTCTTTTCTTTTTTGAGGAAAGAGCATATTTGTAGACAGATGACTGACTATAGTCTGTTCCAAAGATGCACATCATAAGCTATACTGGTTAATGTATTATTGAAGGCATTCATAGCCGGAATCACTGGGTTGCTGTAAGTTTTTCGGGTTCTACGGCCATGTTCCAGAAGCATTCTCTCCTGATGTTTTGCCTGCATTTTTGACAGGGAAGAGCATATTTGTGCACAGATGACTGACTATAGTCTGTTCCAAAGATGCACATCATAAGCTATACTGGTTAATATATTATTGAAGGCATTCATAGCTGGAATCACTGGGTTGCTGTAAATTTTTCAGGTTATATGGCCATGTTCCAGAAGCATTCTCTCCTGACGTTTTGCCTTCGTTTTTGAAAAGCATCCTCATTAGGTCTGTTGGAAACTAGGAATAGGGGTTTATATATCTGGAATTTCCAGGGTGGGAGAAAGAACTCTTGCCTGTTAGAGGTAGGTGTGAATGTTTCAATTGGCCACCTTGATTAGCATTTAATGGCCTAGCAGTTTCAAGGCGTGGCTTCTTGCTGCCTGGGGGAATCCTTTGTTGAGAGATGATTAGTGGTTAATTTTCCTCTGGTAACAACAGCCTTCTTTATGTCTTTGTTCACTGGTTCTAGTATTCTTCCACCAGCATTCATTCTCTCAGAGGTGGTGCCCAGCTGGCAACTGTTTTGGGGGTGACCCTGTTCCATGAACTATGGCCACTCACCATATCCGTGAGTACCATCCCGAGGACTATGAGACCGTGCGGGACTTGTTTGCAACAGGGATGAGTGAGTACGTGCCAACCCTGTGTGTCCACATGCTGAAGCAGCCCTGGGTGATCCTGGTCCTGGCTTGCACCTTCTGCCTGCTGCTCACCAGCTCCAGGTCGCTGCTCCTGCCCATCCTTGCCGTCACCCTTTTGTTGGCCGTTGGCCGCCAAATCCTGGGCTACATCTGGTCCATGTACATCGACCACTGCCTGCAGGAGGACCTGTTGGACATCCCGGCCACCTATGCGACTGACAAAGGGGCTTGCTTCTGGGTGGCCGAGGCTGACGACCGTGTGGTGGCCATAGTGGGTGCCAGGCCTTCTGAGGAGCACTTGGGCGAGCTCATGCTGAAGCGCATGTCGGTTCGGAAGGACTACCGAGGCCACGGCATCGCTAAGGCCCTGTGCAGGACAGTGCTGTCCTTTGCCCGAGAGCGTGGCTACCGATCGGTCGTGCTGAACACCCTCATGGTGCAGCACGAGGCCCGTGCCATGTATGAGGGGGTGGGCTTCCAAGTGTATCGCCACTACGTTTTGCCCACCATCTACGGCCACTTGGCCAATTGCACCATTTCCAAGTATCGGTATGATATTCCTTCTGTGGACTGAGGAGGGAAACTGGGCGACGGTCTAAATTGGATATTTCATTGCTTTTTGCCTTTGGGGCATTAGGTATAACAGGCTCTGGGGAATGAAGAGGAAGGGAAGTGGTGGTGTGGGGTGTTGAGTCAAGGTGACTCATGCCATCATTCTTTTGGGTTGTTGCAGTGGGTACTCACAGGCTGTAGAGGGTCTTTGCAAGGAAGGAAGCCAGAAAGATATCTTCTTTATTTCACCTCTTTTTCTCTGTTCCTATCAGGGAATCCTGATTTTGAACCCGATGTGGCTTATACCATTATGTTTCCTTTGCTGAAGAAATGGGTTTCTCAGCTAGTCACAAACCTTCTCACACAATTATATTTTCTTTCTCTCGCCCTGAAGAGAGGGGGTTTCTCAGATAGTTGTAAATCTTTTCTTCAGTCTCATCTTGGTTGTAAACAGTGCCACAATCTGCTCTTGCCTTGTTTCGTGAGAGAGCTTTTCTTGAGGCAAATGATGGCCTCATAAACCAGAGTGCCACGACTCTTGCTCCAGTCGCTGTAGGCTGGTTGAGTGCTTTGATTTTTTTTTTCGACAACTGAGATGGACTCAGTATTTCCAGAGGCCTTTTCATCACATCATGGTGCGACGTAATCTTCTGTGTATTTCCTCAGGACATGCAGCAGGCTGCAAGTGGTGTGAACTCACAGGTTAAAGCATCCCCTCCATCATGGTCCAAATACGGAATGGAAGTTCTCCTGTTGAATGAGTTGTGGGGTCTTTTTACACACAAAAAAATTCCCAAGAAGAATGAGGTTAGGGTTAGCTTTCTCCCAGTCTCAGATTAGGATCTGGAGGCACTTTATAATCTTTCAACAACCTCAAACCTGGTAGATGACAAGAGGAGTTGTAGTTGGACTAAATCATCTCAGGAAAAACCTGTCTTGTATATAAATCAATAGTGGGCAAAGTATTGTTCTCCAGACATTGTTGAATTACAACTCCCAATACTCCCTACCAGTGGATCTTCTAACTGGGACTTTTGGACTTTTAGTCTAGCTGTACTTTGGAAGGACACATTTTGTGTATCCCATAACAAAATCATGGAATAGGTAATTATAAGTTTCCAACCCCCCCCCCCCCAAAGGAATGTTTATTTTTATCATAGAGAAGATGTTCCAGCTCCTCGTCCATTTTGTTTACACCTTTTTTCAGTTTTTGTGTCTGAATGCAAAAGAGTGCCCCTGACATTGCCCATGAGGAAATGCAATGATATTTAGACTTTCTACTTTTGAAAAAGAGCAAATAAGGGGAACCCTAACTTGGTGTGTATCTATTGTCTATTATTAAATCCTGGATATATCTGCTGGACCTAAATGGCAAGAGATTGGGGACTGACCAAAAGAAGATGTTCTTCAAGCGGTGCAGAGTTTTAGATGAGTAATTTGTTAAGACAGGTTGTGATGGCCAATGGCTTACATGATTTTAAAAGAGAACTAGTCAGACTCAGGGACAGCCCAGCTATCAGTGGCTGTTTGTCATGACCAGTCTGTTGCCTCCGTGATTGCAGCAAGAAGCTTTTGACTAGCACCTACTGGGAAGGAAATGTGGGATGTTCTTGGAGGGGCAATCCTGTCATTGATGTACAGACTTTCCTAAGGAATTGTGCTCACTTATCAGGTCTCTTTCAATGTTTTGCGTGTACCCTCATTGGGCATATTATTGTTTGTGTCATGGGCCTATAGCTGCTATGTTTACCTGTGAATCAGTGCTGTGGAACTTGGGGAAATAAAGAAGTGAATCACCTGTCTTTGCCCATGTTTGGACCGTAGCCACCATCATTTCCAGAGGACAAGATGAGCCTCTTTGCATCTAGTTGCACCCATTGCAATTGAGTATTAAATTATTTTTTATGTACAGGATGAGGCAGCATAACTTCCTTTTTTCAAATCTTAAGATCCATTGTATGAATCAGAATTTTTTTTTATAATGTAGGCACATACCTAAAGTTTTGTTTTACATAGTTTTGAAGATCAATTTAGGTAGGTGACGTCCCCCATTCTCCATTCACTGAGTCAACCGATTTCTGGCGTTTGTCATGACTCTTGCCAGCATAGCAGGCGTTATGTTGGCTATTTCTTCCTGGGTGTTGGTCTTCAAATCTTGTAGGGTCCTTGGAAGGTTCACATAAACGGGATTTCAAAAAAACCCATAGAAAAAATCACAAGGGGCGAAATCTGGAGAGCGGGCCGGCCACTCCAAATCCGCTCGAAAAGTAGGCCTCAACGGCAAAGGCACGCTTCTAACTGTTCCAACCCATGATGGCGACTGAACTGTGTCAGGACAAAACTTTATACTCCCGCCTCTCGAACGAGACCACTAGCGCTCTGCTATGTCTTCAACCGACTGAATGGCACGCATTTTAAAAAAGGAAGTTATGCTGCCTCACCCTGTATATGCTGTTATTGTTTGCTGTCCCCCTTCCACATTCATTGGGGTTAGAGACACAACAAATACACAGTGGCAAACATTCAATGCCAATAGTAATATACAAGCAAACCAAAAACAATCAATAAATGACAAAATAACTGAAAATGATTGCTAATTGATCATTTATAGTTACAAAAGAATACCACAATGTTTGTTAGAAACACTTGAAAACTATGTCAATACACTTTGACAGGAATCAGGCAGAATTCATTTGTAGCTCTTGACACTGGCAATGTTGCAGAAATCTTAAGAAGTTTCTTCACGTTCGGAAATAACTGTCCATCACAGACAAGATTAAGATGCATTTGATGGTTTTTCTGCAGGTGCAATCTCATAGACTTCTCATGGGGATTTGGTTAACTAGTTAAACTTCATGAGTAAACCAGGTTTTTTTTAACCTGAAAAATTTCAGGGGGGGGGGTTGAACCCCTACCTCCCCCCCCTCCCCCCGGCTACAGGCCTGAAAAGGAGGTCCTTGTCTTTATGATACCAGCAGATTTCAACAAAGGTTCCAGCAGCCCTTGGTAGGACAACCTAGAATGCTGGGAGCTGCAATCAACACCTGGAAGGTTGTCTTATTTTCCCATTTGGTTTAAGGAGGCCACAGTTGTGCAGAATTCCAGGATGCCTCTCTCCCTTTGACTCTTTGTATACATTCGTTTCCCAGACAGATTTCTTAATACAAGTTGAGCATCCTTTGCACAGGATTCCCAAATCCCCTAAAAGTATCAACACTGAGACATAAACATTACGCTTGGGCGGTTTCGTTCGTTAATTTCGTAATTCGTTAATTCGTATTTAAATTCGCTTACAATCCAATATTGAGCCATGCAGGAATAGTGTGAGGAGTAATTAAGATTCGAAACAATTTTCCCAATTTATTTCGTAATTATTTCTTAATTATTTTTGCATGTCTGGTGCAAGTTTTATAGTTGTTGTTTGTTTTATCACACCAACAGTCAACAACAGAGGGAGAGGGAAGCTTCAGAAGTTCCTCCTGTCCCATTTGGAGGTTTTTTTAGGATATTTTGCAATCTCGTCCGCCATTAACGAATCGATTCGAAATTTTACAAAATTTCATAAATTTTGAAATTTTTTAAAGGAAAATTTCGGAATTATTAAAAAAAACGAAACGCAAGGCCCCCAAAAAACGAAACGAGTTTAGAACCAAATTTTTCCGTGGTTACCCAAGCCTAATAAACATCTTTGCTCCCTGATGCTTCAGTATAGACACTGAATTTATTGCATACACAAATTTCTTACAAATACTGTATAAAATTACCTTTAGGCAATGTGTACATGGTGCAAATGAAACATGACTGAAATATTGTCTTCACGTTCCCTTCTAAGATTTTTCATATATATGTAAATAATCCAAAATCCAGAACACTTCTGGTTCCAAGCATTTCAACCTATACAATGTTGCTAAAAGCACAATGGATAGACAGTACTCCAACTAGAGAAATGTGTGTTCCTCCCTTCCTTACCCATTTTTCCTTTTCTCCTTCCTCTCTTCCCTTCTCTCCTTTCTTCCCTCCTTTTCTTTCCTTTATTTCTTTCCTTTCTTACTATTTTTCTCCATCCCTTCTCTTTTCCAACCTTTTTTTCTTTCCTTTCTTCCCTTTTCCTTTCCTTCTCCTTTCTTCATCTTTCCTCCCTTCTTTCCTACAGCCCTCTAAGGAAAAGTACAGGCAGAAAAGCTGCTTCAAAGGGCGACTTCTGCCTGTATCCTTCCACCAGCTTCCTTTCGGATTTCAGCTTGACTGTGTTTGTTGCTTTGCGATTGGCTGTTGTAAGAGGAGGAGGGATCTGCTGGGATCTACCCGGCCTAAGAAGCCAGTGGCAAGAAGCTTTCCTGGAGTAGGGAAACGTCTTTAAGGAGGACCCCGTGCAGATGCCTTCAGCTGCAGGTAAATGGAGCAGTGTGTATATGTGTGTGTGTTGTGTTAAGTGTGTAAACCAGAGCACAGCTAGCACTTCAGCCCATGAGATTATGTCATACGCAGGAGGATTTAGAAATAGGAAGTAATTGATTCTACATCTGGCAGAGGTCTCTCAGTAACTCCTTTTGCAAAACGAATGCCCTGAGATTAAACTCCTGAGTGACATGAGATTCTCATTTATTTTTGGAAAAATGAATGTCTTTCTAAACTACTCAGAGATGCAGGGAGATCTCACTCAAAGTCTCCAGTGCCAGCTTTCTTCCCGAACAATCCGTGTGTTTCCTCGCTCCACAAGCAGTGGCTGAGTCTCTAAATAAAAGAACCCTTCTTTCTTCCCAAACTTTAAGAGCAAGGCTTTGGCCATGTGATGCAGAAAGAAAAGAGTAAATACTGAATCCTAGCAACCCCAAAGAGCCAAGGAGGAAGGGAATAATTGGTACGGCACCTGCTTTGCATGCATAGTTTTTTCTAGTTTTGAGCTTAGGAAGTGTGGTGAGCAATATTTCAGGGGAAAGACACTAATCTGTCATTCCAGAAAGCTATTGGCATGAGTGGATCCAGTTGTTCATAATGCTCAAAACAGCAGGAAAGGCAATAAAATCGTAATATGTTCCTGTGCCTTCTTGCCTCTTGATTCATGGCAACCCCACAAATTTCATATGGTTTTTTTCGGGCTATATGGCCATATTCTAGAGGCATTCTCTCCTGATGTTTCGCCTGCATCTATGGCAAGCATCCTCAGAGGTTGTGAGATCTTCTTAGGCATGATGATTTTGCTACTTCCTTCCTCTGAAATATAGCCTACAGCAGCATTTCTCAACCTGGGGGTCGGGACCCCTGGGGGGGTCACGAGGGGGGTGTCAGAGGTGTCGCCAAAGACCATCAGAAAAACAGTATTTGTTGGTCATGGTGGTTCTGTGTGGAAAGTTAGGCCCAATCTATTGTTGGTAGAGTTCAGAATGCTCTTAGATTGTGGGTGAACTATAAATCCCAGCAACTACAACTCCCAAATGTCAAGGTCTGTTCACCCCGGACTCCACCAGTGTTCATAATTGGACATATTGAATATCCGCGCCAAATTTAGTCCTGATTCATCATTGTCTGAGTCCACAGTGCTCTCTGAATGTAGGTGAACTACAACTTCAAAACAAAGGTCAATGCCTACCAAACCCTTCCAGTATTTTCTGTTGGTCATGGGACTTCTGTGTGCCAAGATTGGTTCAGTTCCATTGTTGGTGGAGTTCTTTGACTGTAGGTGAACTATAAATCCCAGCAACTACAATTCCCAAATTACAAACTCAATCCCCAACCCCACCAGTATTCAAATGTGGGCATATTGGGTATTTTTGCCAAATTTGGTCCATCCTGCATATCAGATATTTCCATTACGATTCATAACAGTAGCAAAATTACAGTTGTGAAGTAGCAACCAAAATAATGTTATGGTTGGAGGTCACCACCACATGAGGAACTGTGTTAAGAGGTCACGGCATTAGGAAGGTTGAGAACCACTGGCCTACAGCACCTGATATTCATTGGAAGGCTCCCATCCAGGTACTAACCAAGGCTGGCCCTGCTTAGCTTGCAAGATCAGATAGGGTCTGGTGCTTTTTAAAAGACCCTGTAGACTATAAGGCAGCCTTGGCATTACAAATGATCTTGCAGAAGTGGTTTGAACCCTTTTCTGTCAGCAAGAGGATTTGTGCATCGTCTACAAAAAGGCCTCACCCCACATTTGAGACTGACTGCAAAACCAGTTTAATATTTAGTTAATGAATTCCTAGGGGCCATGAATGGTCCTTGCTCACTGATAAAGAGACTTATATAATGGCAGACTGAAGTCCACAAACCCATCAAATGAAAAAGGTCTGTAATCTGCAAAAGTGAATGCTACCATGACTCTATTTTAATGGGTTGTAAATGGCTTTTCATTGTCGTGGGGATTAGGTTTCTGTCCCAAACCCGCTTGCAAAAACTGCGTGGTAGAAATTGTGCTCTAGCTGTCACAATAAAATAGTGATCCGGGTTAGATTTGCATGAATCGTTGGATGAATAATTTGTACTTCTAACTGTTTCAAAATTATCCATATTTTGAAATGTTATCTCTTAGCCATTCCAAAACCTTTGGGTCATTGTGTTGTCGAAGGCTTTCATGGCCAGAATCACTGGGTTGTTGTAGGTTTTTTGGACTATACGGCCATGTTCTAAAAGCATTCTCTCCTGATGTTTCGTCTGCATCTATGGCAAGCATCCTCAGAGGTTGTGAAATCACAACCTCAGAGGATGTTTGCCATAGATGCAGATGAAACATCAGGAGAGAATGCTTCTAGAACATGGCCGTATAGCCCGAAAAACCTACAACAACCCTTTGGCTCATTCTTCTTGGTTAGTCCCAACTAGATCCATGGGTAGATCCAACTAATTCAATAGTGCTAATCAAGATTAACAGTTGAACTCAATACCTTCCAAAGCAATTGTCTTTCTTTTCGGCCAATAAATTATAAAATCCTGAAATTAAACACTCTGTTCTACTTAAAGAATTGAGAGAAAGCACAATGTTTCCCAAGCTGCTAATCAGCTAATTCTTTAAAATCATATACCTCTAATCTTGAAGCAAGAACAGATATGTTCCTGAAGGCCTCTTACGGGATTTTTTTAAATTTTTATAATTGAATATTTTAATTGAGAATGACAATAAGGTGTTCATACTTTTACTACCCAACATAATACTAAAAGCTGTAAAGGATGAAGTGCCCTCTATCCCAAATGTTTGTCCCGTATTTTGGAATTTTTGAGATTTTGGAATACTTGCACAGGCAGAATGAAAAATTAATCAAAGTAAAAGTGTGGGGGTTTTAATACTATTTAAAGCGAGTCGTGTAAAAAGACAATGAGTGAGGTTTATGGAATCTTTTCTGCATTTGTATGTTTAGTTATAGGGATTTGGGTTTATAAGAGGTCATAGTTTTAGTGTCACGTACTGTGAAAGTCTACTTTCTTTGTATTGTCTTTATTTTTTATTTACTTCTGAATAAGGATTAGTTTATAAAACCAGAAAATGCAGGTTCGCAGCTTGGGAGTGATCCTAGATTCACCGCTGAGCCTGGAACCCCAGGTCTCAGCGGTGGCTGGGAGAGCTTTCGCACAATTAAAACTTGTGCGCCAGCTGCGCCCGTACCTTGGGAAGTCAGGTCTGGCCACGGTGGTCCACGCTCTTGTCACATCCCGGTTGGACTACTGCAACGCACTCTACGTGGGGTTGCCTTTGAAGACTGCTCGGAAACTTCAACTAGTCCAGCGAGAAGCAGCCAGGTTGCTCACCGGAGCGGCGTACAGGGAGCATACCACCCCCCTGCTGCGTCAGCTCCACTGGCTGCCGATCCAATTCCGAGCACAATTCAAAGTGCTGGTTTTGACCTACAAAACCCTATACGGTTCCGGCCCAGTGTATCTGTCCGAACAGATCTCCCTCTACGTCCCACCTCGGAGTTTAAGATCTTCTGGGGAGGCCCTGCTCTCGACCCCGCCACTGTCACAAGTGAGGCTGGCAGGGACGAGGAGCAGGGCCTTCTCAGTGGTGGCCCCCCACCTGTGGAACTCACTCCCCGGGGAGATTAGATCGGCGACTTCCCTTCTGGCGCTTAGGAAAAACTGAAGACCTGGGTGTGGGACCAAGCCTTTGGTCATTCTGACAACTAACTTAAGGATCTAACGATAGACAAGGGCAAATGGAATGGAATGGATATATGGACTCTGAACCCTGAGCATGAGATTGTTTTATTATTTTATGATGTATTGATGTTTTTAATTTAACTGTTGAATTGCTTTGTATTTTGTACTGCTTGTCAATGGATTTGGGCATCTAATTGTGCCTCCTCTGTAAGCCGCCCTGAGTCCCCCCCCCCCCCCCCGGGGTGAGAAGGGCGGGGTATAAGTAAGTGAAATAAATAAATTTTCCATTCTTTCCCATTTGTTTTAGTCCACATTTATTATTATTTGTATGTTGTTGTACATCTCCTAAAAAAGACTCTTAAGTAGTAAACAATGCAAAAAACAGGACAAGGTAGTTTAAAATGTACAGCATTAACCATAGACTATTAAAATAAATGCAGCCCCCAGTGGCGCAGCAGGTTAAACCGCTGAACTTCTGAACTGACTGAAAGGTCAATGGTTCTCATTCAGGAAATGGGGTGAGCACCTACTGTTAGCCCCAGCTTTTGCCAACCTAACAGTTTGAAAAACATGTAAATGTGTGTAGATCAATAGGTACTCCTTCATGCAGTCATGCTGGCCACATGACCTTGGAGGTGTCTATGGACAATGCCGGCTCTTCGGCCTAGAAATGGAGATCAGCACCACCCCCCAGAGTTGGAAACAACTACACTTAATATCAAGGGAAACCTTTACATTTACTTTGTAAAAATGTAGTTAAAACCATTACTACAAGAAAGGAGATTCCACCTGAACATGAGGAAGAACTTCCTGACTGTGAGAGCCGTTCAGCAGTGGAACTCTCTGCCCCAGAGTGTGGTGGAGGCTCCTTCTTTGGAAGCTTTTAAACAGGGGCTGGATGGCCATCTATCAGGGGTGATTTGAATGCAATATTCCTGCTTCTTGGCAGGGGGTTGGACTGGATGGCCCATGAGGTCTCTTCCAACTCTTTGATTCTATTCTATTCTATTCAAAACCCTATTAATATACATAAAACATTACAAAACTGGATTGGTCTTAAAACCCACACTGCTTTAAAAGCCTGCCTGAATGAGTCTTGTGTCACGTCACTTCTGGGATAGCCTTGGGTGAGATATTTATTGGTGGAGCACATACAAAGGTTTGCCTATTGTGAGCATATCTTTGTTGATTAACTGAGAAATCCTTCCATTTTCCAGGAGAACAGGAGTGGGACTCCGCCGCTATGGGCGAGTACACCATCCGCAGCTATGAGGACGGAGACTACGAAGCTGTGCGATCCATATTCTCTGAGGGCATCACTGAACATGCTCCAGCTGGCTTCTGGCACGTTCTGCGCAGCCCCCAGACGCATGCACTCCTCCTGGGCTTATTCCTGGCATCTTATGGGATCTCCAGCTCCTTCCTCTTCTCCTTTGCAGTTGTGTCTGCCCTCTTGGCTGTTGGCTGGAACCGCATGAAGGCCCTATGGAGGGACTACGTTGCAGAGGCCTTGGAGAGTGACATGGTGGACATCCGGAGGAACTACCTGGACACCACAGACTGCCACTTCTGGGTATTGGTGCACGGCAGCGAAGTGGTGGGGACAGTGGCAGTTGTGCAACCGGATGAACACGCATTGCGAGGCCGGGCGCTGGAGCTGAAGCGCATGTCGGTGAAAAAGGGGCACCGGGGCCGGGGGCTCTCCAAGACCCTCACAAAGGCCGTCCTGCGCTTTGCCCAGGAGCGCGGCTACAAGGAGGTGGTGCTGACCACCTCCATGGTGCAGTACGCAGCACAAAGGCTGTATGAGAGCATGGGCTTCCAAAGAGTCAAGGAGTTCTCCCCCTTCCTCTCGGCGAAGCTGCTGCAGTTCTACGTCTACACCTATCGATATGAGATTCCCAGCACCTCGCTGAACGGCGGTCACTCCGACCAAAAAGCAGGAAGAGGGCCCAGGGAGAAGGAAGTGGTCAGTCTTTGAGGAGGAGCCTCAAGGGCCACTGTGGACAACCTAAAGCAGTGATGGGCAACCTTTTGAGCTTGGTGTGTCAAAATTTGCCAAAAACCTGAGCATAACTTGGGTGGGGTGTCAACTTCAAGGAAAAAAAACCACATAATTTTACAATATTTATAGTTTAAATTAGAAAAATGTATATTCCATGCTGAGTTATGGAGTGAACAATGCTCAAACGTGCAGATGTTAAATTTGTACAGCCTTTTACAAATTTAAGGATGGAATTAGATTGGCTCTTATAAGGTGTATTTCTCTGTATGCAGCTGCATGTGGCCGCATGTCATCAAAAATAGCCATGATTGTCAGTGCTGACACGCATGTCATAGGTTTACCATCACGGACCTAAAGGGACCTGTGTAGCCATATTCTAGCAGCATTTTCTCCTGATGTTTCACCTGCATCTGTGGCTAAATGTCAGGAGAAAATGTTGCTAGAACACAGCCATACAGCCTGGAAACCACGCAACACCCTAGTGCAGTGATCTCAACCTTCCTAATGCCTCGACCCCTTAATACAGTTCCTCATGTTGTGGTGACCCCCAACCATAACATTTTTGTTGCTACTTCACAACTATAATCTTGCTCCCGTTATGAATTGTAATGTAAATATCTGGTATGCAGGATGTATTCTCATTCACTAGACCAAATTTGGCACAAATACACATTACGCCCAAATTTGAATACTGGTGGAGTTGGATGGGGGATTGATTTTGTCATTTGGAAGTTGTAGTTGCTGGGATTTATAGTTCACCTACGATCAAAGAACATTCTGAACTCCACCAATGATGGAATTGAACCAAACTTGGCACACAGAACTCCCATGACCAACAGAAAACACTGGAAGGGTTTGGTGGGCATTGACCTTGAGTTTTGGAATTGTAGTTCCCCAATACCCAGAGAGCACTGTGGATTCAAACAATGATGGATCTGGACCAAACTTGACACGAATACTCAATATGCCGAAATGTGAACACTGGTGGAGTTTGTGGAAAATAGATCTTGACATTTGGGATTTGCAGTTACTGGGATTTATAGTTCACCTACAATCATTCTGAATCCCACCAAAGATAGAATTGAGCCAAACTTCCCACACAGAACTCTCATGACCAACAGAAAATGCAGTGTTTTTTGGTGGTCTTTGGCGACCCTTCTGACATCTGCTCGCGACCCCCCTAGGGGTCCCGACCCCCAGGTTGAGAAACACTGCCCTAGTGATTCTGGCCATGAAAACCTTCGACAATACATGGATCTTACACAGCTGGAGATGTTATGCAAACCCCTGTGTTTTAGAAGTTCCTGATACCAGTCATTGTTCTCCCATCTGGCAACCTTCTCGATTCTGCTTGGCCTTCACCGTTCTGCCCATTCCCATCTCTCTTTGTTCATCTCCTTCCATGCTTTCTTCTCACCATGTTTCATTTTCCTGGCTTTGTATTCGCTTGCAGTCCCAATGGCACTTGGATCCCAATAGATCCATACTGGTGGTGCATTAAAACTGGTCACTATGGACTCCCCAAAGGACCTTATGCAGCTGGAGATGTTAGGCCATTCCCACTCCTGGTTTTAAATGCTTCCCTTGCTATCCACTGTTCTGCCACTTTTCAACCACCTTTTCAAATCTGCTTTGGTGAATAGCATTACATATTTGAGGGTAAAATTATGCACAATTTTCCAGGATACTGTTTTAGGTGGAGGTTTTCAAATATTTATTTATTTATTTTATTTACTTTGCTTATATACCGCTGTATCTCAAGCCCGAAGGCGACTCACGGCGGTTCACAAACAGTAAAAACAGTAGAAACAGCAGTGGTTCCATACAATATATAACAATTTACTTAACACATTATCCATAAATTACCAATAAGCAATTACAATGCACAATTATTACAAAAAACAACCGTACCCAATCTTCTCATCATCCAAGCGTAGTCCAGGTTCGTCGTCCATTGTTCCATTCCTGTGTTCCATTACCAGATTGCACTAAATTACTCAAACGCCTGCACAAACATCCAGGTCTTCACCTTTTTGCGGAATACCATTAGAGATGGTGCTAGTATAGATCCATCTTAAATGAATAATGAACTATATGCAGCAATACTGGCTATTAAGGTAGTTATCTTTATTTTAGATCATAGTCCTCAGCTGCATGTTGCATAGCCTAACTCATCATAGCTACGTACCAGAGATAGAAAGAATTCTGCTCATACATTGCAAAGAATTCTATGAATAAATTGCAATTATGCAAGTAAACTGCAAAGACGTCCACTAGTGCATTGCAAAGTATTCTATTAATAAATTACAAATCTGTGAGTAAACAGCCAAAAAAAAAACTGCTAGTGCATTGCTAAAAATTCACTAGTGGGTTGCAAATAATTCTGCAGGTAAATTGCAAAAAAATTCCACTAGTGCATTGTAAAGAATTTCACGAAAATGTTGCAAATAATTCTAATAAGTTGCAATTTTTTGATTAAATTGCAAATAATTCTTCGAGTAAATTGCAAAGAATTCCGCTAGTGCATTGTAAAGAATTTCATGAATATGTTGCAAATAATTCTAATAAATTGCAAATTTTTGAGTAAATTGCAAATAATTCTTCGAGTAAATTGCAAAGAATTCCGCTAGTGCATTGTAAAGAATTTCACAAATACGTTGCAAAGAAGTCTAATGTACTGCAATTTTGCGAGTAAATTGCAAAAAATTCTGCTAATACATTGCAAATAATTCCACTAGTACATTGCAAAGAATTCTAATAAATTGCAATCTATGAGTTAATTGCAAATAATTCTGCAAGTAAATTGCAAAGAATTCTGCTAGTGCATTGCAAATTTCACTAATACGTTGCAAAGAATTCTAATAAATTGCAATTTTGCGAGTAAGAATTCTGCGAGTAAATTACAAAAAATTCCACTAATAATTTCACCCATGCATTGCAAAGAATTCTGTGATTGGATTGCAAAGAATTCTACTAATAAATTGCAATTCTGGGATTAAAATGCATGGCAAGATACCAGCAAGAATGCCCCATGTGCATCGGGCTCTCCCAATGCACAACAGCAAGTCAAAAGATATTTATGCTATTGGTCTTTTAGAAAGAGAATTGGGTGAAATTTTAATAATTTGAGGTTCTGTTGTAAAGTTAGTTCTTAAATGTGTGTATAGTCCTATATACAACTAGGGTGCTGTAGTGAATCGAGTGCTGATTTCAAACCCCTACACTCTGGAAAACTGGTTGAATCCCCATTCAGCCACAGAACACCCCTGGTTGACCCTGAGCAAGTCACTCTCTCTCAGCCTCAGAGTTAGGCAAAGGCAGACCTCTGAACGAATTATGCCAGAAAAAAACCCTTGATGGAATTGCCTTCAAGTGGCCATGAATCAGAAGCGACTGGGAAGCATTCTACAACCATACACTATCAATGTAAACACTTTTAGGTTTTTAAACTTACATTTATATTTATAATTTTACTAAGAATTTTGTAATAGTTTTAAATTCTGATTGTTATTAAAGATCAGTCTGCTATTAGCTGCCTTGAGTTCCATTAATGAGAGAAAGTTGAGATATGAATGAACAAAATAAATGAAGTAACAGTCCCAATTTGCAGCATAGCAGTGGTTCATTTGAATGTTTCCAGAGGTCAGCAATTGCTTACCTTGCTGCCGCTTCTGTGATATAAAGGGCTTTATTTTCCTTTATTTATTTTATTTTACTGTTTGTGAACCGCTGTGAGTCGCCTTCGGGCTTGAGATACAGCGGTATATAAGCAAAGTAAATAAATAATAAATAAATTTTCCTTTCAAGTCGTTGTTGTTTCCACTAAAAATGGATGGTAACAGCAATGCTCCACCAAACAGAACAATGTGATAGTGTTTGCTAAAAACAGAAATCCAAAGCTTGTGTCCAAGTAGGTTTTGGCCTTTGGACGTGTGACGCAAGTGTGTACGGCTGTCCCTTTCTCTTCCCATCCTCTCCAGCAAGTTGGGAATTAATGTTCCTCGTATTCAGGAGGGTACTTGTTAACTTGGCTGCTAAAATCGGCTTCTTAGTACACGTGCTTCTTTGGGAAAGGGGTGACTTTACCCTCTAAAAGTTGAGATTCAGCGACTTTGGAGAGCGAAATGTGCAAAATGTATTAGCCTCAGGCAGCGGTGTGCAAAGGGCAGCTCTGAGCACACAGGATCTTCCTTCTGCTCTTGACTCCTCCAAAAGCCCCAAACGAACTTTCTTGTGCTCCTGTGGACAGGACTTGCCTGCGTCCTTCCATTCACTTGCTGTCCTGCCTTTGAGGGTTGCTTTCTTTCCAGTTGGCTTCTTTGGGGATTGCGAAGCCAGGCAGAGAAGCTGCTTCGGTGAAGCAAAACAGATCAGGTCGAATAAGGAAGACCAGTGCATATGCCTCCAATGGCAGGTAAGCACAAGAGAGCCTTTGCATGTCTCTGGGGTGTCTCTCTGTCCAGAATAACTGTCTTAAAGTAACTATTCTTACTCCTCAATTGCTGCATCATGAATTTCAAGTCCATATGAACTTTTTTTCTCCAAGCTTTCAGATCTGCAAAAGTAGTTCATGCATTAATGCTATCATCATCATCATATGCGATCCCTTGTGGCCGAGTATTATTGTCTTCCAGAAGAAGGTTCTGGATCCATAAGTGATTTATTCTGGATCCACATGGCCTATCATAATGAGGACACTGATTTCCAAGTGGAAGGCAGTTCCGACAAGTTTGTTTGCCATTCCTTCTTCCTCTTGACACATTTCTCCCTATTTATTTATCGTGTCAGGCAACCAAACAGTTGTATTACAGTTTTGACAGAACAAACAAACAAACATATAAAAGACACAGAGTCTGCAAGCTTGGTAGTTGATTAAATGTCCTTTGACCAGTATCTGGCCACTTGGAGTGCCTCTGGTGTTGCCGCAAGAAGGTCCTCCATTGCGCATGTGGCAGGGCTCAGGTTGCATTGCAGCAGGTGGTCAGTGGTTTGCTCTTCTCCACACTCGCATGTCCTGGATTCCACTTTGTGGCCCCATTTCTTGAGGTTGGCTCTGCATCTTGTGGTGCCAGAGCGCAGTCTGTTCAGCGCCTTCCAAGTCACCCGGTTTTCTGTGTGCCCAGGTGGGAGTCTCTCATTTGGTATCAGCCATTGGTTGAGATTCTGGGTTTGAGCCTGCCATTTTTGGACTCTCGCTTGCTGAGGTGTTCCAGCGAGTGTCTCTGTAGACCTTAGAAAACTATATCGTGATTTAAGTCGTTGACGTGCTGGCTGATACCCAAACAGGGGATGAGCTGGAGATGTCTCTGCCTTGGTCCTTTCACTATTGGCTGCTACTTCCCAGCAGATGTCAGGTGGTGAAATGCCGGCTAAGCAGTGTAGTTTCTCCAGAGGTGTGGGGCGCAGACACCCTGTGATAATGCGGCATGTTTCATTAAGAGCCACATCCACTGTTTTAATGTGGTGAGATGTGTTCCACACTGGGCATGCATACTCAGCAGCAGAGTAGCATAGCGCAAGGGCAGATGCCTTCACTGTGTCTGGTTGTGATCCCCAGGTTGTGCCAGTCAGCTTTCCTATGATATTGTTTCTAGCACCCACTTTTTGCTTGATATTCAGGCAGTGCTTCTTGTAGGTCAGGGCACGGTCCAGCGTGACTCCCAGGGATTTGGGTGTGTTGCAATGCTCCAGTGGGATTCCTTCCCAGGTGATCCTCAGAGCTCGGGATGCTTCTCTGTTCTTGAGATGAAAAGCACTAGTCTGTGTTTTAGGTGGATTAAGGATCAGCTGGTTTTCCCTGTAGTAGGCGGTAAGAGCAGCTAAAGCTTCGGAGAACTTCTGTTCAACCATCTCAAAGCTCCCTGCTTGGGCAGTAATGGCACGATCATCAGCATAGATGATGCTCTCTGTCCCTTCTGGCAGTGGCTGGTCATTTGTGTAAATGTTAAACATTAATTTCTCCCTTTCACCCTCTATTTCTGCCTCTTCAAATCCCACAGTATTGCTGCTAACGACTGACCTCAAGCTCTAATATGCCAGGGTTTCCCAGTTCTCGGCGTTTGTGCCATATTTTTAAGGTTAGCTTAAAGCCTGTCTTGAAATCTCCTTTATTGTCCCTTCTTCGTTTTCCTAAATGCCCTAAAGGCACCAGACACTGCCTGATCTTGCTTGTAAGCAGAGTCACGCTAACTTAGTACTTAGATCAGAGACAGCCGACATCCAACCGGTGATTGTAATTTCTGTTTCAGAAGAAGGAAAAGGCCAAACTTCCCCTTAACTTTCCTTGTCTAAAAGAAAACTAGGAAATTAAAGGGGTCACCTTAAATGTCACAAAAAAAATAATATGCAGATTTGAGGAATGTGGATTTGATATAATGATGTGTGGGTATGAATGAGTTGAATGGAAGGATGTATGGATGGAGGTAATAATTTTGGAAGCACCAGTAAAACATTAAGGCCTGCAATGACTAACTACCTGCTTGCTGGACTGTAATTAAAAGTTGCTAATAAGAACTGAAAAGTAAACTCTGATAAGAACTGGGACAGTAATAACGGAAATGTTTACAGTGTTAAGAAGTCAACATAAGATTAACACCAATCAAGAAGAATCAACGTCTGGCCAGGAAACTGAAGTGGAGCCAGGATGAAAGATGTCTATCATTAATTTACAACTTTGGGACTACATCAGCAGAATATCTGCCAAAGTGTGGCAGACCTGAGGAATCTGTTCCACCTGCCATGCTCTGCTCCATGGGAAGGAAACAGATGGTGTGTTCGGAGAGTGGCAGATCTGCAAGGGAGCACTCTGGTCATTTTGCGGCTTCTTTCTCAAGGGAAGAGGAAGAAGTGCGTTTTTGGAGTCTTAGATTTTGTGCAGGGAGTCAGGTTCTGCTGTAAGGAAAACAAAGATTTGATCCTTGGCATTGGGCTTAGAGAAATGATGCATTTTGGCATTTTGAAGTTATTGAAGTTTTGGAACTATGTGTAGGAAGGGCTGCAGGAAAGCAGTGTCTGGCCTAACAGGTGCTTCTCCAAGGAAGGCGAAAATTTATTTATTTATTTATTTAGAACTTTTATAACCCGGTCTTCTCAACCTCCAAAGAGGGACTCAGGCTGGCTAACAACAAAGGATTCATATACAATAGGATAAAACATAATAACATTGCAATACATTAATACATACAATACATTAAAATACAGATCATACAATTACAAAAAGTCAGTTCATCAGAGTAAATTCACAAATTCATCACCATCCGCCTATAGTGTGGTCAGCAGTTATTGACGCAATCATCATTCTGCAAACGCCAAATTCCAGAGCCACGATTTTACCAGCTTTCTAAAAGTCAGGAGGGAAGGGGCAGATCTAATCTCCAGCAGGAGAGAGTTCCAGAGCGAGGGGCCACCATTGAGAAAGCCCTATCCCTCGTTCCCACCAGGCGCGATTGCGGAGGTGGGACTAAGCAGGGCCCCTCCAGAAAAGATCTTGGTGGTTCATAGGGGAGAATCCGTTTGGACAGGTAAATTGGGCCGCAGTCGTTTAGGGATTTATAGGTCAACACCAGCACTTTGAATTGTGCTCGGAAGCTGATTGGCAGCCAGTGGAGCTGGCGCAACAGAGGAGTAGTATGCTCCCTGTACTCCGCTCCTGTTAGTAGTCTAGCTGCCGCTCGTTGGACTAGTTGAAGCTTCCGGGCAGTCTTCAGAGGCAACCCCATGTAGAGAGCGTTGCAGTAGTCTATACGGGATGTAACCAGAGCGTGGACCACCGTGTCCAAGTCAGACTTCCCAAGGTACGGGCACAGCTGGCGCACAAGTTTTAATTGTGCAAAAGCTCCCCTGACCACCGCCGAGACCTGGGTTCCAGGCTCAGCGATGAGTCCAGGATCACTCCCAAGCTCCGAACCTGTGCCTTCAGGGGGAGTGTAACCCCGTCCAGCACAGGCTGTAACCCTATCCCGTTTGGCCTTTCGATTGACCAGGAGTACCTCTGTCTTGTCTGGATTTAGTTTCAATCTGTTAGCCCTCATCCAGTCCGTTACAGCGGCCAAGCACCGGTTATTATAATAATATTATATAATATTATAATAATATTTGGGTGCAAGAGGACGAATGCATGTTCATATGTGTGAATGTTGAATGAAAATGTAATTCCCCTTTGTTTGTTAGTCCAATGTAACTTTAAGTTGTTGCACATCCAATATAGTTGCATAGAATCTATCTGCATGTCCAATGTCATTCTTTGTCTAAACGTTTTTCTGTAATCTGATCTACCCTCTCACACTGGAAATTGCAATAAAAAGAACCTATACTTTAAAGTTATTAAGAAGTTATTCATGACAAATTGGTGTCAGAAGTGGGATATTATTTTCCAATGTGGGAAAGTTATTCATAACAAAGTGGACAGGCGACTTGAAAGTTCACACACAAGATCTGGCCCCTTCCCCTGAAATGTTTCAGGCTAGAAAATCCAGCGCAATGGAAAATGTGCCTTTTTGGACTATCACTACCAGAATCCCCCAGCTAATTCTTATTTTTTTAAAAGGATTGTTTTGTTATTTTATTTTCCAGGAGAACAGGAATGCAACTCCGTCGCTATGGGCGAGTATCGTATCCGTAGCTATGAGGATGGAGACTACGAAGCTGCACGCACCATAGTCTCCGAAGGCATCACTGAGCATGTTCCGGCCGGCTTCTGGCACGTTCTGCGCAGCCCCCAGATGCACGGGCTCCTTCTGGTCCTCTTCCTGGCAATGTATGGGATCTCCAGTTCTTTCCTCCTCTCATTTGCAGTCGTGTCTGCTCTTTTGGCTGTCGGATGGGTCCGCGTGAAGGCCGTATGGAGGGACTATGTTGAGGAGGCCTTGGAGAGCGACATGCTGGACATCCAGAGGACCTACCTGGACACCACAGACTGCCACTTCTGGGTGGTGGTGCGTGGCAGGGAGGTGGTGGGGACTGTGGCGGCTGTACACCCAAGGGACCCCACATTCCAAGGCCGGGCATTGGAGCTGAAGCGCATGTCAGTGAAGAAGGGGCACCGGGGCCGGGGGCTCTCCAAGGCTCTCACGAAGGCCGTCCTGAGCTTTGCCCAAGAGCGCGGCTACAAGGAGGTGGTGTTGGGCACCTCCACGGTGCAGTACGCGGCACAGCAGTTATACGAGAGCATGGGCTTCCAAAGGGTCAATGCGTTCTGCCCCTTCCCGTCGGCAAAGCTGCTGCAGTTCTATATCTTCATCTACCGATACGAGATCCCAGAATCTCACTGACCCAAAAGCCAGCCTTCAAATGGGAGTCTCAAGAGTCACTGTGGACAACATGAAGGATCTCATGTGCCCAGAGATGTCATGCCATTCCCACTCCTACTTTGAAAGGTTTCCCACACTTACTCTGACACCATTCCACCTTCATAAACTTATTGTGAGATAAGACAATTAACCCTACTCTGTCTTAAGAGTTTGCTAGTCCAGTTGAATGGACTTCACAATCCTTGAATCGGATTTAGTTTCACAGAATCATAGAATCAAAGAGTTGGAAGAGACCTCATGGGCCATCCTGTCCAACCCCATTCTGCCAAGAAGCAGGAATATTGCATTCAAATCACCCCTGACAGATGGCCATCCAGCCTCTGTTTAAAAGCTTCCAAAGAAGGAGCCTCCACCACACTCCGGGGCAGAGAGTTCCACTGCTGAACGGCTCTCACAGTCAGGAAGTTCTTCCTCATGTTCAGATGGAATCTCCTTTCTTGTAGTTTGAAGCCATTGTTTCGCGTCCTAGTCTCCAGTGAAGCAGAAAACAAGCTTGCTCCCTCCTCCCTGTGGCTTCCTCTCACATATTTATACATGGCTATCATATCTCCTCTCAGCCTTCTCTTCTTCAGGCTAAACATGCCCAGCTCCTTAAGCCGCTCCTCATAGGGCTTGTTCTCCAGACCCTTATCATTTTAGTCGCCCTCCTCTGGACACATTCCAGCTTGTCAATATCTCTCTTGAATTGTGGTGCCCAGAATTGGACACAATATTCCAGGTGTGGTCTAACCAAAGCGGAATAGAGCATGGGGAGCATGACTTCCCTAGATCTAGACACTAGGCTCCTATTGATGCAGGTCAAAATCCCATTGGCTTTTTTTGCCGCCACATCACATTGTTGGCTCATGTTTAACTTGTTGTCCACGAGGACTCCAAGATCTTTTTCACACATACTGCTCTCGAGCCAGGCCTCATCGTCCCCCATTCTGTATCTTTGCATTTCGTTTTTCCTGCCAAAGTGGAGTATCTTGCATTTGTCCTTGTTGAACTTCATTTTGTTAGTTTTGGCCATTCATCTCTCTAATCTTTTTCTGCCTGTTGGACCTTATAATCCTTAGCCACCTTCTGGGAAACTCTGCCATGGAAATGTGTTCACTCTGATATTCTCAGAGGAAGGCAAATCTTGCAAAACAAACCTGTGATATGTTCACTTTGGGGTCACCATAAATCAGGAATGACTTGAAAGTATACAAGAAAGATACCACAAATACTAAAGCAGTGCCTTGTAGCTTAATTATTAGAATATCAGCAAAGGGGAAGGGTGATAAAATGAGGCAGCCGCTTCACTTTCAGATCATACACCATTCCTAAGCCAACCAATTACACTATGTAACAAAATTTGGGAAAAATATGTGTTCCTGGTTTGAAAGTATTATGTCCTGTTTAATTGTGCACTCCTTACTTTGAAAGTAGTTGCTCTACTCCAGAAACTTTGCTTTTGTGACTGCCATTTTGAGCCTTTCATATGCCATTTTAAACCTATACAGACCACAAAAACAAAGTTGCTCTTAGTTTTCCGGGCTGTCTGGCCATGTTCCAGAAGCATGCTCTCCTGACATTTCGCCCACATCTATGGCAGGTATCCTCAGAGGTTGTGAGGTCTGTTGGAAACTAGGCAAGCGAGGTTTATATATCTGTGAAATAATGTCCAGGGTGGGAGAAAGAACTCTTGTCTGTCTGAGGAACGTGTGAATGTTGTTGTCACTGACCAACTTGATTAATATTGAGTAGCCTTGCAGCCCTGATTGTTTCCTGTCTGGAAACAAAAATCAGGACAGAGTTGTTGTAGGTTTTTTCGGGCTACATGGCCATGTTCTAGAGGCATTCTCTCCTGACATTTCGCCTGCATCTATGGCAAGCATCCTCAGAGTTAGTGAGGTCTGTTGGAACTAGGAAAATTTATCTGTGGAATGACCAGGGTGGGACAAAGAACTTTTGTCTGTTGGATCCCGGCCATTAAAGCCTTTGACAAAATCAGGACAGTAAACAGAGAACAACACTCAGAAAACAAGGGAATTCGAGACAGGAAATTAACAGGACCAGCAACCACCTACTAACAAAAAATTTCCCCAGGCAGGAAGCAGCCAGGCTTTGAAGCTGCAAGGCTACTCAATGCTAACTGCTACAGAAAGATTATTGTTGCAGCCCTGACTGTTTCCTGTCTGGAAAATGAGCAAAATCAGGATAGGGTTGTTGTAGGTTTTTTTGGGCTACATGGCCATATTCTAGAGGCATTCTCTCCTGACGTTTCACCTGCATCTATGGCAAGAATCCTCAGAGGTAGTGAGGTCTGTTGGAACTAGGAAAATGGGTTTATATATCTGTGCAATGGCCGGGGTGGGACAAAGAACTCTTGTCTGTTGGATTCTGGCCATTTTTTTTTTGTTGTATCAGGAGCGACTTGAGAAACTGCAAGTCGCTTCTGGTGTGAGAGAATTGGCCGTCTGCAAGGACGTTGCCCAGGCGACACCCGGATGATTGGATGTTTTTATCATCCTTGTGGAAGGCTTCTCTCATGTCCCTGCTTGGGGAGCTGGAACTGACAGAGGGAGCTCATCCGCCTCTCCCCGGATTCGAACCTGTGACCTGTTGGTCTTCAGGACAAGTAAACAAAGAACAGCACTCAGAAAACAGGGGAATTCCAGACAGGAAACTAACAGGACCAGCAACCACCTACTAACAAAAAATTTCCCCGGGCAGGAAGCAGCCAGGCTTTGAAGCTGCAAGGCTACTCAATGCTAAATGCTACAGAAAGATGAGACAGTTTCTTTCTTTAAAGGGTTTTTTTAATAATTACTTTCCAGATTAAAGTGAAAGTTCTCCAAGCGAAACTGCTAAAGATAAAAAGGAAAACAAAAAATTTTTTTAGAAAAGTAATAAGGCATTTCGATCCTCTGAAAAAAATCAAGCTTCGGTTTTGTAGAATTATTCCCAAAATCACAACTAAGAATTCCAGGGTCAGAACTGCATAGCAATTGCATAGCAGGTGGACATGCAACAGGTGTTGCGTGATAAGCCCTACCTGCCGAAATCCCCTCTTCTCTGCAGCCCTTAAAGGTACAGGAACCCAGATTTGAATCTGCAACCACTTCCAAAAGCCAAAGTTCTCCGAGTGAAACTGCTAAAGATAAAAAGGAAAACAACTCTTTTTTGAAAAGTAATAAGGCAATTCAAGCTTCAAAAAATTAAGCTTCGGTTTTATAAAATTATTCCCAAAATGACCACAACTAAGAATTCCAGGGTGAGAATTGCATAGCAGGTGGACATGCAACAGGTGTTGCGTGATAAGTCCTACCTGCTGAAATCCCCTCTTCTCTGCAGCCCTTAAAGGTACAGGATCCCAGATTTCAATCTGCAACCACTTCCAAAAGCATCTTTTCGTACTTAGATGGATGTTCTGAAAAAATTATTCCCAAAATGACCACAACTAAGAATTCCAGGGTGAGAATTGCATAGCAGGTGGACATGCAACAGGTGTTGTGTGATAAGCCCTACCTGTTGGAATCCCCCCTTCTCTGCAGCCCTTAAAGGTACAGGATCCCAGATTTCAATCTGCAACCACTTCCAAAAGGGTATTTTCTTACTTAGATGGATGTTCTGATACAACTCACCCATTTTTTGACTATTGGAAAGCGTTGTTGCAAAATACATCCATATTGGAAGACTTCTGAATCTTGCATCCACAATAGACACCCAAACATTCAAAAGGGGCCGAGTATGTGGTTCAAACATCTCCGTCCACGGTGCAACAAGGCATCTTTGCATCCAGGAGAGAAAATACAAATAGATAACCAAAAAACAACAAAAGACCACATCGTATTATCTGAACCAAGCAAAAACGCAGCCAGGTATGAGGCAGGGATCAAACCAGGTGGCTGCAAAACCAGAATCCTGGCTCAAATGCAACTCCAAAGTGGAAACCTCAAAATGGAAATTATTGCTATAACTATCCGGACTAGCAAAACCACGTCTTTCCAAAACCTGAGTCACATATCAAAGTTTCCATCCAAACTACGAAACATTACCCAACCATCAACTGAACCTCCCAGCCATGCAAACTTGCAACAAAGCCGATGGTGCGCACATGCCCCACGCTTTGTCGCACATTGATACAAAGGACCAAATCAACCTCGACGTGGATGACAAGGCATGAATCTTTTCCCTTTCCCAAGCCCGGCCTAGCTCCAATAGCGCTCGTAAGTGGCTCTGTGGCCCCTCTTATACGGGCTATAGTCCTGGGCGTAGAAGGACTGCGGGCGCATGACGAGGTTGTGGCGGTGCTCAACGGCACGGGGAACCCTCTTGCGCCGGCGGCCGGGCCTCGGGGGGACGTTTTCGGCATCGTAGGAGAAGAAGCTGGGGTCCACCCTCTCGAAACGGCAGAAGCGGTCCACGGCAACAGCTGTGGGAAGACAAACAGACTCGTAGTGTTGGGACAAAGGAACGTGGATAGATAAGATGTCACTAAAGTGCACAGACGACGTTGTCATCAGCATATTGGAGTTCTATAACAGAATTTATATTAGTATATTCATGACCTCCAGTGTGTTATAGCAGGCATGGGCAAGCTTGGGCCCTCCAGGCGTTTTGGACTTCAACTCCCACAATTCCTAACAGCCTACCGGCTGTTAGGAATTGTGGGAGTTGAAGTCCAAAACGCCTGGAGGGCCCAAGTTTGCCCATGCCTGCACTAAAGCATCGCTAAGGCCGAAAAAGGGTCAAGAAAGGGATCAAGTTGACCGGACAGAAGAAATGGGAGAGAGAAGAGAATGAGCAGGATGCAAGGACATTGTTTACATTAAGAAGAGAAAACGAAAGGATGTTTACTGAACAGAAAGGATAGAGGCGCTGGAGCAGAAGTAATAATAATAATAATAATAATTTTATTTTTATACCCCGCCTCCATCTCCCAGAAGGGACTCGGGGCAGCTTACATGGGGCCAAGCCCAGTAACACAGAATTAAAGCATCTATCCATATAAATAAAATGTAATGTTCGTTTGTGGGATTGACATAACTCAAAAGCCACTGAACGAATTGGCACCAAATTTGGACACAACACACCTATCAGGCCAATGAGTGTCCATCATTCATAAAAACACTGAAAAATACAGCAGAAGAGAATCTAAAAAACAAAAATTAAATTACGACACATGTGCAAAACCACATATATATGCGCAAACACACATATACATAAATATATACACACACAAAACACATAAACACAGACTGGGCCACAGCAACGTGTGGTAGGGGACAGCTAGTAGCATATAAAGTATAACAGTAATATAAAACAACGTAAAAACATTATCTATATAAATAAAAATGTAATGTTCGTTTGTGGGATTAACAAAACTCAAAAACCACTGGACAAATTGACACCAAATTTGGACACAAGACACCTAACAACCCAATGTATGTCCTTCACTCAAAAATTTTTGATTTTGTCATTTGGGAGTTGTCGTTACTGGGATTTATCGTTCACCTACAATCAAAGAGCATTCTGAACTCCACCAACGATGGAATTGAACCAAACGTGGCACACAGGACTCCCATGACCAACAGAAAATACTGGAAGGGTTTGGTGGGCATTGACCTTGAGTTTGGGAGTTGTAGTTCACCTACATCCAGAGAGCACTGTGGACTCAAACAATGATGAATCTGGACCAAACTTGGCACTCCATATGCCCAAATATGAACACAGATTGAGTTTGGGGGAAATAGACCTTGACATTTGAGAGTTGTAGTTACTAGGATTTATAGTTCACCTACAATCAAAGAGCATTCTGAACCACACCAACGAGAGAATTGGGCCAGACTTCCCACAGAGAACTCCCATGACCATCAGAAATGCTGCCTTAAGGCCACCCAGTCCAACTCCCTTCACCAGGGCAAGAAAACGTAATCAAAGCCCTCCTGACAAAGAGCCATCCAGCTATAGATATAGATAGATAGATATGATTCACACACTAGTGATATAGTATCATAGATTTGAAAGGGACCACTAAAGATGGATAAGTATATGTTTCATGTTCCAGTGTGGGCAAACCAGAAAATCTCCACATCCACACTGACAAAGAAACAGCAAGAAATATTGTTTACTCACAAGCATAAAGAAATTACATACCGTATATACTCAAGTATAAGCCGACCCGAATATAAGCCGAGACACCTAATTTTACCACAAAAAACTGGGAAAACTTATTGACTCGAGTATAAGCCAAGAGTGGGAAAGGCAGCAGCTATGGGTCAATTTCAAAATAAAAACAGATACCAATAAAATTACATTAATTGAGGCATCGGTAGGTTCAATGTTTTTGAATATTTACATAAAACTGTAATTTAAGATAAGACTGCCCAATTCTGACGAAACCATTATTCTAATCTTCTTCAATGTAAATGTGCTTATGCAGCCTTCCACTAATAGTAAAGAGAGTAAAATAATAAATGTAGTAATAATAGAGTAAAATAATTGAAATGTAGTCATAACAATAATAATAAATGTAGTAAGAGTAATGTAAATGTAGTTATAATAATAAATTGTGTAAAATAATACATGTAATGATAGTAATAATAATAACAGAGTAAAATAATAAGTGTAATAATAATAATAATAATAGAGTAAAATAATAAATGTTGTAATAATAGTAACAACAACAACAATAGAGTAAAATAATAAATTATCTTGACTCGAGTATAAGCCAAGGGGGACTTTTTCAGCTTAAAAAAAGGACTATAAAACTAGGCTTGGGAAGTCTGACTTGGCCACGGTAGTCCACGCTCTGGTTACATCCCGTTTAGACTACTGCAACGCTCTCTACGTGGGGTTGCCTTTGAAGACGGCTCGGAAGCTCCAATTAGTCCAACGCTCGGCAGCCATGATGTTAACAGGAGCGGAGCGCAGGGAGCATACAACCCCCCTGTTGCGCCAACTCTACTGGCTACCGATTTGCTACCGGGCTCAATTCAAAGTGCTGGCGTTGGCCTTTAAAGCCCTAAACGGTTCGGGCCCAAGCTACCTATCTGACCGCATCTCTGCCTATGAACCCACCAGGACTTTGAGATCTTCCGGGGAGACCCTGCTCTCGATCCCGCCTGCTTCTCAAGCTCGGCTGGCGGGGACGAGAGATAGGGCCTTCTCGGTGGTGGCTCCTCGGCTGTGGAACGCCCTTCCTACGGACATTAGACTAGCACCATCTCTAATGGTATTCCGCAAAAAGGTGAAGACCTGGATGTTTGTGCAGGCGTTTGAGTAATTTAGTGCAATCTGGTAATGGAACATAGGAATGGAACAATGGACGACGAACCTGGACTACGCTTGGATGATGAGAAGATTGGGTACGGTTGTTTTTCGTAATAATTGTGCATTGTAATTGCTTATTGGTAATTTATGGATAATGTGTTAAGTCAATTGTTATATGTTGTATGGAACCACTGCTGTTTCTACTGTTTTTACTGTTTGTGAACCGCTGTGAGTCGCCTTCGGGCTTGAGATACAGCGGTATAGAAGCAAAGTAAATACATAAATAAATAAATAAATAGGCTTATACTCGAGTATATACCGTATATTAAAAATCAACATTTTCCAGATTACCAGTCTGGGCCACAGCAATGCGTGGCAGGGGATGGCTAGTAAATAAAATAAAACTTCTGGGGATGGCTACGCACTTCAAACCTTCAGAGTAGGAGGCCAGATGATGCAGTTAGTACAGTTAATCTGCATTCTTATTATCCTGAATCTGCATTGCATAGGAGCGTAGATGGGGTTTACGGATGACTTTGAACCTATGACAGCTCTCACTCTAAATGCCCTATAAGCTCCAGAGAGTTGCAAAAGTGGGAAACTTGGCTGTAATGGATACTGAACGTGGTTCTGAGAGGTGGGAAGCCAGAACCACAAGAGAAAGGTAAGAACCGGCCTCCAAACTCACCATCCAGCTGGAACGGTGGAAGGCAGGAGTCCTCAAAGTTGGTGAATCCCGAGAAAGGTTCGTTTAATCCATAGTCAGTAGGAACGAGGAGGGAATCGTCATGAAATGCAAAGAAGTCAGGATGAGGCTGATGGGTGTTGCGATCCTCCGGGAATCTCCAGGAAGGACCACACACAGGTGACAATGGCGGCCCAGGTCGGAAGTTGAAGGTCACGGATGGCTTCCTGTCCTGCACCAGGTCTATGGAAGGAAGGGAGAGGGTTCAAAACAGCCCCAACTGTGGTTGCTTCACTTTGGGTGGCATCTACACTGGGTTATAAATGCAGTTTCCTAATTGGTTCCATCATAAAAACATGGGGGAAGGTTGATCTATGTAAATAAAAATGTAATGTTCGTTTGTGGGATTAAAATAACTCAGAAACCACTGGACGAATTGACATGAAATTTGGACACTACACCCCTAACAGACCAATGAGTGTTCATCACCCCTAAAATTACAAAAAAACAACAAAAAACTCGGCAGAACTGACTAAACAACCCCAAAAATACACCGTATATATATACACACACACACACACACATATATGTGTATATATATATGTGTGTGTGTGTGTGTATATATATATATATATACACACACAGATATATATATATATATATACACACACACATACATACACTCATGTACATATAGCCCAAAATGTACATAAACCCCAAAAATACACCATATATATATGTATACACACACACATATATATACATACATACACTCATGTACATATACACATGCAAACAGACAAGAGTTCTTCCACAATTGTGGAACTCCAACACAACCGTTCAATGCTAAGGCTTCCCGCCAAAATGGAACTGTAGAGGAGAGTCTACTGAACAAGCCAGTACCTGCCACATACATTGCTTAAGTCGCATTGCCCGACCGTCTGCGCAGGGTTCCATACTTCGCACTTTAACAACACAACCATTCAATGCTAAGGCTTCCCACCAAAATGGAACTGTAGAGGAGAGTCTACTGAACAAGCCAGTACCTGCCGCATACGTTGCTTAAGTCGCATTGACTGACAGTCTGTGCAGGGTTCCATACTTTGCGCTTTAACAACACAACCTTTCAATGCTAAGGCTTCTTAAAAATTTTGAGGTGACACCTTCTGCTGTCAAGAATTCAATGACTGCATGTTGCTTAAGTCCCATTGACTGACCGTCTGCGCAGGGTTCCATACTTCGCACTTTAACAACACAACCGTTCAATGCTAAGGCTTCCTGCCAAAATGGAACTGTAGAGGAGAGTTTACTGAACAAGCCAGTACCTGCCGCATATGTTGCTTAAGTCACATTGACCGACCGACTGCGCAGGGTTCCATACTTCACACTTTAACAACACAACCATTCAATGCTAAGGCTTCCGGCCAAAATGGAACTGTAGAGGAGAGTCTACTGAACAAGCCAGTACCTGCCACATACATTGCTCAAGTCGCATTGCCCGACCGTCTGCGCAGGGTTCCATACTTCACACTTTAACAACACAACCATTCAATGCTAGGGCTTCTGGCCAAAATGGAACTGTAGAGGAGAGTCTACTGAACAAGCCAGTACCTGCCACATACGTTGCTCAAGTCGCATTGCCCGACCGTCTGCGCAGGGTTCCATACTTCACACTTTAACAACACAACCATTCAATGCTAAGGCTTCCCGCCAAAATGGAAATGTAGAGGAGAGTCTACTGAACAAGCCAGTACCTGCTGCATACGTTGCTTAAGTCACATTGCCCGACCTTCTGCGCAGGGTTCCATACTTCACACTTTAACAACACAACCATTCAATGCTAAGGCTTCCCGCCAAAATGGAAATGTAGAGGAGAGTCTACTGAACAAGCCAGTACCTGCTGCATACGTTGCTTAAGTCACATTGACCGACCTTCTGCGCAGGGTTCCATACTTCACACTTTAACAACACAACCATTCAATGCTAAGGCTTCCCACCAAAATGGAACTGTAGAGGAGAGTCTACTGAACAAGCCAGTACCTGTCACATACCAGTACTGCCATCGGTTGAGGAGTTATGAAAGTGGAGGCATTACTTTTCATTCAACCCTCATATATTGAATTGGCTGAGACTCGATGATGAGCTACTGAAAAACTAGAGTGAAATGTGCAACAATGGGATGTCCATCCCACAAAGTTTTGGCAGCTGAATAAACATTTCCCATGTTTTTGTGATAGAACCAATTAAGAAATGACATTTATAACCCAGGAGCAAAAATCGTGTTACGGAGCTTAATGGACCTTGCTCTTAGATGGAAGCAGAGGCCACCCAACGGTCAAGATCCGGCCACTCACCTCCCCGTAGCCTCTTCTCCGTGATGACGACTCCCCAAGCGTCAGCCGTATGGGCCAAGAGCAAGTGGGTGATCCGGCGGTGCACCACGTTGTTCCAATGGACGCCGTCCTTCACCCGGTTGCCCAGGTCGAAGCGGAAGTGGTAGTGGAGGTCCACCACGTCAAAGAGGTGGAGGCCGGCCAAGGTGGCGCCGTAGAAGTTGCCCTCGATGACATCGTTGCGAAGGGTCTGGCTCAAGTGCTGGAGCTGGGAAGGAAGGAAGGAAGGAAGGAAGGGAGGAAGGAAGGGAGGAAGGAAGGAAGTGCAATGAGAGGAAAGTCTTGGGGGCAGAAGGTTGGAGGGCATCGCAAACAGGAGCTTTTTTGTTGAGTTCCAGGGCCAGAGAAGCAGATGGCGGAAACAGAAGAACGGCCTGCCTCAGGGGAGCATGCTTGCTCCATCAATGTTCAACATCTACACAAATGACCAGCCACTGCCAGAAGGGACAGAGAGTTTCATCTATGCTGATGATCATGTCATCACCACTCAAGTAGGGAGCTTTGAAATGGTTAAACAGAAGCTCTCCAAAGCCTTAGGTGCTCTTACTGCCTATTACATGGGAAACCAGCTGATCCCTAATCCATTTAAACACAGACATGTGCTTTTCACCTTAAGAACAGGCAAGCATCCCGAGCTCTGAGGATGACCTGGGAAGGAATCCCACTGGAGCATTGCAGCACACCCAAATACCTGGGAGTCACTCTGGACCATGCTCTGACCTCCAAGAAGCACTGTCTGAACATCAAGCAAAAACAAAACAGAGTTTGCAAGCTTGGTAGTTGATTAAATGTCCTTTGACCAGTGTCTGGCTACTTGGAGTGCCTCTGGTGTTGCCGCAAGAAGGTCCTCCGTCGTGCATGTGGCAGGGCCCAGGGTGCATTGCAGCAGGTGGTCAGTGGTTTGCTCTTCTCCACACTCGCATGTCGTGGATTCCACTTTGTGGCCCCATTTCTTGAGGTTGGCTCTCCATCTTGTGGTGCCAGAGCGCAGTCTGTTTAGCGCCTTCCAAGTCGCCCAGTTTTCTGTGTGCCCGGGGGGAGTCTCTCATTGGGTATCAGCCATTGATTGAGGTTCTGGGTTTGAGCCTGCCACTTTTGGACTCTCGCTTGCTGAGTTCTTCCAGCGAGGGTCTCTGTAGATCTTAGAAAACTATTTCTAGATTTAAGTCGTTGACATGCTGGCTGATACCCAAACAAGGGATGAGCTGGAGATGTCTCGGCCTTGGTCCTTTCACTATTGGCTGCTACTTCCCAGCGGTGCAATACCGGCTAAACAGTGTAATTTCTCCAGTGGTGTAGGGCGCAGACACCCCATGATAAAGCGGCATGTCTCATTAAAACAGCCACATCCACCGTTTTAGTGTGGTGAGATGTGTTCCACACTGGGCATGCATACTAAACAGCAGAGTAGCATAGTGCAAGGACAGATGTCTTCACTGTGTCTGGTTGTGATCACCAGGTTGTGCCAGTCAGCTTTCGTATGATATTGTTTCTAGTACCCACTTTTTACTTGATATTCAGGGAGTGCTTCTTGTAGGTCAAAGCACGGTCCAGAGTGACTCCCAGGTATTTGGGTGTGCTGCAATGCTCCAGTGGGATTCCTTCCCAGGTAATCCTCAGAGCTCAGGATGCTTGTCTGTTCTTAAGGTGAAAAGCACATGTCTGTGTTTTAGATGGGTTGGGGATCAGCTGGTTTTCCCTGTAATAGGCAGTAAGAGCATCTAGAGCCTCGGAGAGCTTCTGTTCAACCATCTCAAAGCTCCCTGCTTGAGCGGTAATGGCATGATCATCAGCATAAATGAAACTCTCTGTCCCTTCTGGCAGTAGCTGGTCATTTGTGTAGATGTTGAACATGGATGGAGCAAGCACGCTCCCCTGAGGCAGGCCGTTCTTCTGTTTCCGCCATCTGCTTCTCTGGCCCTGGAACTCAACAAAAAAGCTCCTGTTTTGTAGCAGGTTTCCTATGAGGCGGGTGAGGTGATAGTCCTCTGTGATGTTATACATTTTTCTCAGGAGGAGACGGTGGTTCACAGTCTCATAAGCCACTGACAGGTCTATGAAGACATCTCCTGTGATCTGCTGTCTTTCAAAGCCATCTTCTATGTGCTGAGTCAGGTTCAGCACTTGCGATGTGCAGCTTTTGCCTTTCCTGAAGCCAGCTTGCTGTTCATGGCCAAGTTCATGGTTTTTATTGAAGACATTTGATATTTCATTGCATTCAGATTAATACAACAAGCTTTTGGAACTTTGTCATTATTCCTATGTTTGGACACTGCTTATATTACTGCTTATTTGGCTTTTTGCTTTTGGACTTTTACCAACTTTATATTCGTCTCTTTTATTGGCTCCAATTATCTATATAAATAAAAATGTAATGTTCGTTTGTGGGATTAACAGAACTCAAAAACCACTGGGCGAATTGACATCAAATTTGGACACAAGACACCTAACAACCCAATGTATGTCCTTCACTCAAAAAAATTGATTTTATCATTTGGGAGTTGTAGTTGCTGGGATTTATAGTACACCTACAATCAAACAGCATTCTGAACTCCACTAATGATGGAATTGAACTAAACGTGGCACACAGAACTCCCACGTCCAACAAAAAATACTGGAAGGGTTTGGTGGGCATTGGCCTTGAGTTTGGGAGTTGTAGTTCACCTACATCCAGAGAGCACTTTGGACTCAAAACAATGATGGATCTGGACCAAACCTGGCTCAAATAGTCCATATGCCCAAATATGAACACAGATGGAGTTTGGGGGAAATAGAATCTTGACATTTGGGAGTTGTATTTGCTGGGATTTATAGTTCACCTACAATCACAGAGCACTCTGAACCCCACCAATGATAGAATTGGGCCAAACCTCCCATACAAAACCCCCATGAGGGCCACAGCAACGTGTGGCAGGGGACAGCTAGTTCTTCAAATAAAGATGACTCTTTGTTCATCCAAGGTGTGGAGTAATTAATGATTTAGAGGGTCCTGTTCCTACTCTGGGGTGCAACATGCGCCATGACTCTTTGGCCCTTCAGATCCTACAATCTCATGACCTTCTAGGAGACCAAATGCTCACCTCTGGGATGAGGAATCCCCCGGTCACCTTGGGGCCCAGGGGCATCGTCATGTTCCAGATGACCAGGCAGGATGAGGGCAACGCGGCGTCCAACCTGTTGAAGGCCATCTGCAGGTTTGAGCGGTATTTCTTCATGGAGGACGGGCCGTATCTGCCAAGAGAACCATCAGGTCATGATGGGCCAGCTTGGGTCCTCCAGGTGTTTTGGACTCCAACTCCCACAATTCCTAACAGCCTACCGGCTGTTAGGAATTGTGAGAGTTGAAGTCCAAAACACCTGGAGGAAAGGCCAAAGTTGGATCATGCCTGCCTTAGGCTGACCTTGAGACATCCCAGACGCAAGAGTTGAGGATGACGAGGTCCGGCTGCGGCCCGGTCTGCAAATGCTCCAAAATGCTTTCCAAGTAGGAAGAATAGACCCTGGTGAGGAAGTAGAAGCGGACGAGATGGTGGCGCTGGTGGAACTGGCGCACCTCCCGGTAGTTCGTCCCATTGTGAAGGCCGCCCAGCACACCGCCTTCCAGCAAGTGGTCGTTTTCGAAGTGAAGCTCACCCTGGAATTGAAGGGGAAAGAGAAAGGAAGACGAGAGGAGCAAACAGAGATGCGCACGCACATGCACATTCCACGCTCTGGTTACATCCCGTATAGACTACTGCAATGCGCTCTACGTGGGTTTGCCTTTGAAGACTATGCCGGTATATAACTTGTCAATCCAGTTACAGATATGAATTGAAATGGTTTCTCTGTGCAGATAAGACGGGACATCTTCCTTATAATCAAGAGCAACATGAGTTTGCTCTTAACACTCCAAAGTCTTCATGGCATCTGATGGAATCTGTGCTCTAATCAGTTGAAGTGATCTCATGACTAAAATATTTCTGTGTTCTAAAATGGAGTCTGAGATCCGAGCAGTCCCAGATCTGATCATGAGTTTGCAGCCCCGCCCACAACCTCAAGAAACATAGAGTAAAGGGAAAGCTGCATACCAAAACAGAACCATATAGAAACAAATCACTAGTGGAGGCTTGAGAAGGTTGCTATTTCCAACATTAGCTTTCCTGAAAAGCAGCCCCTTCTTCTTTGGATATAGAAGACGATGTGGCTATAAAAAGCCAGGATTTGTGAACTAAAAATAATATGAATAACATATGAATATATTCTGCATTCCAAAATTGACAATACTGAAGACAAGTGATGGGTTAATACTTCTAAATCTTAATAGAAATGCATATAATTTCAATGATGTGAATATATATATATATATACACACACACATTTTCCATTTGCGTGCAGATCCATAACCGGCCACAGGAGGGAGCGCCTGAGCAGCATTTGCTAGGATTTCCCATTTGCATGCATATCCACAACTGGCCAGAGGAGGGAGCCCCTGAGCAGCGTTTGCTAGGATTTCCCATTTGCATGCATATCCAAAACTGGCCACAGGAGGGAGCGCCTGAGCAGTATTTGCTAGGATTTCCCATTTGCGTGCAGATCCATAACCGGCCACAGGAGGGAGCGCCTGAGCAGCATTTGCTAGGATTTCCCATTTGCATGCATATCCACAACTGGCCACAGGAGGGAGCGCCTGAGCAGCGTTTGCTAGGATTTCCCATTTGCATGCATATCCAAAACTGGCCACAGGAGGGAGCGCCTGAGCAGTATTTGCTAGGATTTCCCATTTGTGAGCAGATCCACAACCGGCCACAGGAGGGAGCAGCTGAGCAGCATTTGCTAGGATTTCCCATTTGCATGCAGATCCACAACTGACCAGAGGAGGGAGCGCCTGAGCAGCATTTGCTAGGATTTCCTATTTGCATGCATATCCAACAGGGAAATCCTAGCAAATGCTGCTCTGGCTCTCCCTCCAGTGGTCAGTTGTGGAAATGCACAGAAATGGGAAATCCTAGCAAAGGCGCTCAGGCGCTCCCTCCAGTGGTCGGTTGTGGAAATGCACAGAAATGGGAAATCCTAGCAAAGGCGCTCTGGCGCTCCCTCCAGTGGTCGGTTGTGGAAATGCACAGAAATGGGAAATCCTAGCAAAGGCCGCTCTGGCGCTCCCTCCAGTGGTCGGTTGTGGAAATGCACAGAAATGGGAAATCCTAGCAAAGGCGCTAACATTCCTAGCGAATATACAGTGGAAGTGAAGAACAAATTTGAAGGACTAGATTTAGTAAACAGAGTCCCAGAAGAACTATGGACAGAAGTCCGCGACATTGTTCAGGAGGCGGCAACAAAGTACGTTCCAAAGAAAAAGAAAACCAAGAAGGCAAAATGGTTGTCTGCTGAGACACTGGAAGTAGCCCAAGAAAGGAGGAAAGCAAAAGGAAACAGTGAAAAGGGGAGATATGCCCAGTTACATGCGCAATTCCAGAGGTTAGCCAGAAGAGATAAGGAACTATTTTTAAATAAGCAATGCATGGAAGTGGAGAAGACAACAGAATAGGAAGGACAAGAGACCTCTTCCAGAAAATTAGAAACATTGGAGGTAAATTTCAGGCAAAAATTGGCATGATAAGAAACAAAGATGGCAGGGACCTAACAGAAGCTGAAGAGATCAAGAGAAGGTGGCGAGACTATACAGAAGATCTGTATAGGAAGGATAATAATATTGAGGATAGTTTTGACGGTGTGGTGAATGAATTAGAACCAGACATCCTGAGGAGTGAGGTTGAATGGGCCTTAAGAAGCATTGCTAACAACAAGGCAGCAGGAGACGACGGGATCCCAGCTGAACTGTTTAAAATCTTAAAAGATGAGGCTGTCAAGGTGATGCATGCCATATGCCAGCAAATATGGAAAACACAAGAATGGCCATCAGACTGGAAAAAATCAACTTATATCCCCATACCAAAAAAGGGAAATGCGAAAGACTGCTCAAACTTCCGTACAGTGGCCCTTATTTCTCATGCCAGTAAGGTAATGCTCAAGATCCTGCAAGGAAGACTCCAGCAATACATGGAGCGAGAGTTGGCAGATGTTCAAGCTGGGTTTAGAAAAGGCAGAGGAACGAGAGACCAAATTGCCAATATCGCTGGATAATGGAGAAAGGCAGGGAGTTTCAGAAAAACATCTATTTCTGTTTTATTGACTATTCTAAAGCTTTGACTGTGTGGATCATAATAAATTGTGGCAAGTTCTTAGTGGGATGGGCATCCCAAGCCACCTTATCTCTCTCCTGAGGAATCTGTACAAGGACCAAGTAGCAACAGTCAGAACTGACCATGGAACAACAGACTGGTTCAAGATTGGGAAAGGCGTACGGCAAGGCTGCATCCTCTCACCCAACCTTTTTAACTTGTATGCAGAACACATCATGCGATGTGCGGGGCTGGATGAATGCAAAGCTGGGGTGAAAATTGCTGGAAGAAACATTAACAACCTCAGATATGCAGATGACACCACCCTGATGGCCGAAAGCGAGGAGGAGCTGAGGAGCCTTCTAATCAAGGTGAAAGAAGAAAGCGCAAAAGCCGGGTTGCAGCTAAACGTCAAAAAACCAAGATTATGGCAACAAGAATGATTGACAACTGGAAAATAGAGGGAGAAACCGTGGAGGCCGTGACAGACTTTGTATTTCTAGGCGCAAAGATGACTGCAGATGCAGATTGTGGCCAGGAAATCAGAAGACGCTTCCTTCTTGGGAGGAGAGCAATGTCCAGTCTCGATAAAATAGTAAAGAGTAGAGACATCAGACTGGCAACAAAGATCCGCCTAGTCAAAGCCATGGTATTCCCTGTAGTAACCTACGGATGTGAGAGCTGGACCTTAGGGAAGGCTGAGCGAAGGAAGATCGATGCTTTTGAGCTGTGGTGTTGGAGGAAAGTGCTGAGAGTGCCTTGGACTGCGAGAAGAGCCAACCAGTCCATCCTCCAGGAAATAAAGCCCGACTGCTCACTGGAGGGAAGGAGACTAGAGACAAAGTTGAAGTCCTTTGGCCACATCATGAGGAGACAGGAAAGCCTAGAGAAGGGAATGTGCTGGGGAAAGTGGAAGGCAAAAGGAAGAGGGGCCGACCAAGGGCAAGATGGATGGATGGCATCCTTGAAGTGACTGGACTGACCTTGAGGGAGCTGGGGGTGGTAACGGCCGACAGGGAGCTCTGGCGTGGGCTGGTCCCTGAGGTCACGAAGAGTCGGAGACGACTGAACGAATGAACAACAACAACAAGCAAAGGCGCTCAGGCGCTCCCTCCAGTGGTCGGTTGTGGAAATGCACAGAAATGGGAAATCCTAGCAAAGGCGCTCTGGCGCTCCCTCCAGTGGTCGGTTGTGGAAATGCACAGAAATGGGAAATCCTAGCAAAGGCCGCTCTGGCGCTCCCTCCAGTGGTCAGTTGTGGAGATGCACAGAAATGGAAAATCCTTGCAATGCCTTAGAGTGACAAACAATTCTATTGACATTTAAAATTAAAAGTAAGATTAAAAATTAAAATGAATACATATTAAACATTTAAAAATTAGGTTTAATATTAAAATTATGCAATTCATAATTGTAGTCCAGGGCCGTTCCAATTGTCATCGCACATATTCCGTCTCTATGACTGCATTTGCAACTATTCTTCAAAGGCTGGATCCCAAAGCCACCTTTATACTTTCCTTCTAAGGCCAGGAGGGAGCGGGCTGATCTAATGTCGCTGGGGAGGGAGTTGCACAGTTGAGGGGCCACCAGTGAGAAGGCCCTGTCTCTCACCTTCGCCTGTCACGCCTAAAAAGAAATGGGACCGAGAGCAGGGCCTCCCTAGACGATCTTGACCTCCGAGGTGGTTCATAGGGGGAGATACATTCGGAAAGGTATGCTGGGCCCAAACTATTTAGGGCTTCATAGGCTAAAGCCAGTACTCTGAATTATGACTCCAAGACCAGATAACAGCACTCCATACTTGGTAAGTATGAGAAGCCTAAGAAACTACAAATCCCATGATTCCGTAGGATGCAGCCATGACGGTTAAAGTGGGATCAAAGTGATCTAATTGTGCAGTGTGAAATGCCTGGGTTGGAGACTGTGCCCGCTTGGTACCCCATATTCTTTGTGCAAGACTAGAATTAGCCCCTAAATGTAAACACTATAACAACAACAACAACAACAACAACAACAATATATTATTATTATTATTATTATTATTATTATTATTATTATTATTATTATGAAAATGTTGTTCTTGTTGTAATAGTGTTTGCTTTCAGGGATCGGTTCTAGCATTCCTCAAAGAATATGCATTATTATTATTATTATTATTATTATTATTATTATTAATTTACCTGAGCATCAAGCAAAAAGTGGGAGCTAGAAACAATATCATACGAAAGCTGACAGGCAAAACCTGGGGATCACAACCAGACACAGTGAAGACATCTGCCCTTGCGCTATGCTACTCTGCTGCTGAGTATGCATGCCCAGTGTGGAACACATCTCACCACACTAAAACAGTGGATGTGGCTCTTAATGAGACATGCCGCATTATCACGGGGTGTCTGCGCCCTACACCACTGGAGAAATTACACTGCTTAGCCGGTATTGCACCACCTGACATTCGCCAGGAAGTAGCAGCCAATAGTGAAAGGACCAAGGCAGAGACATCTCCAGCTCATCCCTTGTTTGGGTATCAGCCAGCACGTCAACGACTTAAATCAAGAAATAGTTTTCTAAGATCTACAGAGACACTCGCTGGAACACCTCAGCAAGCGAGAGTCCAAAAGTGGCAGGCTCAAACACAGAACCTCAATCAATGGCTGATACCAAATGAGAGACTCCCCCCTGGGCACACAGAAAACTGGGCGACTTGGAAGGCGCTGAACAGACTGTGCTCTGGAACCACGAGATGCAGAGCCAACCTTAAGAAATGAGGCCACAAAGTGGAATCCACGACATGCGAGTGTGGAGAAGAGCAAACTACAGACCACCTACTACAATGCAACTGAGCCTTGCCACATGCACAAGGGAGAACCTTCTTATAGCAACACCAGAGGCACTCCAAGTGGCCAGATACTGGTCAAAGGACATTTAACCAAATACCAAGTTTGCAAAATCTGTGGGGTTTTTTATCTCTTTGTTTGTTTTGTTCTGTTAGAAATGTAATACAGTGGTATGGTTGCTGATGACACGATAAATAAATTATTATTATTAGATTTACCTTGGCCTTCATTTGGGCGCTGGTGAGCAACGAGTCTGTCTGGAGCAGGCGGACCAGGTCCTTATAGACAGACCTCTGGACTGCAAGAGAAGCAGCATTTATTCCCTGGTTTGCTTCAATCCAACATCAAGCATTATTATATAGGGAGGTATATATCTATATATTCCTTTTCCTCCTTTTTTTTAATCTTCAGGGAGAAATGTAAGGTAATGCAAGGAGGCAGAACCAATTACAATACATTGAGTCCTAGCTTGAAAGCGTAACCTAGGACATGGTGGACAAGATGGACATGAGCCAGGAAGTGTGATGCAGCAGCACAAAAAGCCAACTCGATTCTAGGCCAAAAGCTCTTCCATTGTAGCAAATGCTGCCTGGAAATGTTGGAGGTTTTGAAACAGAGGCTGGATGGCCATCTGTCAGGAGGGCTTTGGTGGTGTATGGCAGAAGGGGGCTGGACTGGATGACCTTTGGGGGCCCCTTCCAACTCTTTGATTGTGGCCATGTGATATACTGATGGGTCCATTAAAAAGGGAAGAAATCAGCAGTTGTTCTGCTCCAGAAACTTTGTTTTTGTGCCAGAAATAATGTTGAATTAGTTACGACTTGAGATATTCTTGCTATGCTAATAATATAATATAATATTTATATTGTATATACATATATTTATAATATTATAATGCAATGCAATATAATACTAATAATAATATATTATAATGTAGTTTTATATAATATATATATATAATATTATAATGTAATGCAATATAATAATATATTATAATGTAATGTAATATAATTATATTTATATGCATATATTTATAATATTATAGTCATGCAAATAATACTAATAATAATATAATTATATATTTTATATTACATGTAATATACTAATATTAATAAATATAATATAATATAATATAATATATTGTATATACATATAATATTTATAATAATATAATGTAATGCAATATAATATTAATACTAATAATATGATATTATTATTACATGTAATATATTGATAATATTATAATACAATACAATATAATACTACTACTAATAATAATAATAATATGATATTATAATATTATAATTATATATTTCATATTAAATGTAATATTATTAATAATATTACAGTATAATGTTATAGTACAATGTAATATATAATATTAATATTGTGCTATGGTAATAATGTAATATATTGTATTTACTTTTTACTTGTAATGCAATATAATACTAATTATAATAATATGATATTATAATGTAGTGTAATATATTGTATATACATATATTTATAATATTATAATGTAATACAATATAATACTACTAATAATATATTATAATATAGTGTAATATAATATATTCTATATACATATATTTATAGTAATGCAATATAATACTAATAATAATAATATGATATTATAATGTAGTGTGATATAATATATTGTGTATACATATATTTATAATATCATAATGTAATGCAATATAATACCAATAATAATATGATATTATAGTGTAGTGTAATATTTTATATTGTATATACATATATTTATAATATTATAATACAATATAATACTAATAATAATATGATATTATGATGTAGTGTAATATAATATATTGTATATACATATATTTACAATATTATAATGTAATGCAATATAATACTAATAATAATATGATATTATAATGTAGTGTGATATAATATATCGTGTATATACATATATTTATAATATTATAATGTAAAGAAATATAATACTAATAATAATATATTATAATGACGTGTAATATAATATATTGTATATATATATGTATTTATAATATTATAATGTAATGCAATATAATACTAATAATAATAATAATATGATATTATAATGTAGTGTAATATAATATATTGTATATACATATATTTATAATATTATAATGTAATGCAATATAATACCAATAATATTATATTATAATTATATATTTATATTACATGTAATATTACAATATAATGGTATAGTACAATATAGTAATATATAATACTGATATTGTACTATGTTGATAATATAATATGTTGTATGTATATATACCTTATAAGCCGCTCTGAGTCCCCTTCAGGGTGAGAAGGGCGGCATATAAATGTCGTAAATAAATAAATATTCATTGAAAAACTACCATAGCGAGATGTCCTTCTCGTCAAAATAAAGTTCTTGCAGTTTAATAAACTTTCTCCATATTTTTATGTTAGAACCAATTAGGGAATGGCATTGATAACCCAGGAACAAAAACTGTGTTACATAGTGTAATTGGGACCTCTTATCTTCTGTCTTTCCAAAGTAATGCTATAATATACATGTTTTAAATAGCAATACAACCCATTGCAGTCTCTTCCTCTTACAAAGCTGGCAAAGACTCACTCGAGTCGCCCATGATGACCACAAACTTGTTGTGCAGGAGCTGGCGGACCTCCTCCGAAGTAAAAGTCAGCATCGTTGAAGTCCTGGAAAATAAACATAAACAAGATATAGCGGCATTTAAGAGAAGCCAGAGAGGAGACTTAGGGCGCATCTACATCAGGATGCGGCCCTTGGGCTCTTTTCTCAGGCCCTCCTGTCTCACCATCCTAGCCTTCCTTCCTTCTCTCTTTCCTTCCTCCTTCTCTCCCTCACTCTTTCTCCTTCCTTCCCTTCCTTTTGTCTTTCCTTCCTTCTCTCTTTCCTCCCTCCTTCAGAGACCAATTTGACTGTAAACTCAAGCCAGTTTGTTTGGGAAACCAAATACAACTCAACACACACATACAGTTGTCTTCCTTTCAGTTTCTTTCTCCTTTTGTTTGTTTGTTTGTTATCTCCAGAAATGTCAAAATCCAAGAAGAATCCTTCCTTCTCTCTTCCTCCTTGTCCTTTTTTCTTTCTCCGCCTCCTTTTCCTTCTTCTTGTTCTTCTCCTGTACTTTTTCCTTTTCCTTCCTTCCATCTCTTCTTCCTCCTTATCTTCTTCCTCCTTCCTCTTCTTCTTCTTCCTCTTTCCTCTCTTTTTTTTTCTTTCTTCTCTAGGTGAAAATCAGCATTAGAGACACAGCAGCACTTCCCTTCCTTGTTTTTCTCACCCCTTCTTCCTCCCTCCTTCCTTCCCTTCCTTCTCTCTTTCCTCCCTCCTTCCTTCTCTCTTTCCTCTCTCCTTCCCTTCCTTTTGTCTTTCCTTCCTTCTCTCTTTCCTCTCTCCTTCCCTTCCTTTTGTCTTTCCTTTCTTTTCTCTTTCCTCTCTCCTTCCCTTCCTTTTGTCTTTCCTTTCTTTTCTCTTTCCTCTCTCCTTCCCTTCCTTTTGTCTTTCCTTTCTTTTCTCTTTCCTCTCTCCTTCCCTTCCTTTTCTTTCCTTCATTCTCTCCTTCTCTCTTCCTCTCCCTTCCTTCCTTCTCTATCCTTCTTTCTTTCCTTCTTTATCTCCTTCCCTCCTTCTTTCCCTCTTTCCTTCTCTACCCTTCTTTCTTTCCTTCATTCTTTCCTTCATTCTCTCCTTCTCTCTTCCTCTCCCTTCCTTCCTTCTCTATCCTTCTTTCTTTCCTTCTTTATCTCCTTCCCTCCTTCTTTCCCTCTTTCCTTCTCTACCCTTCTTTCTTTCCTTCATTCTTTCCTTCATTCTCTCCTTCTCTCTTCCTCTCCCTTCCTTCCTTCTCTATCCTTCCCTTTTGTCCTTCCTTCCTTTCCTCTTCCCTCCTCCCTCTCTTTTTCTTTCAATCCTTTCCTCTATCCTTCCATCCATCCTTCCCTTTCTTCCTTCCTCCTTTCCTTCCTCCTTCCCTTCCACCCATGCATCCTTCCTTCCCCCATTCCCTTTTGTCTTTCATTCCATCCCTCTTTCCTCCATCTTTTTCCTTCCTTCCTTCTCTTTTGCTTTCCTTCTGTCTCTCTTTCCTCTATTCTTCCCTTCCTTCCCCATCCATCCCTTCATTCTTCCTTCCCTTTCTCCTTCCTCTCTCTTTCCTCCCTCCTTCTTCTTCCACCCTTTTGTCCTTCCTTCTCCTCTTTCCTCCCCCTCTTTTTTTCTCTTTCCTCTTCCCCTTCCTTCCCTTCCTTCCTTCCTTCCTTTTGTCTTTCCTTTCTTCTCCCTCCCTTTCTCTCTTCCTCCTTCCTTCCTTCCTTTCTTCCTTCCTTCCTTCCTTTACCTTTGCTTCCTTCTCTCTTTCCTTCCTCCCTTCCTTCTCCTTCCCTTATTCCTTCTTCCTCTCTCCTTCTCCTTCCCTTCCACCCATTTGTCCTTCCTTCCTTCCCTCTTTCCTCCTCCCTCTATTTTTCTTTCAATCATTTCCTCTAGCCTTCCCTTCCTTCCATCCATCCTTCCCTTTCTTTCTTCCTTCTCCATTTCTTTCCTCCTTCCCTTCCACCCTTTCATCCTTCTTTCCCTCCTTCTCTTTTCTTTCATTCCTTCCCTCTTTCCTCCCTCTCTCTTCCTTCCTTTCTTCTCTTTTGTTTTCCTTCCGTCTTTCTTTCCTTTATCCCTCCCTTCCTTCCATCCATCCCTTCACCCCTTTCATTCTTCCTTCCTTCCCTTTCGTCCTTCCTTCTCTCTTTCCTCCCTCCTTCCTTCCCTTCCACCCTTTTGTCCTTCTTTCCCTCTTTCCTCCTCCCTCTCTTTTTCTTTCAATCCTTTCCTCTATCCTTCCCTTCCTTCCATCCATCCTTACCTTTCTTTCTTCCTTCTCCTTTTCCTTCCTCCTTCCCTTCCACCCTTTCATCCTTCCTTTCCTCCTTCCCTTTTGTCTTTCACTCCTTCCCTCTTTCCTCCAACTCTCCCTCTTTCTCCTTCCTTCCTTTCTTCTCTTTTGTTTTCCTTCCGTCTTTCTTTCCTTTATCCCTCCCTTCCTTCCATCCATCCCTTCACCCCTTTCATTCTTCCTTCCTTCCCTTTCGTCCTTCCTTCTCTCTTTCCTCCCTCCTTCCTTCCCTTCCACCCATTTGTCCTTCCTTCCTTCCCTCTTTCCTCCTCCCTCTATTTTTCTTTCAATCATTTCCTCTAGCCTTCCCTTCCTTCCATCCATCCTTCCCTTTCTTTCTTCCTTCTCCATTTCTTTCCTCCTTCCCTTCCACCCTTTCATCCTTCTTTCCCTCCTTCTCTTTTCTCCTTCCTTCTTCCTTTTCCTCCTCTCTCTTCCTTTCTCCTTCCTTCCTTCCATCCATCCTTCCCCTTTCCTTCTTCCTTCTTTCCTTCCCTCTTCCCTCTCTCCTCTTTCTTTTCCTTCCTTTCCTTCCCTCTCTTTCCTTCCTCCTTCCCTCCCTCTTTCTCTTCCCTTCCACCTTTCGTCCTTCCTTCCTTTCTCTCTTTCCTTCCTCCTTCCCCCCTCTCCTTCTTACCTCCCTCTTTGTTCTCTCCCTCCTTCAATCCCTTCCACCCTTTCGTTCTTCCCTCCTTCCCTTTCTTTCTCTTTCTCCTTCCTTCCCTACCTTTTGCCTTGCCTTCTCTCTTTCCTACCGCCTTACTTTCCACCGTTTTGTCCTTCCTCCCTTCCCTCCCTCTCTCTCTCTTTCCTCCCTTCCTCCCCTCTTTGCCTTTCCTCCTTCTCTTTCCTTCCTCCTTCCCTTCCACCATTTTGTCCTTCCTTCCTATTCTCTCTCCCTCTTTCTCCTTCCTTCCCTCCCTTTTGTCCTTCCTCTTCCCTCTTTCCTCCCTCTCTCCCTCTTTCTCCTTCCTTCCCTTTTTCCTCCCTCTTTCTCCCTCCTTTCCTCCCTCTTTCTCATTCCCTTCCACCTTCCTCCTTCTTCTTCCTCTCTCTTTCTTCTCCTTCCCCCCTTTCTTCCCTTCCACCTTTTCGTCCTTCTTCTCCTTCTCCTCTTTACCTCCCTTTTTCTCCTCCTTCCTCCCTTCCTCCTTCTCCTTCTTCTTCCTTCCTCCCTCTCTCTCCTTCTTCCCTTTTTCCTTTCCTCTCTCTTTTCCTCTTCTTCCCTTCTTCATCTTCTTCCTTCCTTCTCTTTTCCCTCCTTCTTTCTCCTTCCCTCTCTCTATTTCTCCTTCATTCCTTCCTTCCCTCTTCCCTCCCTCCCTTCCCTCTTTCCTCCCTCCTTCCCTCTCTCCATTTCTCCTTCATTCCTTCATTCCTTCCCTCTTTCCTCCCTCCTTTCCTCTCTCCCTTTCTCCTTCCTTCCTTCCTTCTCTCTTTCCTTCCTTCCTTCCATCACCGGGCAGCCAGTCCTCCTAGCAGGGAGTGTTAGAATGTGGCGCAGGCGGCTAAATATCTTTTGACCAAAAACGGGCAACAGCAACAGCATTGTCTGTAGCCTCCAACAATTTTTCCTCTGTACATGAGGCAGGGCATTGTGGACAAGCATACAGATATTGTAGAATGAATGAACCCCTGCTATGGAAATCACATCTATGGCAGGCTGCTGTGAGTTTTTAGGGCTGTGTCAGGAGAGAATGTTTCAGAAGCATTCTCTCCTGACGCTTTGCCCACATCTATGGCAGGCTGCTGTGGGCGAAACGTCAGGAGAGAATGCTTCTGGAACATGGCCATACAGCCCCGAAAACTCACAGCAGCCTGCCATAGATGTGGGCAAAGCGTCAGGAGAGAATGCTTCTGAAACATGGCCACACAGCCCCGAAAACTCACAGCAGCCTATCTCTACTCTTTCCATGTTATTGCTGCATCCTATCCTAAGTCCCTGGGAAACAAACACTGGCTTCATTAACAAAACGACATCAGGATTATTTCAGCTGCGTTTAGATATTTCTACGCTATCGATATATACATTTTTTTATTCTTCCTATTAACATTCCTTCATGGAAAGCTCGATTTCAACAATCCATAAATAACATTATTATTAGTATTTTCCTAATCAGGATGGCTGGGAGTTCTAATAAAAGAGGCCAAGGAAAGAAAATAAAAGCGGGTCGGCTCCTCTTTCCCATCGGTTTCCATGGGATTTATCAAGAGGGAAATTCCTTTCTATATTCACGGTTTGCCTTGACCTTGAAGTTCCTCCTTATCTCGTTTCTCGAAGACACAACAGTCGGGGGGAAAGCAGACAAACTCCTATTTGTTTCCAGAAAAAAACTTCCAGTAGCTTGACAACCATCCAATTACTAACTTAAGAACATTTAATCTGTCTTTTTGAAATTGCAAATTTATAGCATGCATATTTATTTATTTATTTATTTGATGCACTTATTAACCGCCGTTCTCAGCCCTTACGGGCGACTCATGGCGGTGTACAGTACACATAAAAGACAAGTTACAAAAGCCAGAATCCACAACACATAGCTATACAACAAATACAGACTACATAAAAATCCGCTTCGTCTCTTAGTAGAATCATAGGCCAGTCTCGTCGTCCTTATACCATTCCAATTCTCATTACCGTAATGTTGTTACTAGCACTTAATTAAATGCCCTCTCGAACAGCCAGGTCTTAAGGCTTTTTCGAAAGGACAAGAGGGAGGGCGCCTGTCTAATGTGTACCGGGAGAGTGTTCCACAGCCGGGGGGCCACCACCGAGA